AAGCCAGGGCAAAAAGTCCACCGCCCTACACTTACACTCTCATACTTTTTAACATTGTAACGAGATAATATTTTTCCAACATATTCGTGTGTTCGCCCAGGACAAGGCTAAATGATATTACCTGAAGTAACATCAGCCCAACTGACAGACAGGTGCTGCAGTTGGTAGAAGGGGGCGTGGCCCTCGGGGCGGAAGGGGGCGTGGCTGGCTTGCACAACTAACGGAAACCGGATGTGCTCGGCTTGGCAGTTGTGAAGTGATGTTTAGGCCAGGATGGCAATGCTCGTAGGCAACCAACCACTATATATAAGTACATGTATATATGTTCGCTTAACCCGATGTGCGAAGTCGCCCATAGGCATCATCGAGTGCCACGTTTTATGTCTTGCCAATGGAAGCCTCGAGCAGACGCAGCGACTCCAGTCGAGTTACACGCTCCGATGTGACGGGCAATAGAAGTGTGGGATCGGCAGGTAGTGGTGCACAGAAATAGCTGATTTTTAAGTATTATATTCATAGGAATATATTTTTCAGAAAACTTACAACCATTGCCTTTAACTCCAGTCCTTTTGAATAAAAAGTAAATAAAGACGCGAATTCTTAAGCAACTTAACTAACAATTTCTTAGCTTACTTCTACAATTGCCAAAAATACTTGAATAAAAAACTAAATAGGTTATGTATGATGATATGAAACTAATACAATTGTTTCTTTGAAAATTTTAAAATTAATATTATTTGCATATTTGTTAAGTGCTAAAGCTTTATAGAATTTTAAACTAATTATTCCCACATGTGTGTTAACCGAATTTAAGGACTTTAGCATTATCAAAAATATACGCGAATTCTTGAGGAGCATATTTCTTTTAAATTCAATCAGAATCCAACCTAAGGTACTTTTATAATGTTTTTTTTATACATACAAATATTTATTTTCAAAATTATTAGTTTAAGGACACAAATGATGCATAAATTTTCTAAAAGATCACCATAAAAGTCTGAAATGTCAGCCAACTGCTGATTTGTCAGCACTATCGCTTCGCTGTATGTTTGACTGCGAGTAGAGATGTTATGGCCCCACAGGCGCCGCTCACACTTGCTTCTTTGTCTCCTCTGCCTCCGTCGAAGTCGCCCACTAAATGTGACAGCATAAATCGCTGCCACTGGCACAAAACTGGTGGCAGAGAAGAGGATGTGGAGTCGAGATCCCCGAGAACAATAAAGCCATATTGGCAATTTAATGTGCTGCAAAACATTAGAACATTCGATTGGCGCCGAGCGAACGACAACACGCATACGCACCGTATGCCCAAGCCGAGGAGTGCATTTTAAGCAGCTGAGGCTGAGCACGTAAACAGAAACATTGCCAGTGAATAGTGAACAGTAGTGCACTTGTGCAGCTGGAAGGCAAAGCTAAGTTCACCGTTTACTTATCTTTGGCAATGCCCAACACGTATCCACATTAAGTCACACAGCCGCCCAGAGAACCACCTCATTTCCTCCCCCCGAAACAACTTCATTTTCAGCTGATTCTCCAGCCAGAAGTTCACAGAATTTAAGGAATTTTTTCAGCTGCCTTTTGCCATGACCCTCATTCGGCAGCAACATTTCCACACGGGACACAGGACACCAGACCACCACCCATTGTCATTTGCATACTTTTCGTTGCAATTTTCGCAGCGAACTTGTAAATTTGACTTTATATATGCAAGGTGCAAATCTGTTTAGCGTCCCTCGTGTGCCGGAAAAAAGCTGCATCAAAATGCATTTATGCAAAGGCCAATGGAACTTACAGCGAAATTAAGTCACCATGGCCGGAACATCTGACTGATGACTGATGAGGCTGACGATGGAGTTGAAAGTTGGAAGCGCGAAAAAATTACTGCGGGGTATAAAAGTGTATATATATCAATGGCAGCTGATGCAGAAACTTCTGCGGCATTTGCATGGAAAATTCTTGCGGGCATAAAAAAAATATTTTACTTCATTCAACCGGGGATTTTTCGTGAATTATGGAAAGTATTAACCAATAAAAAACAGGTCAACGGTAATTAAATATTTATAATGTGCGGGAAAAACGAGAAATATTATACAGGATTGTAAATTTCGTAACGAAAACACGAACTTTCATTTTATGTAACGTGAGAATAATTTAAAAAAGTAAATATTTATGAAATAAAATTTTCAATGAAGTGAATTCAATATCAACAATTTAATATTTCCAATTTAATATTTCCAGAAACTTAAAAGGTAAATTTAAATAGCCTGAGAATAAATTTAATAACTAAATATTTATTAAATTTAATTTATAATTGAGTGAATTCATCAACAATTTAATGTTTCAATTTTATTTGCACAGTTTATAGTTTACGAGCTAGTCATAAATATCTTATCGTTCTAGATAGCTCTAAGTTATCGCTCATCCTATTCATTCCTTTCCAGTAGTTGATTCATATTCAAAAGTGTGCCCAAACATTATCTCCACTGGCCACAAAAAATATGCTCGTAAATGTGAAAACACTCTATAATGAGCTAATCAAGCAAACTCCCGAACGGCAAAAACAACATAACAAAGTTGTTTGCGGATAAATGCAAATGGTTTTCGTTTTTCGGTTGCTGAACTTTTACGACGGCATTACAAAGTCATAAAACATCCGACTTTATTTTTGGGATAGCACCTAGATTGGCAAACGCAGCACAAAAGTATGAAATCAAAATTACAAATAAAGCTTAGGGTTTTAGCGATTTCCTCGGATTTTGTAGCGCCAAGTTGAATTTTGACAGACTGTTTTCTAATAAATTATAACACAGTTTTGTGGTGTTTGCTAATAGCTGGAAAGTCAACGAAGCTAATGCTGTTGACAGAGGGAAAGGAGAGGGGTGAAAATAGAGGGGAAAAGAGCCATACCCCAATCGCATTACGTATACGCCACGTTGAGCGCATTTTGGCAGAATGGCAATTGACTTTAATTACTTCGCCTCTGAAAAGTCATGTGGGAGTGTGTATGTTGGCACACGATGTCATCAGATGTGTGAAGAAAGTGTAGGTGGTCAGGGGGCTAGGAAGAGGAAGGAACTTTCATTAGTTTTTGGGTGGAACCAACCGACTGATGCCATGTCGGAAGCCACTAAAAGTCTTTACATGCTCCTCCTCTTTCACCCACTACATATGAAAACAGTTTGTGAAATTTAATTTTCAGCACTCTTGATTTTTAAATGGCAGTGCGCGGGCGGAAGAAAGAGTGCAATGAAATTTGCTGTTAATTTGTACAGAAATGTCTCTATTAAATTTTAAATTGGTTTCTGCTGGTAAATGTTATGAATTGCCTCAAAGTGTGGCCACCAAAGGTTGTAAATGCATGTAAGGCAAAAAAAGGAGAAAGAAATGAGAACGAGGAGGAAAAATTGGCACGTTCTTGCTGCGGATGCTTTCAATGCTATGCATTCAATGGGAAGGAAGCGCCTCAATGGACAGGGTATGCTGCATATCTGCCTGTGAAAAGAAGCAGCTGCACAGCAAAATGTTTTCACTGTCCTGCAGTTGTGAAAATGTTTTTCAGGTTGAACTAAATTCATGCGAAATTAAAGTCAAATATATAACCTATTTTTTAAAAAAAATCTTAAGAAATAAATTTCTAAAATAAATAAAAATAGTTGAGATTAAATCTGAATGCTAAAGCTTTTTTGCTTGTGGCTGTGCGGGGACTCTTTAGCATTTATAAGCTTTTTTTGTATATTTTAATATATTAAATTGCTTAAACATTTTTAAATATTTTATAATCTCAGTGAGACGTAAAATTGCTTTTATAAAGTTTAGTTTTTAGATTGAATTAAATTCCTGCTCAATGTGTATTTTAATAAATTAAATTGCTTAAACATTTTTAAATATTTTATAATCTCAGTGAGACGTAAAATTGCTTTTATAAACTTTAGTTTTTAGATTGAATTAAATTCCTGCTCAATGAAAAACAAATATATTGATTGAAACTTATCTCACAGAAAGATCTAAGTAAATAAATAAATTGAATGGCATAAAAGAAGAAAGGAAAGTATTTGATATTCTTCAGCAGTAAAGATGCAGCTTAACACGCATAGTTTTTCGAATATTTTATTATCTCAGCGAGATGTGAAATAGCTCCATTAAACTTTATTCGAAACTATATTAAATTGATTTCTTAACCAATTCTTTTCCGTGCAGGAAGGTGCTGTTGAATGAAACCAACTGCTGTTGTGGGATGCGTGTGCAATCTGGCAATAAATATTTTATATTTACAATATGCTGCTCTGCTGGGAGCCAGCAGCAAAGTCGGGCATATTGATTCTCCTCGAATGTACGCAAATAGTTGGGAGGGAAAAAGCGAAAAAAAACAAATTGTATTGTTATTTAAATCGTTAAAACTCGCCAGCTGAATTCTTAATGGTCGTGTAGATCCACTTTGAATTTTAGTTCGCTGCGATGGCATTCCACACGGGCCTCGTAATTCTCTACCGTTTATGGTCTTAAATGTTTGCTCACTTTAACCCAACGGAAATCGGTTGCACAGCCTCACCGGAAGTTGTCTGTTTTTTATATTTATTTTATGTCTTTTATGACGCTGCATTTTGTGGCATGTATGGGCCGGGTCAGCTTGTTCTTGGCTTTATTATATCCCGGCCAAGGAGTTGGCCTGGGCAATTAAATAAAGACATTTATACAGCTGCTTCGGCCTGGCTGTTTGGCTATTTGGGGACTGAACCGAACTGAAACTGAACTGGACCGTGTTGCGCATCGTAAATGAGTGGAGATATTTTAACAGGGGCTAATGTCTGGCCAAGCGACTCATTGGGGGCCATAGCCTTGGCATAATAAACATGTACTGTAATTAACATTTTATTGGAGCTTCTTTGTTAGATTTAAGACCATAGTGTAGCCGAAGGAATTTCATAGCGTTTAATATTAAATGAAGTAATCATGATACCAATTATAAAACCTATATAAAATAAATATTCATTTACATAATATTGGAGTTTTATATTAGGTTTATAGTTTATTCCTGGAAAAAAAATACACGATGTTCAATTAATCATAGTCCATAGTACTAAAGCTCTTCTGCTACTTCCTTTTCCTTTTTCCAGCCTTTAAAATATTTACAAATATTTTAGAATATTTTATAAAATATAAATTAAATTACTGAAAAACACTTACTACTACTTAATCATTTTCGATGGTTTTCAAGCCCTTCCTTTCTGCATGCTCTTCCTTTTGGCAGCCTTTAAAATATTTTAAAATATTTTACAAAATAAAAATCATTTATTTTAACACTTACTACCGTACGAAATTGATCTTGTTGCTGCTTGGTGAGCTTTGACCAAATTCTAGCCGCCTTTTGCAGCCTCTTCTTAACGTCCACGTTGACATTTCGCTTCTGGTGTTCGCGCAAAAAGTTTATAAAAGCGGAACTCATCACGGGACTGGGGAAAGCCTTTCTAGTCCTAACTGTAATTTTCTTCTTGCCCTGATTACGCATAGTACGGACGGCTTTCTTGGCTGCATTATTACGCTTTCCGCAAACGGATTTCTTTTGCTTGGTCACTGCTTTCCTTTTCGCAATGGCTGGCTTTTTCTTGACGGGTATAACTCTTGGTCTCACCTGGATAACTTACTCTATAGATGCTGTTAATCAACTGACAAAAACTCACTTCAAAGTGCTTTTTCTGAGAGGGCAATAGCTTCCCCCAGGCATTTTCTCCCGATCTCTGGACCTCCTCATCGTCCATGTAGGCATGATTCCTCTTATAGGTCCTCATGAAGTTCTTAAGGGCCTTGGACTCCGTTTCCGAATAGGGCTTCACATTCGAGGCACCCATGGTATAGATTAACTATTGTATAATTTATAAGAATTTTGGTAAAAAATAATATTCTTGAATTTTTAGGAAATTTCTTTACAAAATATTTTATAAATTTTATCACAAATTTTGGTTGCGTTTGGCTGTGTTAAAAATTTGATGTTGATCTGAATACTGGAGGTTTTATCAACGCCTGCCTATTTCTCTATATTACAAGATGTGTTCCTAATTCGGTTTCCTTTGGGCTCACAAGTTGATAATTAAATTTATTTGGCAAACAAACGTCTTTGTTGTTCTGCCATCCTTATTATTTTGGCAAGTAATTAAGCAAACTTTCTACTGTCGTTTTTCTTATGTCTTTTGGATTTTGTTTTTATTCGTAGGCCATCACGTTTGACATGCCTTGACATGGCCAAAAGGAAGAAAATAGGAAAAAGGAAAAGAAAAACCTCACAGAATGGGCCTCAATTTTCTACGTGCACACCATAAAGTTGATGTGTAATTTGTTTTTATATGCATTCAACAGAACTTGCCAAATTCTATTACAAGTTTACAATTGTGTTACTACTACGAAGACGAAGAGAGAGCTTTCCGACTCGTCTTCACCTTAATAAACCATAACTAATGGGGTCGCACAAGCAGAAGTATCTTGAGCATCTCGAGTATCTTGGCTGTGTGTTGTGGAAAATGTGTGGAAAATGCAGGAAAATGCTTTAAAGCGTCGAAAGCAGCTTAGCAGCTTTCAATTTTGCAAAATAACAACGTGGGGAAAATTGTAGCCCCTCCAAGAAAGGAAAAAAGGCAAACAAGTAAATGAAATTTCCGTTGTGAGCTGTTCTGCCTTCCCGATCGTTTAGTGTATCAATAACTGAATAACAGGCTAAGAAGACTGTGTGTGTTTGGTGCTGCTTTGTTTGCCTCTGCAATTTGAAGTGCCGGAAATATGCTTTAGCTTTATGGGCTTCTCGCAGATAAAGTCTGCCTTCAACCTAGAAAGTTCTGGCTAAAAAGTTGACTCAAATTACTGCGTCTAGCCGCACAGAGAGTTACATCTCGGGAGCTCCCTCCGAAGAGATAATATCTTTTGATTAGTGGCAACCGCAAAAACTTTAATTAAATTCGCACACACAATGAATGCTCCTCTGCTCGGCTGCTGCTGCAAAAGTTTATGCAGCATTTGTGCCATGTCACCAGATAAGTTTTCATCGCCTGGACAACACACACGCATTTGGACTCCAGACCTGCGCTTTAAGTTTTACAATTCGAAAATAACTTAACGGAGCAAAAGTTTTCCATACAAAAGTTATGCCGAGTTTTAAGAGGGAGTGGGCGAAATCTAATGAATTAATTAGTGGATTTCAGATGAAGCCAAAAAGCTTCCGCCAAACCAGCAAACCACTTGAAGCCGTAATTCATTGAAAATTCATCGTTTCATTTATTTTGTTTATTTATTTGTTTGGCTTTGATAACTTTGAGCATTGTTAAGTTGATTAAGAACCATATTTCGTCTCGAATTTCTAGTAATTTCTGTCCTTTAATATTACAAAATGCATGTATAATTTATTGAATAGATTTAAAGATTTTTAATTTATTCACTTTTACTTTATTTTTATTTATTTTAGAGATTTTGGAATTTAAATTATTTAAATAGATTTAAATTGTTTTTTTTTAAACGTAGTTTAAGGAGCCCAAATTTATTTATTTAAATATTTTAAAATGACCAATCGCTTTTTCACCCCCAACTTTAAAAGATGTCGCCATTCCCGCACCCAAAATGGCTGCGGCGCAGTAAAAAATTCATTGTTATATTTTATTTTATTCATTTATTTATTTAGTTCTGGTAACTTTAAAGACATACGAGTATATTCTCCCTCACATTCCTATGCCATAAATTCCGAACCAGGGCGAATCGCAGGACAAAGGCAGCGGCAGCCAGCGACTCGCAGCACACTCCCCAGAAATAACTCATATCGAATTGCACCATTTGTTGTTTTGTCTCCCTAGGGAGGATATTGAGTTACGCTGGCTGGGATTGGGATTGGGATCCCAGGGTGAAGTTGTTGTTTCATTTTTCGGAGGGCTGCGGCTCGTTGGCTCCCATTGCCCGATGCCAATGGATCGCCACTTGGTGGCACTTTTATTCTGTTTCATTTTTTGTGTTTGCTTCGTTTGACGCTTTCGATTTTGATTTTGATAGATTTATCACAGCTTACAAAAATAAGGCGAAAAGTAAAACGATAAAAAAGGAACTCTATGCAAATGAAAAATCTAAAATTATGTCCATTAACTGGACGGTGTAATGGCCATCCTAATCATTGAGCCACGCCCACGCCCCCGAGCCTTAAGTTTGTCTTCGCTCGCACTCTTCGACCGGGTGACGTGGGCATCGCTGGCAATGGGATGCCACATCAACATTACACCCTCCTTACAATATCATCGTCATCTCCTGTCTAAAAGTACAAAAAGCTAGAAAATCAGGGGAGCTTATCCCCTCACTCTCTTGTCATATATAAAATACAATTTGAAATACGCTTAACCTAAGGACTAAAGTGTTTCTTATGTTTCGTTGTCGTTCAGTTCGACTATTTGGAGCTCTTCTTCTTTTTGCTCTTGGGCAAATCCGCCCACAGCCGGAAGAAGTACTCGTCGCGTTGGAGCAGCCTGCCGCGGGCATACGAATGGATGTCCGCATCCATGTTGTGGTCACGCAGCCACGAGGAGGTGTTGCACGAACTCATCTCCGTGCGCGGCTCGTCCGGCAGGCTCTCATGACCTGGTTTTGGATGAGAAAATGAAATATATGAACGTTTTGACAAATTGTTTTAGCCAGATTCCCAATTCTATTTCCTTAAACGGGAACCTTCAATAGAGAACTGGCAAGTTAAAAAAAAAAATATTTTTTTCATTATAACAAATATTAATGCATTTTTAATTAACATATTTTCATGTTCAAACTCATTAGAGATTTGAAATCACCTAAAAAAAGTGTCTAAAAGTATGCAGTGAAAATAAGAATAAACTTTAAAAATATTGTTGCATACTTTTAGACACCTATACATAGATTTTGTGAATTAGGATTGCAGTTTTTCAATTAGATCTAAACGACACTCACCAGCAGTCATGACCTTGTAGGGCTCCTCCGATTCCAGAGGTTCACTCAGACCAATCTCGTTCTTCGCGAATATACGAATCATGTACTCGTGGTTCTCCTGCAGATCTCGAATCTGGAATTTCTGCACACCGGCTGGCACACGACCCACCTCAATCCACATGGTCTTCTTCATGTCCCTAATCGCAATGTGGTAGCCGAGCAGAGGCGCACCTCCATCTGACTCGGGTATACCCCATTCGAATATGTGGGCATTGGCGGCGAGAACGCGCGCCTCCAGTGGAGCGGTGGGTGGTGAGGGTACGGCTATAGAAAGATAGATATTAGTATAGGATTTATTTTAAATATCTCCCAATTTAAACGTACTGGCATGTGTCTTGAGCGATATGCTCTCGGTGACGGCTGGTGCACCTAGTCCAACCTCATTCTCCGCAGACACACGGAACCAGTACTCGCACTTCTCCTTCAGATTGTCAATCGTGTAGTGCAGCTGGTGAGCATCCAGAGTGATGACCTTTGTCCAGGTGGTAGATGTTGAGGAACGTTTCTCCACGCAGTAGCCTTGAAGATAGTTAAGAAACAGTAGAGGATTTTTAAAATATTCCTAAAAATATCCATATCTTACCCGTGATTTCTGATCCACCATTGCGGGCTGGCACCTCCCAATCCAAAGTGACACTTCGGCTGGTAACATCTGGCGCCCTCAAGTTCTGGGGTGGCGATGGAGGCGCTGGTTATAAAAAAATATTAGCATTTAGTAGCCCAACACACCAAACTTCTAAAACTTGTACCATACCTAGACTTTCACTTTCATTAGCTGTTGTCATTTTGGGGTTAGAATTGCGCATGTTTAAGCATTAGTGGCATTTTAAAAAAATATATAAGCATTTTGCGAAAGCAGTAAGCAATTGTTATAATAGGAAAAACCTTTTCAGAAAACTTACTTATCTTGCGGCCCACGACGATCTTCTCCGTGGTCTCGAACGCCTCGCTGGTGCCAACCTCGTTTCTCGCATAGATGCGGAACAGATAGCCCTTGTTCCTGACCACCTTCTCCACATGGATGTTGGTGACAGTGCCCAGGGTGACGCCCACCTTGCGATAGGTCGTCTCAGTCTCTTCCCTGATCTCCACAATGTACTCGATGATCTTGGAGCCACCATCGGTTTCCGATGGCTCCCAGGCCAAGTTGAAGACAGTGTCGTTCATGCCCGACACAGTGGTTGGACCACGTGGTGGGGATGGTTTTTCTGGAAAATAAAAAAATAAAAAAAATATAGCAATTTAGCCGAGAGCTCTATACAACTCTTCCGCACACTTACCGAACTTCTTGGTTATAGTCACAGGATCACTTTCCGTTGGCTCGGACTCGCCAATGGGATTGGCGGCCACCACACGGAACATGTACTGCGCATTCATGGATAGTTTCTGAACCGCATAGGACTTAATGTCCTTGTCAAAGTCGGAGACCTTCATCCACACATTGTTCTGGATGTCGCACTTCTCCAACGTGTACTTGTTAATCTCCAGACCGCCATCATCGATGGGCGGTGTCCATTCCAGGACGATCGAGTCCTTCTTGATGTCCTTGATCTCCAGGGACTGAGGTCTGCTCGGCTTGTCGATCACCTGAACCGTGCACTCGACATACGTAGAGCCCGATTCATTGGTGGCCGTAACCTTGTACTTGCCGGACTGTTCGCGGGTCACCTTCTTGACGGTGTACGTGGAGCTGATCTCAGTGGTCTCAATGGTGACCGTCTTGGTGGTCTTCTGCTCCACGGTCTCCTTGTGCCAGGTCACCGAGGGCTGCGGATAGCCGCGGACTGTCGCTGGAATGGTGAGAGTGCTGCCCGTGCGCAGCTTCTGCGTCAAATACTTGTCCTCCACCTCGAGAACTGGTTTCTGCTGCAGCTTCAGGCGGCACGAGGTCTCCACGGAGCCCTTCTCGTTGGTCGCCACGCACGTGTAGGTGGCTTCAGTCTCAATGGTTGTCTTTTCAATGGTGAACTTGGCCACGCGGTTCTCGTAGCGAATGCTCGTCGACTCGAACACCTGGCCGTTCTTCTTCCACGTCACCTTGGGCTCTGGAATGCCGCCGAAGACGCAGGACAGTGTGACCTCCTTGTCCAGTTCGATGACCACATCCTGCAGTGGTTCCCGCACGCTGGGCGCCTCGGTCTCGACCTTGGGCACCAGCCGGATGGGTGGCGACAGTGGAGAGGGTGGCGATGGTCCCACCTCGTTGACGGCAATCGAACGGAACACGTACTCCGTGTCGATCTTCAGCTTGCTTATGGTGTAAGTGGTGTCCTTGATCTTTCTAATTTCAGTCCATCTAGGGGGTGAATAATAATAATTGTTTAGTACTTGGATAACTCAAGGGAAATAAGGAATATAAGGGATAAGGAATATAAGGGAAATAAGTATCTTGTTTTAATTTAAAAAAAAAAATAAATAATTAAATAAATAATTTAAAACTCGAAGTAGAAAAACTTTCGAAAAAGCATTTTATAAAATGATTAATTTGATATTACTTAATATTTAAAATAAATAAAAAAAGAAATAAAAAAATAAAAAATGTATAAAACAATAAAACCACCATAACTTTTTCTTAAATGTCTACGAATTCTAGTTATTTAAATCTTAGAAAGACAATTTTAAATGAAGTATAATAACACTTTTGTTCAGACAAGAAAAAGCTGTGCTTACATTTTTTATTTAAAATCCCCTTAAGCATTTTCTTCCTGTACTTACTTTTCTTCCTTAACATCGTGATACTCCAGAATGTACTCGATAATTTCCGACTTGCCATCGTCCTCTGGCGCCTTCCAGTAGAGCGTAATGGAGTCGTGCATTATCTCCAGCGGTTGCGGCGTTCCAGGTGCCGTTGGCTTGCCTAAGTATTTGATTAGGGTCTTCAGTAATTAACTGGCATATGGGCGGTTCTTTTACAAACCGAACACCTTTTATTGGCTCACATTTTTGATTTGCCTGAAACTTTTTTTACACGTACTATTCGGAAAATAAGTAAACACGTGTATCAGGATTTGACCGAAAAAAAATTATTTTCCTAGTTAGAATTTTTTTAAGTGTGCCTAAAATTGTCAAATTTGAAAAAGTACCCTCTCATTGTAAATCTGTATCTCCGGTTATATGAATCCAATTGACTTCATGTCTTTTGCATTAATTCCTCTAAAACCTCTCCTTTCAAAATAAAATTTCTTAAAAAAAATTTTTTTTAATTTCTTAATAATAAAAACAAATTAAGATTTAAAAAAATTTTTTAACTATTGCCCCCACAAAAAAATTTTTTTTTTTTTTTTTAATACTTGCGCCATATTGTTAGTTACAATCGGTTTTTGTAAAAAGTTGGAGCCACTTTTAGTTTTTAAAATATCGAATTTGTTTTAGCAAGGCCTCGGCTTTTTTCTATGAAAAAACGTCGCAGCAAGTAGATCTACTCTCTCACTCTTATCGGATCCTAATGGAATTTATGTTTTCTCATTGTTTATTCGTCCTTTAACAATTGTTAATGATTAAAAGTTAAGTTTTAAGTTTTTTGACAATTTCTGAATGACAAAAAGTAAAAAGTCATTTTTTAATCAATTAAAAACTTACAACTATTTATTTAACCGTCTATTTAATAAACAATAATTTTAAATTTATTTTATTTATTATTTTTTTATATTATGTAATTTATTAAACATTTTTAAATATTTTTTTTTAAGTTTTTAAAAAAATTTATTTAATAAAAATAAAAAATTATAAAATTTAATTATTTTTTTTTTTAATTTAAAAATAAATATTTAAAAATGTTTAATAAATTACATAATATAAAAAAAATAATAAATAAAATAAATTTAAAATTATTGTTTATTAAATAGACGGTTAAATAAATAGTTGTAAGTTTTTAATTGATTAAAAAATGACTTTTTACTTTTTGTCATTCAGAAATTGTCAAAAAACTTAAAACTTAACTTTTAATCATTAACAATTGTTAAAGGACTAGTAAACAATAAGAAAACATAAATTCCATTAGGATCCGATAAGAGTGAGAGAGTAGATCTACTTGCTGCGACGTTTTTTCATAGAAAAAAGCTGAGGCCTTGCTAAAACAAATTCGATATTTTAAAAACTAAAAGTGGCTCCAACTTTTTACAAAAACCGATTGTAACTAACAATATGGCGCAAGTATTAAAATAAAAAAAATTTTTTTTTGTGGGGGCAATAGTTAAAAAATTTTTTTAAATCTTAATTTGTTTTTATTTTTAAGAAATTAAAAAAAAAATTTTTAAGAAATTTTATTTTGAAAGGAGAGGTTTTAGAGGAATTAATGCAAAAGACATGAAGTCAATTGGATTCATATAACCGGAGATACAGATTTTCAATGAGAGGGTACTTTTTCAAATTTGACAATTTTTGGCACACTTAAAAAAATTCTAACTAGGAAAATAATTTTTTTTCGGTCAAATCCTGATACACGTGTTTACTTATTTTCCGAATAGTACGTGTAAAAAAAGTTTCAGGCAAATCAAAAATGTGAAATTTTTTTTTTGCCAAATCTGTTCGGTTTGTAAAAGAACGGCCCATATATAAAGCAGGGGCTACTTACGCATAATGACCAAGTGAAGGCTGGCCTCCGCCTCGCCCACCGGATTGACGAGCTTGACGGTGTACTCGCCCTCGTCATCGTCGACAACCTTTTTGATGGTTAGCGTGGCCGACTGCTCATCGATGGCCGGGATAGTCCGCTTTGACTTGGGTATGACAACCTTGCGCGCGGTCCAAACGGCCTCGGGGGTGGGTACTCCCGTGTACTTGACAGTGAAGGTGGCATCGTCGCTCTCCTTAACCTTGATGGTCTGATCCTTGTCAGAGGTAATGACGGGTGGCAGTTTGAGCTCCTCGACGCACAGCTTAGTGCTGCTGGTGACATTCTCGGCCACGCAGCTGATCTCGCCGGCATCCTCGTCGCTGGCATCGTGGATGACCAGCCGGCGAACGGTGCCCTCCACAAAGACCTCGTGCTTCTTGTCGGGCTTGATGGGTTTGCCCTTCTTGCACCAGGTCACCTCAACATCGGGCTGCGACAGCTGTACCGTAAACTCGGCATCTGTGGTCTTGGTGGCCAGTGTGACATCCGGCAGGCGAATGACAAAGTCCACCAAGGGTTCTTCCACTGTCAGTTTGCCCTTGGAAGACTTATCACCCACCTGAACGGAATATTCACCCACGTCTTCGGGTTTGGCCTTGACAATCCTCAGCGATTGCTTCTTGCCATCGATGGCCAGTTGAATGCGCTCATTGAACACAATCTCCTTGCCGTTCTTGAACCATTTAACCAAGGCATCGCCCTTGCTTAGTTCCACCTCGAAAATAGCATTTTCACCCTTGGTCACCGAAACATCCTTCAGAGGCTCGACAATCTCGGGCGGCAACTCGATGACCACCAGCTCACAACTGCACTCCTGTCCTTCAATCTTGCAAGTGTACTGACCCTCATCGTGGATGGTGGTATCGCGAATAACCAGGCGACGGGCCTTGCCATCCTTGATGAACTCAACGTTCTTGTTTTCGGGAGTAATCTTCTCGCCATCCTTGTACCAAGTGACTTCAGTCGATTCGGTAGTAAGTTCCACATCCAAAATGGCGGTATCCTTCTCGGTTACCTCGTAGTCCTCCAGCACCTTGATAAAGTCGGGCTTACGCTGCAGAACTTCGACAGTCGATTGGGTTTCCTGCTTCTTCACCTTGCACGTGTAGGTTCCGGAGTCACGCAGGTTAGTGTTGCGAATGACCAACTTGTGAGTCTTGCCATCCTCAACCACAACACGATGATCCATGCCGCTGAGTTCCTTGCCGTTGAAGAACCACTTTGTGGTGACCACGTGCGAGGTTTCGCACTCCAGCGTGAGAGATTGTACCTCCTCAATGGTGATGGTCTTCTTCAGCTTCTTGGTGAAGGTCACTTCGTCGACCTCGACAATCACTCGGGCACCATGCGATGTCTTGCCAATTGGGTTACTGGCAATGCACTTGTAGTCACCCGAATCGGTTTCCGGATTGGCATCCTTGATGATGAGCTCGATGTTCTCGCCATCGTAAACCTGCTGGATGCGCTCGCTGGGGAACAACGGAGTGTTGTTGAACAGCCATTGAACCTCGGGCACCGGATTACCAGAAACCTTGGCTGGCAAGTGAATCTCGCCCTTTTGCGGAACATTCTGCTCCTCAAAGCGTTCGACGAACAGTGGTGGTTCGGCATTTCCACTGGTGGGTTCTAAATTATAAGGAAATAAAATTAGTTAGTACTTGTGAAATTAAGACACCTTTTCAAAATTAAACATAAAACAAAGAACCTACCTTCAATGGTCAGATTGGCAGTGGTCTCCACACTTCCCAAGGGATTCACAGCCTTAACCGTGTATTCACCCTTCTCAGACTTTTTGGGCGTGATCAGTGTTAGGGTATGCAAATCCTTATCGGACTTGGCATTCTTAACGGGCTTGCCATCCTTGTACCAGGTTACCTTTGGTGGTGGGTTGCCCACAATCTGGGTGGAGAGAACCACACTCTCGCCCTCGCGAATGACCATGTTACGCAGGGGTTCCAGGATCTGGGGGGCCTCCTTGTCGGTGGTTCGCACCTTCAGGGTGATGGGCAGACGTGCCTCACCCTCGCGATTGGTGGCAATCACCTCGTAGGTGCCCTCCTGCGACTTCTTCACCTTGGTGATGTGCACCACGCTGCAGTACATGTGCATGTCCGATTCGGTGACGATGCGCACGTTCTTGAGCTCCTCCTCGTCAATGTCCTCGCCATTGAAGGTCCACACAATGTCCGGTTCTGGCACGGCCACCAGTCGGCACTCAAGAATCACATTCGTATTCTCGTCGACATACTGGGCCTTTGGTTTCTTGGAGAAGGTGGGTGGAATGCCCTCCAAGATGTCAGCCAGTGACGATTCACGTGACATGCTGCGACGTGAGAGGGCTGTGGCATCGGATCCATGATCGGACAGTGGGCTCTCCACAATCAGTTCCGTTGTGCTGGAAGTGAAGCCGGCTGCATTCTTGGCCACTACGGTGAACTGGCCAGCATCCTCGGGAAAGACCTCGCGAATAATCAAAGTGGCCACATTGTCGTCATCGTAGAACATTTGGAAGTCCTGCGAGGGTTTGATGATCGCCGTTTCGCGGAACCAGGCAATCTGTGGTCGCGGATTGCCCTCGACCTTGCACTCGAATTGCACAGTATAGCCATCAGGAGTGTGAATTGGCTGCAGTTTCTCAATGAATCTCGGGGCAATGGGCTTGTCTTCCGGTCCAGGACCTTAACAGTTCACAATCACAACAAGAAAATACAATAATTTGTTAATAACAAAAACGTGGACGGCGACCAAACAGTGTTTAGGCAGACAAATAGACATTTCTCTTAAAGATAATAACTTACGTTCGAACACAGGCAGCTTATCGATTTTCTCGTGCAATTTGTTTTGCACATACTGCGCGTATTCCTCGGGCTCCATTAGATATTGCGCTGGAACCCAGCCCTCCTCTTCTGTAATGCTCTTCTTGACATACCACCACTCGGAGCTGTGACGTCCGACGACCGTTACCTTCTCACCCTCGACCAGGTTAATGGCCTCATCGTTGTCGGCAATGTAGTTGCAGATGGAATACATAACATTTTGATTGTCGGACTCTAAAATTGATAAATTAACATGTAATTTCAATGTTACAAATATCTAAATTAAAGTCTACTTACCTTCAACATTCATTTCTCTGGTTATATTAAGAGAAGCTCCATCTGTGTAAAAATAAAACATTGTAAATACCTTCTCTCGAAGTCATTTTAATTATTTTTAAGTTGTGAACAATGAATGGTTAAGCGTTAGCAACCGACATTCAAGTTGGGTATTTTTACCTTGCCACTCTGATATCATATAAGCTGATATTTGTTTATGTAAAAGTAAAGCATTTTGATTTGTATGTAAATTACCGTTATTGGTGACAAAAGCCGACTTACCTTCATTGAAAAGTTGTTGAACAACTTTACGCTTCTTCTTAAAGGTGAGCGAATCCTCGTCGTAGGTCACCGAATCGCGTTTCGGGTGACGGATGCCAATCAGGAACTGTTCTTCCTCCTCGTCTTGAACGGAGTAGGCTGGCTTGGGTTGTTTCTTCGGCTTCAGCTTGAAGTCCACTTCGTCTGGTGGCAATTCCTCGACAAAGTATTCTTCTGGTTCCTCGACTTCATCGATGGTATCCTCATCGTCTCTGATTTCTTCGATGATGGGCTCCTCACCATCGTCGTAGTCCTGAATGATCCTGATCTTGGCCTCGTCGGCTGCTTCAGAGAAGGTCTTCTTGATTGGCTTCTTGAGCTTGATCTTTCCAGACATGGAGATCTCCTCCTCGGCATACGAGTCTAGGGCAATGTTGAACTCCTGGTCGACATCTTCCTTGGTCTTGGTACTTCTCGCACGGAATGTGACGTTCTCAACGTCAGCGTATTCGGGAATGTCTACTTGCTTGCGACGCTTCAGTTTCTTCACCGTGTAGGCCTCCTCATCCTCTTCGGTGATCTGCAGAGGCTTTGGCTTTCTTCGCTGACTGACGACGAACTCCTCAACATCCTCGCCCTCTTCGTATTCCTCTTCTTGCCGCTTAATGGAAAGTTCAGCAGCAGCTTCATCCAAAGTAGTGGGCTTGACGGGTCGTTTCTTCAGCACAGTGGCAGCCTCCTCCACACCCTCGTTAATAGTGTGGGGCTTTTTGAAGGAAAGACTGAACTCAGTTTCTTCGAGATCTTCAACAGTTGGCTCGAAGACCTTCTTCGGCTTCCTGCGAACGACGACCGCTTCTTCGACGATCTCCTCTTCTTCAATTTCCACGGGTCTTTCTTCAACGACAGTTTGCTGCAGCTTAAGCTCATCCGCCGCCTCCTCCACCGGTTTTTGTGGCTTCTTCTTTTTCTTCAGCTGTACAGTTTGGTCAGAGGTTTCCTCGGTTACCTTCTTTTCCTTCGGCAGCTTAACATCAACAGAGAATTCCTCTTCGGTAACCTCCTTCGGGGCCTTGGGCTTCAGGGTGACTTCAGCAGCCACCTCCTCTTCCTCTACTGGCTGTGGTTTCTTTAGTTTCACAACCGCTGCATCGACAATGTCTTCTGGCTCAGGCTTCTTCTTTTTAATCTGGACTTCCTCGATGACCTCTTCTTCCACGATCGGCTCGGGGATAACTTCTTCTTCAACCTTGACCGTAAGTTCCTCGGCGGCAACTTCTTCGACAGGCTTCTTGGGCTTCTTCTTTACTATCTTTGCTTCTTCCTGGACTTCTTCAATCTTTGGCTTTGGTTTCAGAGTAACTTCGGCTTCTGGTTCTTCGACCACCGGAGATGCCTTTGGTTTCTTCTTTGGTAAGGTAACTTCTTCTTCCTCTGGAACTTCTGGCTCAGTTTCTTTAACGCCAATCTTGTACTCAGTGGGCTGTTCTTCCGCGACTTCTTCGATTTCCTCGATGATTTCCTGAACTTCTGGTTCCGCGGGAACTTCCTCAGCGATAGTTACCTTAAGCTCAGCAGCAGCCTCTTCTTCCTTAACAGGCTTCTTAGACTTCTTCTTGATCTTGGCTTCCTCGGTAACTTCTTGTACTGGCTGCTTCGGCTTAACCACGAACTCAGCCTCGGGTTCTTCGACAACCTCGGCAACTGGCGCCTTCTTTTTCTTCTTCTGGAGCGTGACCTGTTCCTCGGGCAATTCTTCCACAGTGGGTTCCTTTTCGGCCTCCTTAATGGCAAAGCTGAAGTCCTCAGGTTTTTCTTCTAGGGCCTTTGGTTCCTCGACGATTTCAATTTCTTCGATCTCTTGGACAAGTTCTTGTGGTGCAGCCACTTCTTCAATTATTGTTATCTTCAGATCAGCGGCTTCCTCCTCGGTCGGTTGTTCTGGAACAACGGGAATACTGGCCGTGGCTTCCACTTCATCGACAGGCTTTGGAGCAGAGACAGTAACTTCCGCCTCGGGTTCCTCCTTAACTTCTGGCTTAGGTTTCTTCTTGCGAATAACCTTGACCTCCTCTTCGATGACTTCCTCAACCAGTTCACGAGGAGTTTCCTCAATGACCCTAACCTTGTGTTCTTCGTAGACTTCTGGTTGCGGCTCTTCCACAATTGGCTCCGTTACCACTGGCTCTTCTTCGACAATTACTTCGGCAGGTTTCTCTGGCTGAGTCTCCTTAATGCCTATTTTGTATGTCTTTTCTTCAGCCACCGGAACTTCTTCCTTGACTTTAGTGATAACCTCTTCCTCTTCGACTTCCTCAATTATGGGAACTTCTTGTGGAATCTCCTCGGTGATCTGAATATTTAGTTCCTCAGCTTCCACCTCCTTGACCTTCTTCTTCGGCTTCTTGGTCTTGATTTGAGCTTCCTCTGTAACTTCTTCAATGGGCTTGCTCTCCTTAAGAATTATTTCAGTTGCGGGTTCATCGGCGAAAGTGACAGATGGCTTGCGTTTCTTAACCGTAAACTGTGCCTCACTTGGTTCTTCGGGCTTGACTTCAGTTTCTGAAACACGAATTCTGAACTCCTCAGGCTTTTCTTCGACAACGACTTCCTCCCTTTCTACAACCTCAACCTGGGGAGCTTCAATCACCACTTCTTCGGGAACAGGCGCTTCGGACTCGACAACCTTGATTTCCAACTGAGCTTCTTCTTCGGTCTTCTTTGGCTTTTTGGTCTTCTTCTGCTTGATTGCAGTTTCCACAGTAGTTTCTTCCGTGACCTTTGGTTCAGTCACCACAAACTCGGCCTCGACTTCTTCTGGTTGCTTGGGCTTCTTCTTTTTGAAAACAACCTCTTCAGGAGCTTCTTCCTCTGGCTGTTCTTCAACTATGGCAACCTTTTCTGCTTCAGTTTCCTTAAGAGTGATTTCATAGGAATCAAACTTCTCAACAACCTTTTCTTCCTCTACCACTGGGATTTCCTCAGGAGTTTCCTCAACAACTTCGGCCGGCTTCTCTTCGACAGCTTCGGTTTCTGAAATCTTAAACTCATAGGACTTCGGTTTCTTTGTCTTCTTCTTTTCTTCCTGTTTTTCGACCTCCACAACAGTTTCTTCAACTGGTTGTGGCTTTTCTTCTTCCTCCACCACTACAACCTTGTCCTCCTTGACTTCCTTAACAGGTTTCTTCTTGGTCTTTTCCTTGACTGTGACCTGTTGTTCAACTGGCTCTTCTGGAGTGGGCTCAGTCAGCTTAAGTTCAACCTCAAACTCTTCTGGCTTCTCTTCGGCTTGTTCAACTGGCACCACAATTTCAGCCGAAACTTCCTCTGGTTCAATCTGTTCTTCCTTCGGCTCCTTCAAAGTGACCTCGAATTCTTCCGGCTGCTGTGGCTTTGGTTTCTTCTTGCGCGTCACCACCCTCTCTTCAATAACTTCCTCGGTAGTTTCATGACGCTCATCGAAATCTTTGACTCGCACTTGATATTCCTTTGGTGCCTCTTCTGGTTCCAAGACTGTGGTTGTTATCTTGTACTCCACTGGTATTTCCTCGGGCACCTCTTCAGGTTTCTGCTCTTCTTCAGTGACGACAACCTCTGCAACAGGTGCTTCCTTGGGTTTCTTCTGTTTCACCTTTACTTCCTTTGGCTGTTCTTCTTCAACGGGCTCTTTCACTGGAGCTTCCTCTTCCTTTACCAAGACCTCGAATTCTTCTGGCTTCTGCTCAGAAATCTCTTCCTCCTTTGGTTGCACCTTCTTGGGCTTCGATTTCTTCGGCTTCTTTTCCTCCTCCACAGGTTTCTCTTCAATTTCTTTGGTTTTGGGCTCCTCTTCCTTGGGCTTCACCACTGCTTGCTCGACAGGCTCTTCAGCCTTAGGAGCTTGAGGGACGGGACGTAGCTTAATTTCAGAGTCAGTCTCTTCTGGAGCATCTCTCTCGGGTATGCGGAACTTAACTTCCTGTTCGGGTACCTCCTCTTCCTCCTTTGGTACCCCAGGAACGATCTCCGAGATAATTGTCTCCGGTTCGGGCTTTGACTTGTCCTTGGGCTTATACTTGGTCTTAGATGGCTTCTTGGGTTTATCGGGCTTCTCTGGATGTTCGAAGGGCTCAAGCTCTTCAGGAACATATTCAGGGCGATCAAATTCAGATGGTTCGAATGGCTCCACAACAAACTCTCCTTCCTTGGGTTGCTTTGGTTGTTCCTCAACAACAACCACCTCCTTCGGTTTCATTTTCAGTGCAACTTCTTCCTCGACTTCTTGTGGCTTTTGAGGAATCTTCTTGAGAGTAACATTTTCGGGCTCTTCTTCCTCCTTTGGCTTCTTCTTACCCTTGCCCAGCTTGAGTTTGACTTCCTCCTGCTTTTCTTCTGGCTTTGGTGCCTTTTCGGGCTTCTTATAAGGTGCTTTCTCCTCCGGTTCCTCTTCGCTACTGACATACTTTTCGTACTTCTCAAGCTCTACCTTTTCTAAGTCATCCTTGATTTTCTTTATTTTCTTCGTCTTATGTGGCTTGAACTTAAGGACTTCTTCTGCCTCTTCGATGTTACGAGACAGGTCACCATTATCTTTAATGGCGCCAATATGAGAAATTTTCGGAATAAGCGGAGCCGGAGGGTATTCAACCATGACCATACGGGCCTTGAGTCTGAACTTCGGCAATTGTACAGTTTGTTCCTCGGCGGGTTTCTCCTTACGTTTGCCGGGCTTAAGCTTCACTGTTTTGGGAACATCAGTGGCCTCGACAATTGTCACCTTCGTCGGCTTCTGTTCCTTGCGCTCGATTTTCATGGGCTCAAGTGTGGCGAATTCGGGTTTAAGCTTCTTGGGAACATCGAATTCAATTTTCTCGTACTTCTCCAGTTCCGTCTTCTCGATCTCCTGCTCCAACATCTTTCTAATGAGTTCATCATGATCATCGGTCTTCTTCTTGACAATCTTCTTTTTCCTGGTCTTTGGCTTCGAGACGTCCTCAATAGTTCCTTCTTCAATGGGCTGTTCCTCCTCCTCTTCAACCTCTTCTACAATGGGCTGTGATTCTTCGACCTCGGCGACTTCATCGATAACTCGGACTTCCAAAATCTTCTGGGGTTTCTCTTCCTCGACGGGCTCTTCGTGAATGATGCTTATTTGATAATCTTTTTGAACCTCTGGTAGTTCACCTGTTACAAAAAATGCATTAAAGTTTAAGTGAATGTTGCTTAATACGGTAGATAAACCCGGGGAACCGTGCGTTGCTTTTGCAAAGCAAGCTGATCGGTGAACTGGACAGAAGACATAATTTGAGGCTATATTTACATAGATAGCAGTTGAAGGAAAACATTGAAAAACTTAACCAAAAGAAAGGATTAAATTGGATAGTTTAATAACACTAGTTTACAAAATAATATTCTTGGTGTGCTCCCCAGCAATTGATGGCAAATTCTGTTAGTGCTGGACCCCTAGATCACAAAAATAGCACTTATTTTTTTTTCGATGGCACAGTTTTTTTTAAAGATTTTTTAAAGTTCGAAATGTTAAATTTCGGACTTTTTTCGAATTTCTTCTTATATCTCGGCAGATATCCACTCGGTTGGGCCAGTTTTAGTTTTATTTTAAAGTCAATAGATCAGAGCTTGACTTTGCCATACAGAGCAATACGATTGGATGAGTAATGGCAGCGCAGAAGCTCGACAAAGATGAAAAATGTGTTTTTTGGTCGTCTGTAAGTCGGCTGTAGATATCGTAAAAACTCAAAATAAATCCGTTGAAAAATCATAATGGGTACAAACTTAAAGTTTACATCCTAACGAATAAAACAGGCCGGATATGGCCCAAATCCATGGAAAACTGGATTTATGGTGGATTTTTAAAGTTCGGATGTTTCCACTTTTTTCGGTTGACAGAGTCCAAATTTAAGATTTATCATAGGCGGCGACATGTAAACAAAAATAATTGGTGTTGGCAGCCGGGTAAATTTAAAAGCTATAAAATTATAAAATAAATTCAATTTCTGAAAATTCCTTTAAAAATATAAAATTGCTTGCGTTATGACTGTGAGTATTTTTAACTAAGTACTATCCATTTGGATAGTTCATTCTTATGAAAAAAGTAACTTTAATTAAAAAATTAAATTCACTTTAATAATTTTCTAGCTTTTAAATATCTGATTTAGCTATTTAGTGACCCGTCTGCCAACACCAATTATTTTTGTTTACATGTCGCCGCCTATGATAAATCTTAAATTTGGACTTTGTCAACCGAAAAAAGTGGAAAAATCCGAACTTTAAAAATTCACCATAAATCCAGTTTTCCATGGATTTGGGCCATATCCGGCTTGTTTTATTCGGTAGGATGTAAACTTTAAGTTTGTACCCATTATGATTTTTCAACGGATTTATTTCGAGTTTTTACGATATATACAGCCGACTTACAGACGACCAAAAAACACATTTTTCCTCTTTGTCGAGCTTCTGCGCTGCCATTACTCATCCAATCGTATTGATCTGTATGGCAAAGTTAAGCTCTGATCTATTGACTTTAAAATAAAACTAAAACTGGCCCAACCGAGTGGATATCTGCCGAGATATAAGAAGAAATTCGAAAAAAGTCCAAAATTTAACATTTCAAACTTTAAAAAATCTTTTAAAAAAAACTGTGCCATCGAAAAAAAATTTAGTGCTATTTTCGTGATCTAGGGGTCCAAATCTAACAGAATTTGCCATCAACTGCTGGGGAGCATTTTGGCTGTAAACTAGTGTAATAAGAACAGTTACAAAGTTACACGTTTAATATGTGGGAATGTGGGTAAGGTAATCGGATTAGTTGAAGAATGAAGAAATATATAGGTGAACAACATTTTACATAGCGAATTAATGATTAAAATGAATTTTGATACCAATTTCTACACAAGCACAATTTATATGTGTTGCCGCTATTTACCCTTTACTAACAATTGAAAACAGTAGAATAAATAACGACAATTATAAAAGGCTTAAACTTTGAACATAAATTCTAAACTACTTGGTGGTTAAAAACATAAAAACATCATGCATAAGAGATTATTATAGAGTTACTGTGTTGGGAGGCTTTAAAGTTGAACTGGAAAAGATTAGGACCGCAGTAAGATTGGCTCAAATGAACAGAGCCGAAAATCAACAGCGAGAGAAAAGAAGAGAAATATAGGTGGGAATAGGCGCAACATTTGGAAATCAACGTGGTTTCAAGGGGAATAAACAAATGCGAAAGACACACACAAAGGAGCAGAAGGTGCTGCAAGGGCGGCGGGATTTTGTAGGCTCCAAGAACTCTCTTCTAATAACTTACTTGTTTCAACGCTTTTTTGTGTGTCTGGTTTTGTTTTCTTATGTTTAACTGTTTTCTGAATGGTATCTTTAGTGTCATCTTGAGTAGGTTTCTCTTCTTGTGCGCTTGGTGTAATTTGTGCAGTGGCTGTGTCCTCGGGTTGTGCAAATTGGGTTGGTGTGATCTCTGCTGTGTCAGTGGTGTCTAAAGTGGTTTCGGTCGGTACGTCAGGTGTTTTGTCGTCTACGGTTTCTGTCTTTGGCTTAGAAGTCTTCGTTTTCTTGGGTTTGGTCGGTTCGCTGTCTATTGGTGCTGGCTCAGTTGTCTCAGATTTAATCTCTTCCGGAATAATTTCAGAAGGAGCTGGCTTGTCAGTTTTTTCTGGCATCTCTACTTTTTCATACTTCTCAAGTTCTACCTTTGGAATTTCCTCTTCAATTAGCTTCTTTACATAGTCGTCCAAGTCGTCCTTTTTTATTTTCTTTACTGTTTTCTTGGGCTTTGGCTTTGGTTTTTCCTCGGCCTGCTCTGGCTGTTCTTCGATGGACTGTACGGGAACTATTTCGGGCTCTTCATCAACAATAACCGTAACTGAATCGTTGTCCTCGCTTTCAATAGTTGTAATCTTGAAGGTGGTTTCTTCTTGAGGTCCCTTCTTCTTCAAAACTCGTTTGGTAGTCTTTTCCTGAACTGGCTTGCCCTCTTCAGTTACAACCTCTTGAACTTGAACCTCTGCCGGCTGAACTTCTACAACTTCGATTGGCACTTGGGGCTGTTCAGGAGCTTCCTCCTCTACCACTTTAACTTCAGCTAACTGTTCTGGAACAGGACTTTCCTCCTTTGGAACATCCTTGGACTTAGTCTTCTTATCCTTTTTGGGCTTTAGAGAAGGCGATTCTTCTACTACTTCAATTACGTTATCAGATGGCTTGTCCTTGACTGTTGGCTCAAATTCTATTTTCTCATACTTTTCAAGCTCAGTCTTGGGCGTTTCCATGTCAATTAACTTTTGAATGTAGTCATGTAGATCATCCTTCTTAACCTTCTTTGTTTTCTTTTTAGGTTCCTTGGTCTTTTCGTCTTCCTTCAAAGTTTCTGGTTCATACTCAACAATGGTTATTTCCGCCTCAGGCTGATCGTCCCTAACAACTTCAATAATCTCTATTTCACCTTCGCCGTCGGGGCGTTTCAACTTTCGCTTGGTGGTAACCTGCTTATGAACTTCCCCTGTGTCATCCTTGGTTTCTTCAACCTTTGTTATGCTTTCAATTACCTGAATTGTAAACGGCTTTTCTTCCTCAGGTTCCAAAACAGTTTCCCTAACCGAAATTTCGTATTTTTCCTCAGAAGGTTGCTCTGTTTTTTCAGATACCTTTTTAGGAGTTTTCTTCTTTTCCGGTTTGATCTCTGTTTGCTCTTCTTCCTTGATGGAAACACTAAACTCCCGATCATCCAATTTTTCTACGTCAGATTCCTGCTGCGTAACCTCCAAGGGCTTCTCTTCAGTGTCCTCCATTGGTTGTTCCTCCTGAACTGTAACTGTAGACTTTGGCTTCTTCTTCTTTTCTGGCTTCTTAGCTTCTTCAACCACGTCTATTTTCAGTTCAGGTTCTTCTACAATTGGAACTGATTCCACCACAGTTATAAATTCATCACTAACTGTAGGTACCTCAGGAATTGTCTCAATAACGGAAACTTCGTCGTCCTTTGGCGCCGTATCCTCAACGGAAGGTTGTTTTTCTTTCTTTGGCTTCTTCTTTGTTTTTTCAGAGGTTGGCTTAGGCGTGGACTCCTCTATAACGGTCACAACGTCCTCAGCTTCAACTGGCTTTGGTGCATCCTCCTCAATAACTGCCTTTATGAAGTCTTCGACTTCGTCCTTCTTAATCTTTTTAGTGCGTTTTTGTTTAACTACAGGCTCTTCCTGATCTGGCGTTTCCTTGGGAGTGGTGGTCGTGACTGTTATTTCAGATTCATCGGTATCCTTATCAGTCACCTCGACTATGTCGTGAACTATTTCTTCAGGACCCTTCTTCTGCTTGATTTTTTTAGTCTTAACCACCTTTTCCCTTACTATTCCCTCTTCATCTGGTACCTGCTTAGTTTCTACCGTTTCTTCAAGAACAACAATCTCAAAAGGTTTTTCTTCTGGCTTTTCTGGAATGAATTCCTTAATAGTAAATGTTAGCTTAGGCTCTTCGTTGTCAGCCTCAGGAATTTCCGAAATCTCTTCAACTGGCTTATCCTCCACCGGTTCTTCTGTGCCTTCCGTTGGCTGTTCCTCAGAATGCTTAACCTTTTTGATGGGCTTTTTCTTCATTTTGACGGGCTCGTCCAAGTCGATCTTTTCATACTTTTCCAGTTCGGTCTTTGGTATATCCTGCTCAATAAGCTTCTGAATATAGTCATGAAGATCGTCTTTGGGAACCTTTTTGGTTTTGCGAATCTTTTTTGGTTTTTCCTCCTGCGGAACTTCTTCGCTAACTGTTTCGGCCTCTTCAGTGGTCACAATGACTTCGTACTCTGGAGTATCTCCGGTCTTGGTTTCCACAATTTCGATAATTTCTTCCTTGGGACCAATCTGCTTTTTGATTTTTCGCCTGGTAACAGTTTGTTTTGCAGTTTCCCCCTTATCGTCGATTACTTCTTTTTCAACTGCCTCCGTTTCGATTTCTTCAACCTGGAAAGAAGGTTGCTCAGATGGTTTATCTTCTTCGGTTTCGATCACAACTGCTTCATGTTCGGGAAGTGGCTCTTCTCTTAAGCTTTCTTCGGACTTTACCCTTACAATATAGTCTTGGCTTTCCTCTAAAGCTGGCTGCTTGACAGACTTAGGCTTGGTTATCTTTTTAGGCTTGGGTTGTTTCTGTTCGTCAGCCACAGTTTCCTCTGTGATACCGATGGTATATTCATCAGATTCTAATGGCTTCTCAGGAACGGACTCAATTGGTTTCTCTAATTCTTCCTCCACCACTTCAGGTACTGTGCTATCTGTGTGTTCTTGCTCTGTGACGGCGTATGTTTTTGGAGATTTCTTTGATTTTTTAGGTTTTTCCTCCTTGACTTCTTCTACCTCACTTTCAACTTCGTCAACTGGAACAGGCTCTACGAATTCTTCAATTACATTAATGATGTATTCCTCAACTTCTTCCTTCTTTAATTGTTTAGGTTTTTTTACCGTCTTCTTTTCAGCCTTTGGTTTTTCTTCAGAAACCACTAAGTCATCGATGGTTAACTCAACTACTGTAACTTCGGCCGTAGGCTGGTATTCACTTGTTGTTTCCGTAATTTCGAAGACGTGCTCCTTTGAACCCTTTCTACGCGACACCTTGCGTTTCTTTACAGTTACTTCCTTTACAGTTCCCTCCTCAGTGGGTTGCTCAACGACTTCAACAGTGCGATCGATTTCTTCCAATGGAGCGGGAGCCTCAACGACCTTTTTCTTTTTTAATGGTTTTTCCTTTTTGATTGGTTTCTGTTCTTCCGTAGGAGGCTGTTCGATTGGCTCGTCAGCTTCAACAAATTCATCGGAAATGTTTACAAGGTATTTTGAAGAATCGTCTGGCTGTTGTGGTACTTCCTTGACTTCCTCCAACACTTCTTCTGGTTGTTCCTCTTCTTCAGGTTCTGGTACGATTTCTTCAACATCAAACTCATGAATGGTAACGGGTAACCCGTCAACCACTTCAACTGTCTTCTTGTGATGAGTCTTCACCTTCTTCTTGGGCTGTTTGGGCTTCGCGTCCATTTCCGTTGGTTCATATTCTTCGAGAGGTGTTTTTGTGATTTCCTGTTCGATTAACTGTTGTATATATTTGTCAAGATCGTCCTTTACTGGCTTCTTCTTCTTCACCTTTTGAATGACCTTGACTGGTTGATCTTCTGCGACATCGGGTGAGTCTTCAGAAGGTAGCTCCGTTGTAGTGAACTCGATTTCGGCCTCTGGCTTGTTCTCTTGATATGTTTCTGTTATTTCGATGAGATACTCCTTAGGACCTTCCTTCTTCTTAAGCTTCTTAATTGTCTTAACTTGTTTTACTTCCTCGCCCTTTTCGTCAACAATATTCTCTATAACGGTTTCAGGAGCCATTTCTTCAATAACGATAGTCTTTTCAAGTGGTTTTTCGGTCGGTTTCTTTGGCTTCTTGGTTTTGGTTGTAGTATCGATTGGTTTTTCCTCAGGAGCCTCTAGCTCCTCAAACTGTTGTGGCTCACCAAACTCCTCTAGAACATTAATTACATAGCTTTCAACGTCTTCGGGTCTGAGTTTCTTAGGTTTCTTAATTGGTTTCTTTTCTTTAGGTAAAGGAATCACTTCTTCCGGCTTCTCCTCTGTAACGTCGACGATTGTAACTTCTGCCAAAGGTTCATCACTTGTCTTTGTCTCGGTGATTTCAAAGATTTGTTCCTTAGGACCTTGCTTGCGTGATACCTTCTTCTTCTTAACCTCAACCTGCTTAGTAACGCCATCTTTCTCTGTAACCTGAATTTCCACGGACTCTGAAATGTCTTCGATGACTGGTTCCACAAACCTCTGCGGCTCATTAAACTCTTCAAGAACATTAATCACATAGCTTTCGACTTCTTCAGGCTTAAGTTTTTTCGGCTTTTTCACTGGCTTCTTTTCCTTAGGCTCAGGAATGTCTTCTTGCGGCTTTTCCTCAGTAACCTCGATGATTGTAACTTCTGCTAAAGGTTCATCACTAGTCTTCGTCTCGGTGATTTCAAAGATTTGTTCTTTAGGACCTTGCTTGCGGGAAACCTTCTTTTTCTTAACCTCAACATGCTTGGTAATTCCATCTTCTTCCGTTACTTGAATTTCCACAGACTCTGCAATGGGTTCAATGACTGGCTGTTCGATATCCTCAAACTTCTGCGGCTCATTAAACTCTTCAAGAACATTGATCACATAGCTTTGCACTTCTTCAGGCTTCAGTTTTTTTGGTTTTTTCACTGGTTTCTTTTCCTTAGGTTGAGGAATGTCTTCTTTAGGCTTTTCCTCAGTAACCTCGATGATTGTTACTTCAGCTAATGGTTCATCACTTGTTTTTGTTTCGGTGATTTCAAAGATATGTTCCTTTGGACCTTGTTTTCGGGAAACCTTCTTTTTCTTAGTTTCGACCTGCTTAGTAACGCCATCTTCTTCAGTAACTTGCACAACTTCCACAACCTCCGAAATGTCTTCAATAACTGGTTGTGGCTGGTCTTCTGCTTCCTCTTTTTCGAATCGCATAGGTTCCATGAACTCTTCCAGAACATTGATCACATAATTCTTGACATCTTCAGGCTTCAGTTTCTTCGGTTTTTTAATTGGTTTCTTTTCTTTCACCTCTTCAACTTCTTCTTGGGGCTGTTCTTCTGTAATTTCAACAATAGTGACTTCAGCCAGAGGTTCATCACTAGTCTTTGTCTCTGTGATTTCAAAGATTTGCTCCTTCGGGCCTTCTTTGCGAGAAACCTTTTTCTTCTTAATTCTAACCTCTTTTGGTGTGCCGTCTTCTTCGATAACTTGCACAACTTTCACAACCTCCGAAATGTTTTCAATAACTGGTTGTGGCTTGTCTTCTGCTTCCTCTACAAGTTCTTCGAATCGGGTGGGTTCCGTGAACTCTTCTAGAATATTAATCACATAATTTTTGACATCTTCAGGTTTCAGTTTCTTCGGCTTTTTAATTGGCTTCTTTTCTTTCACCTCTTCAACTTCATCATGGGGCTGTTCCTCTGTAATTTCAACGATAGTGACTTCAGCCAGAGGTTCATCACTAGTCTTTGTCTCTGTGATTTCAAAGATTTGCTCCTTTGGACCTTGTTTGCGGGAAACCTTCTTCTTCTTAACCTCAACGTGCTTAGTAACGCCATCTTCTTCAGTAACTTGTACAACTTGTACAACTTCTGAAATGTCTTCGACGACTGGTTGCGGCAGTTCCTCTTCAACGATCTTAGACTTAAACGATTTTTTCGTTTTTGGCTTAGGCTTTTCTTCTGAAACCTTTATTTTGAGATCCTCAGGAGCTTCTTCTGTATCCTTAAGATCAATTTCTTCTACGATTACCTCATCCGGCTTAAAGTCTTCTTGTTCGGGCTCAAACTCTTGTATGGTTACTTCGTGCACAGTAATCGGTATGCCGTCGATAATCTGGGTAGATTTTTTGTGGTGTTTCTTGATTTTCTTGGGCTTTCTTTCTTCTGGAGATGACTCCAATACAGTCGCTTCATATTCTTCGAGATCTACTTTAGGAAGTTCCTCTTCTATGAGCTGTTGAACATAATTGTCCAAGCTTTCGGCCTTAGGCTTTTTCTTCTTGACAATTTTTATCTTATGCTCCTCCTCAGGTTTAGAGTCAATTGATGGTGTTATTTCAGTAGTCTGAATGACAAGATCTGCCTCAGGTTTGTTGTCCTCATATGTTTCGACAACTTCAATTAGATATTCCTTCGGTCCCTCCTTCTTTTTGATCTTCCGCTTGGCTACCACTCGTTCAACTTCCTTACCTTCCTCGTTTACTATTTTTTCGGTAGAAGTTTCCGGAGCAAGCTCCTCAATTCGAATCGTATATTGGGATATGGGCTCAGCAGGAGATTTTTCCTTTGGTTTCTTTGTCGGTTTCTTTTTGGTTTTGGGCAAGTTATCCCTTACTTCTACCGAATATTCATCCGTTTGGGGAATTTCCTCAGATTCCGCGATTTGTGTTGAATATTCTGTGATCGTTGAATCTTCAGGAATCGGAGAAGGTTCAGTTTCGGATATTTTGATCTGCTTTTGCTTATCAGTTTTCTTTTTCTTATCCTTTGGAGTACTAGGAACATCTTCAGATTTTGTTTCTTCGGTGATTAAAGGTGTAACTGTTTCCTCGTCAACTACTGTTGTGGTGAAGGAAGTAATATCCTCTTCCACAGAGCTTTCTCTGGCAGGAGCTGGTGTAATATCTTCAGAAATTTCAGCGATGTGTTCCGATGGAGCTTCCTCGACTATTCTGACAATATACTCCTTTAGATACTCTTTCTTCACCTTTTTAACGGATTTCTTTGGTGCTTCCGGTTTGGTAAGAATAGGTCCGTCGGTTGTATCTTCAGAAATTTCGGTCGTTATAACTATAACCTTAGCTTCCTCTGGTTGTTCGATTGGTGCCTCGGTTTCAATTAATTCGATTTCGTACTGCTTTGGTCCCTTTCGAGTTTTGACCGTGCGTTTCTTAATTATTTTCTCATCCGTTAAAGAAGTTACTTCAGGTGCCAGTGGGACAGACACAACTTCTTCCTCTACTACGACAATAGGTAGGGATTCACCCAAATCTGCTATGATTTCATCCAAAGCCGGTATGATTTGTTCTTCTGTTTGTTCAATAACTTCCTCTGGAGCACGTTCCGAATCAATCTTTTTGATAGTGAACTCATCGTATACCGGAATTGCCTCTGTCTCAACCGATTCTTCCACCTTAGTTGCCATCTTTGTCTTTGGTTTCTTGGCTTTCGGTTTTTCGATTGGCTCGTGCTCTGTGACTCCAATTTGAAGAGTTTCGCCCTCATCGATAATGGGCTTCTCAGGCTTAACCTTTTGCTTCTTGGGTTTTTTCGGCTTTCCATCCACATCGATTTTCTCATATCTTTCCAGTTCTGTTATTGGGATCTCAGCATTTATGAGTTGCTGAATATAGGCATCGAGCTCATCCTTTTTCATTTTCCTGGTTTTCTTCTTAAGCTTTTCAGCTGGCTTTGCTCCCTCTTCATCATCCTTTGTTTCACTAGAAGTTACAGTGATTTCATAGAGGGGCTCTTCACCGGGAGCGACAACCGATTCGACGATTTCCAAAACTTCCACTTCATCTCCCTTTTCATGTCGTATCCTTCGCTTCTTAGGCTTATCTTTTTCTGGTTCTAACGGCAATTCGGTCAGCTTCACCTCATAGAAGTCTTGCATGCTAGTTTCATAGAACTTTTGATCTGGTTCTTCTTTTAACTCTATGACAAAATCATCCAATTCCTGTTTGTTCATGCGCTTGACCTTCTTCTTAAGTACTTTGCTAGGCTTTTCGTCGCCTTGAACAATTTCAGAGCTTGTAACTGTAACTTCAAAGATTTTGTCATCGCTGTCTTCAGGAGAAACTTCCACGATTTCGATTGTGTTTTCTTCTTCTTCCGTCTTAAGCTTAAGCTTTCGCTTTTTCTTGGGTTCCTTTGCAAGCTTTTTACTAGTAGGTACTGTTTCAGTTGGGACATCTTCAGGCTCCACTTCTAACTCTTCAAACTTGTAGAAGGGTTTGAGCTTGACCTCTTCCTTTTCATTATCAGGCCTCTCACCTTGACGCTTGCGCAGTTTAAGATCGTCTTCTGGGGTTTCTTCTTGTTCTTTTGGTTTTCCAGGCGTTATTTCGTACTCGTTTTTCTCGGGCTTAGGAGTCGGCTTCTTTTTCCTTTTGTATTTCGGCTTCTCCTGTGTGGACGTTTCCTCAGTCGCAGATGTGTCAGACCCCTCTGGGAATTCTGAGGTGGTTTCAAGATCCTTAAACTCAATGGGTTCGAACTGAAGTCCTTCGTCAGTCTTGTCGGTCTTTTTGGTCTTCTTTTTCTTGATTACGTCTTCTTCTACTACCTTAACAATCTTTTCGCCGACATCTTCCTCTGCAATTTCTAGCTTAACCGGTTTCAAGTGAACTTCCTCAACAGCCTCAACATTTTGCGGAATTTTACCCTTTCCGAGCTTCAGTTTCCTAGTTTCTTCGGGTACTTCTTCCTTTACCTTTTTAGCACGTTTGTACTTCGGTCGTGGTTGCTCCTTATCAGATGGCTCTGAAGTTTCAGATTCGAATGCCACGAGATCGGCTTCTTCTAGTTCTGCCTTTTCGGGTTTCGTATGCTTGAACTTCCTTGGTCGCAACTTTAATACCTTTTCGGCTTCTTCAACATTTCGTGAAAGTTCACCAACTTCGCGATTTGTTTCCAATTCGGTAACCACATATGGGAAGCAGTATGGTGCGTATGGTATGAACCTAATCCAGCTCTTTAATTTTTTGTTCTTGAAAGATGCTTCAGGTTTCTTCTTTTTCTCTTCCTGAGGTCTTTGCTTAGGAGCTTTAAGCTTAAGCATTTGTGGGAATTCAACCACCGAACTTATTTCCACCATTTTAGGCTTTTTAAACTCTACTTTCTCGATTTTCATGGGTGTGAGCTTAACTGGTTGCTTGAAAGACGAGTCACGACGAGCCCTTTGGGGCAGTTCCATTTCCGTACGTTGGTAGCCTTGAATTACAGTTTTTGGAATTTCTTGGTGTATAAGGAATTGGATGTAGTCATCCATTTCATCACGCTTCGACTTGACCACTTTCTTTTTCTTTGGTTTTTCCTTCTTTTCAACTGGGGTCTCATCAGCAACAACCTCCTCAACCCTACCCTCAACCTTCTTTGGCTTTCGTTTCTTAACTGTCTTGTCAGTCAGTTCCCCTGTACCCTCTTCTTCAGTAATAACAGTCTCGTCAACTTCCTCAATAGGAGCACCTAGTGTCTTCTTCTGTTTTGGTTTTTTGTCTTTAGCCGGTTTTTGTAAGGCGTCAGCACTTGCCTCTTCAGGTTCAGTGATTGTGTACTCTTTGTTGTATTGGTCTGTTTAAGAAAGAATTATGTGTTTTGTGTTAGCACTAAACTAATTTTTACACTTATATTTGCATTTTATATAATGCTTTACAACACACGAACTTTGTACGGAGCACAAAGTTTGGCGTTTAGACTTGCATGGGTTAAGAAATGATGTGAATTTGAAATGTGGGTTATTCTTTAACAAACTTTCACTAGTTTATTGCAAAGCTTTTTTCTACTAATTTGGACAACAAGTGTTCTGTTTGTAAAAGATTGACCCATGTACGTCTTAGGCTTCTTGGTAAAGTTTTAATTTTCAGTCCCACGTACTTTCAAGTGAATTAGGTAAGTTTGTTAGTAAATATATTTTCCACAAAATATCAATTATGTTTTTGTGTGTGCAGTTTTTGTAGTGTTTAATCTATATATATATAAATGTGTAACAAAATATGAATCTGAGATCTACTGTGCCTAACTTTTCAATTGGGAATGTAATTTGTTTAAACCTCAAATGGTTTACTCTTTTAAAAGTTCCTGAATGTCATATGGATATGTAAATATATGTGTTTATAAAGAAAAAATCACCTGTTGGCTCGCTGACTTCGGTTATTTCAAGGTGTGATTGTGTTGTGTCTTCTGGAATGAGTTCTGTATCACTGAGGACTTCCTCAACAACGATTCCTTCCTCCTGAGAAACTCGCTTGTTTTCAGTTTGTATGGTCGTTTCTCCATCTTCATTTTGTACAGATTTAAATGTCGTGATGTAAACTGGGTGTTCCGTTTGTGTGTTATCGGCCTTTGGTTTCTCCACTGTATTAAGGTATTTATGTTTGTTTGTGTTTCGTGGAATGGTCAAAAAAATATGTTATTAGAGGCCTTTATAACAGATCAAATAATACTAAAGGAAAACAATAATACATTTATGAAGTAAAATGTAGAAACTAGGATTTTTTGCGTATACTTCAATTGGAGTCTTTTATGAGGAATGTGTGTTTGGATAGTGTGTTTGTTTGTGTTCTTACCCTTCTGCTTGTGTGGCTTTTGTTTGTGTTTGGGAACCTTTTCGTCATCAAGTTTACTAATATCGATAATATCAGCAATATTTTCATCGCTAACAACTCGTATAAGCGAAACGGGTTCCTTGCCCTCTTCATCAACCGTTTGAATTTGGAAGTATTCGTCGTCCTCCGGACCTCGTTTTTTGAAAGTTCGTGTTTTGGTGGTTTTCTTCTTTGGCTTCTCATTTTCGTCCAATTCTTCGGTAAACACGGTTTCCTCAGGAAGTTCTTCTATCGGTATGGGTGTGATGGATGTTTCGTCAGCTGGCACAACTTCAATTTGAACTGTAGTCAGTGGCTCCTTATCTTCTTCCTCGATTATATTAACAGTTGTAACTTCGTCGAGGTCATCGTCGATGGTCTTTTTGAAGGCTCTGGATTTAACGGTTTTCTTCTTTTTCGTTCCATCAGGCGAAACAACTACCAACTCTGTCAAGTGTTCGGGCAACTCAATTAATTTACTGTCATCTGGCTTGGAATCCGTTAACGGCTGTTCTGTTATAGATATCGAATAGATGGGCTCAGTGTTGCCTTCTTCGATGATTCCTATTTCAGTAACCTCTTCGGTATTATCAAGTGCAGGTTTTTTAATGACACGCTTCTTGGTTTTAACTATCTTTGGATGTCCTTCCTCGTCAACCGTTTCAGACTCGAACACCTCATCAGGCAAAATAACTACTTCAGAAATTTGTTCTTCTGGAAGTTCCGGGAATGGCAGCTCAAACTTCTCAACCGTTACTTTAGTTTGTGGTGCTTTTTCATACTCCTCAACAGTTTGAACCTTTGTCACTTCCATGTTTGAGCCTTGAATCTTTTTAATAATTCTCGTTTTGATAACCGTCTTGGTGGGAGTTCCATCTTCTTTTTCTGAGAGTATAACTGATTTCCGCTCAGGTAATTCAAATACAGTTACTTCATCCTCTGGCTTTTTAACGATAACTCTCTTCTTAAGTTTTACTTTGCCTACACTAGGAGCACTTAAATCAGTTTCTTCAACAGTGACCGTTGTTTCGGGTTGTTTGTCGTCTTCCTCGACGGTTTCGATCTTGGTAACTTCTTCTTTGTCACCTTTTACCTTCTTAATAACGCGAGTGCGGATTTTCTTTTTCTTTGGCGTGCCGTCTTCGGTAACGGATTCAACGACGCGAACTTCCTCTGGAAGCTCTTCAACTTCTTCAGGTATTTCTTCCTCAAATGGAAGTTCTTCAACGGTTACAGTGGTTTCGGGTTGCTTGTCATCCTCCTCGACGGTTTCGATCTTTGTGACTTCTTGTTTGTCACCCTTGACCTTCTTGATCACACGAGTGCGGATCTTCTTCTTCTTTGGCTTGCCGTCTTCAGTAATGGTTTCAACCACGCGAACCTCTTCTGGAAGCTCTTGAATCTCTTCTGGTTTTTCTTCTTCAAACGGAAGTTCTTCAACGGTAACTGTGGTTTCTGGTTGCTTGTCATCCTCCTCGACGGTTTCGATCTTTGTGACTTCTTGTTTGTCACCCTTGACCTTCTTGATCACACGGGTGCGGATCTTCTTCTTCTTTGGCTTGCCGTCTTCAGTAATGGTTTCAACCACGCGAACCTCTTCTGGAAGCTCTTGAATCTCTTCTGGTTTTTCTTCTTCAAACGGAAGTTCTTCAACGGTAACTGTGGTTTCTGGTTGCTTGTCATCCTCCTCGACGGTTTCGATCTTTGTGACTTCTTGCTTGTCACCCTTGACCTTCTTGATCACACGAGTGCGGATCTTCTTCTTCTTTGGCTTGCCGTCTTCAGTAATGGTTTCAACCACGCGAACCTCTTCTGGAAGCTCTTGAATCTCTACTGGTTTTTCTTCTTCAAACGGAAGTTCTTCAACGGTAACTGTGGTTTCTGGTTGCTTGTCATCCTCCTCGACGGTTTCGATCTTTGTGACTTCTTGTTTGTCACCCTTGACCTTCTTGATCACACGGGTGCGGATCTTCTTCTTCTTTGGCTTGCCGTCTTCAGTAATGGTTTCAACCACGCGAACCTCTTCTGGAAGCTCTTGAATATCTTCTGGTTTTTCTTCTTCGAACGGAAGTTCTTCAACAGTTACAGTGGTTTCTGGTTGCTTGTCATCCTCCTCGACGGTTTCGATCTTTGTGACTTCTTGTTTGTCACCCTTGACCTTCTTGATCACACGAGTGCGGATCTTCTTCTTCTTTGGCTTGCCGTCTTCAGTAATGGTTTCAACCACGCGAACCTCTTCTGGAAGCTCTTGAATCTCTTCTGGTTTTTCTTCTTCGAACGGAAGTTCTTCAACAGTTACAGTGGTTTCTGGTTGCTTGTCATCCTCCTCGACGGTTTCGATCTTTGTGACTTCTTGTTTGTCACCCTTGACCTTCTTGATCACACGAGTGCGGATCTTCTTCTTCTTTGGCTTCCCATCTTCTGTAATGGATTCAACCACGCGAACCTCTTCTGGAAGCTCTTGAATCTCTTCTGGTTTTTCTTCTTCAAACGGAAGTTCTTCAACGGTAACTGTGGTTTCTGGTTGCTTGTCATCCTCCTCGACGGTTTCGATCTTTGTGACTTCTTGTTTGTCACCCTTGACCTTCTTGATCACACGAGTGCGGATCTTCTTCTTCCTTGGCTTGCCGTCTTCAGTAATGGTTTCAACCACGCGAACCTCTTCTGGAAGCTCTTGAATCTCTTCTGGTTTTTCTTCTTCAAACGGAAGTTCTTCAACGGTAACTGTGGTTTCTGGTTGCTTGTCATCCTCCTCGACGGTTTCGATCTTTGTGACTTCTTGTTTGTCACCCTTGACCTTCTTGATCACACGGGTGCGGATCTTCTTCTTCTTTGGCTTGCCGTCTTCAGTAATGGTTTCAACCACGCGAACCTCTTCTGGAAGCTCTTGAATATCTTCTGGTTTTTCTTCTTCGAACGGAAGTTCTTCAACAGTTACAGTGGTTTCTGGTTGCTTGTCATCCTCCTCGACGGTTTCGATCTTTGTGACTTCTTGTTTGTCACCCTTGACCTTCTTAATCACACGAGTGCGGATCTTCTTCTTCTTTGGCTTGCCGTCTTCAGTAATGGTTTCAACCACGCGAACCTCTTCTGGAAGCTCTTGAATCTCTTCTGGTTTTTCTTCTTCGAACGGAAGTTCTTCAACAGTTACAGTGGTTTCTGGTTGCTTGTCATCCTCCTCGACGGTTTCGATCTTTGTGACTTCTTGTTTGTCACCCTTGACCTTCTTGATCACACGAGTGCGGATCTTCTTCTTCTTTGGCTTGCCGTCTTCAGTAATGGTTTCAACCACGCGAACCTCTTCTGGAAGCTCTTGAATATCTTCTGGTTTTTCTTCTTCGAACGGAAGTTCTTCAACAGTTACAGTGGTTTCTGGTTGCTTGTCATCCTCCTCGACGGTTTCGATCTTTGTGACTTCTTGTTTGTCACCCTTGACCTTCTTGATCACACGAGTGCGGATCTTCTTCTTCTTTGGCTTGCCGTCTTCAGTAATGGTTTCAACCACGCGAACCTCTTCTGGAAGCTCTTGAATCTCTTCTGGTTTTTCTTCTTCGAACGGAAGTTCTTCAACAGTTACAGTGGTTTCTGGTTGCTTGTCATCCTCCTCGACGGTTTCGATCTTTGTGACTTCTTGTTTGTCACCCTTGACCTTCTTGATCACACGAGTGCGAATCTTCTTCTTCTTTGGCTTGCCGTCTTCAGTAATGGTTTCAACCACGCGAACCTCTTCTGGAAGCTCTTGAATCTCTTCAGGTACTTCTTCTTCAAACGGAAGTTCTTCAACGGTAACTGTGGTTTCGGGTTGCTTGTCATCTTCCTCGACGGTTTCGATCTTTGTGACTTCTTGTTTGTCACCCTTGACCTTCTTGATCACACGAGTGCGGATCTTCTTCTTCTTTGGCTTGCCATCTTCAGTAATGGATTCAACCACGCGAACCTCTTCTGGAAGCTCTTGAATCTCTTCTGGTTTTTCTTCTTCGAACGGAAGTTCTTCAACAGTTACAGTGGTTTCTGGTTGCTTGTCATCCTCCTCGACGGTTTCGATCTTTGTGACTTCTTGTTTGTCACCCTTGACCTTCTTGATCACACGAGTGCGGATCTTCTTCTTCTTTGGCTTGCCGTCTTCAGTAATGGTTTCAACCACGCGAACCTCTTCTGGAAGCTCTTGAATCTCTTCTGGTTTTTCTTCTTCGAACGGAAGTTCTTCAACAGTAACAGTGGTTTCTGGTTGCTTGCCATCCTCCTCGACGGTTTCAATCTTTGTGACTTCTTGTTTGTCACCCTTGACCTTCTTGATCACACGGGTGCGGATCTTCTTCTTCTTTGGCTTGCCGTCTTCAGTAATGGTTTCAACCACGCGAACCTCTTCTGGAAGCTCTTGAATCTCTTCTGGTTTTTCTTCTTCAAACGGAAGTTCTTCAACGGTAACTGTGGTTTCTGGTTGCTTGTCATCCTCCTCGACGGTTTCGATCTTTGTGACTTCTTGTTTGTCACCCTTGACCTTCTTGATCACACGAGTGCGGGTCTTCTTCTTCTTTGGCTTGCCGTCTTCAGTAATGGTTTCAACCACGCGAACCTCTTCTGGAAGCTCTTGAATCTCTTCTGGTTTTTCTTCTTCAAACGGAAGTTCTTCAACGGTAACTGTGGTTTCTGGTTGCTTGTCATCCTCCTCGACGGTTTCGATCTTTGTGACTTCTTGTTTGTCACCCTTGACCTTCTTGATCACACGAGTGCGGGTCTTCTTCTTCTTTGGCTTGCCGTCTTCAGTAATGGTTTCAACCACGCGAACCTCTTCTGGAAGCTCTTGAATCTCTTCTGGTTTTTCTTCTTCGAACGGAAGTTCTTCAACAGTTACAGTGGTTTCTGGTTGCTTGTCATCCTCTTCGATGGTTTCGATCCTTGTGACTTCTTGTTTGTCACCCTTGACCTTCTTGATCACACGAGTGCGGATCTTCTTCTTCTTTGGCTTGCCGTCTTCAGTAATGGTTTCAACCACACGAACCTCTTCTGGAAGCTCTTGAATCTCTTCAGGTACTTCTTCTTCAAATGAAAGTTCTTCAACGGTAACTGTGGTTTCTGGTTGCTTGTCATCCTCCTCGACGGTTTCGATCTTTGTGACTTCTTGTTTGTCACCCTTGACCTTCTTAATCACACGAGTGCGAATCTTCTTCTTCTTTGGCTTGCCGTCTTCAGTAATGGTTTCAACCACGCGAACCTCTTCTGGAAGCTCTTGAATCTCTTCAGGTACTTCTTCTTCAAACGGAAGTTCTTCAACGGTAACTGTGGTTTCGGGTTGCTTGTCATCTTCCTCGACGGTTTCGATCTTTGTGACTTCTTGTTTGTCACCCTTGACCTTCTTGATCACGCGAGTGCGGATCTTCTTCTTCTTTGGCTTGCCGTCTTCAGTAATGGTTTCAACCACGCGAACCTCTTCTGGAAGCTCTTGAATCTCTTTTGGTTTTTCTTCTTCGAACGGAAGTTCTTCAACAGTTACAGTGGTTTCTGGTTGCTTGTCATCCTCCTCGACGGTTTCGATCTTTGTGACTTCTTGTTTGTCACCCTTGACCTTCTTGATCACACGGGTGCGGATCTTCTTTTTCTTTGGCTTGCCGTCTTCAGTAATGGTTTCAACCACGCGAACCTCTTCTGGAAGCTCTTGAATCTCTTCTGGTTTTTCTTCTTCGAACGGAAGTTCTTCAACAGTTACAGTGGTTTCTGGTTGCTTGTCATCCTCCTCGACGGTTTCGATCTTTGTGACTTCTTGTTTGTCACCCTTGACCTTCTTGATCACACGAGTGCGGATCTTCTTCTTCTTTGGCTTGCCGTCTTCAGTAATGGTTTCAACCACGCGAACCTCTTCTGGAAACTCTAATTTAATTTTTTCTTGATTTTCTTCTTCGAACGGAAGTTCTTCAACAGTTACAGTGGTTTCTGGTTGCTTGTCATCCTCCTCGACGGTTTCGATCTTTGTGACTTCTTGTTTGTCACCCTTGACCTTCTTGATCACACGAGTGCGGATCTTCTTCTTCTTTGGCTTGCCGTCTTCAGTAATGGTTTCAACCACGCGAACCTCTTCTGGAAGCTCTTGAATCTCTTCTGGTTTTTCTTCTTCGAACGGAAGTTCTTCAACAGTTACAGTGGTTTCTGGTTGCTTGTCATCCTCCTCGACGGTTTCGATCTTTGTGACTTCTTGTTTGTCACCCTTGACCTTCTTGATCACACGAGTGCGGATCTTCTTCTTCTTTGGCTTGCCGTCTTCAGTAATGGTTTCAACCACGCGAACCTCTTCTGGAAGCTCTTGAATCTCTTCTGGTTTTTCTTCTTCGAACGGAAGTTCTTCAACAGTTACAGTGGTTTCTGGTTGCTTGTCATCCTCCTCGACGGTTTCGATCTTTGTGACTTCTTGTTTGTCACCCTTGACCTTCTTAATCACACGAGTGCGGATCTTCTTCTTCTTTGGCTTGCCGTCTTCAGTAATGGTTTCAACCACGCGAACCTCTTCTGGAAGCTCTTGAATATCTTCTGGTTTTTCTTCTTCGAACGGAAGTTCTTCAACAGTTACAGTGGTTTCTGGTTGCTTGTCATCCTCCTCGACGGTTTCGATCTTTGTGACTTCTTGTTTGTCACCCTTGACCTTCTTGATCACACGAGTGCGGATCTTCTTCTTCTTTGGCTTGCCGTCTTCAGTAATGGTTTCAACCACGCGAACCTCTTCTGGAAGCTCTTGCATCTCTTCTGGTTTTTCTTTTTCGAACGGAAGTTCTTCAACAGTTACAGTGGTTTCTGGTTGCTTGTCATCCTCCTCGACGGTTTCGATCTTTGTGACTTCTTGTTTGTCACCCTTGACCTTCTTGATCACACGAGTGCGGATCTTCTTCTTCTTTGGCTTGCCGTCTTCAGTAATGGTTTCAACCACGCGAACCTCTTCTGGAAGCTCTTGCATCTCTTCTGGTTTTTCTTCTTCGAACGGAAGTTCTTCAACAGTTACAGTGGTTTCTGGTTGCTTGTCATCCTCCTCGACGGTTTCGATCTTTGTGACTTCTTGTTTGTCACCCTTGACCTTCTTGATCACACGAGTGCGGATCTTCTTCTTCTTTGGCTTGCCGTCTTCAGTAATAGTTTCAACCACGCGAACCTCTTCTGGAAGCTCTTGAATCTCTTTTGGTTTTTCTTTTTCGAACGGAAGTTCTTCAACAGTTACAGTGGTTTCTGGTTGCTTGTCATCCTCCTCGACGGTTTCGATCTTTGTGACTTCTTGTTTGTCACCCTTGACCTTCTTGATCACACGAGTGCGGATCTTCTTCTTCTTTGACTTGCCGTCTTCAGTAATGGTTTCAACCACGCGAACCTCTTCTGGAAGCTCTTGAATCTCTTCTGGTTTTTCTTCTTCGAACGGAAGTTCTTCAACAGTTACAGTGGTTTCGGGTTGCTTGTCATCCTCCTCGACGGTTTCGATCTTTGTAACTTCTTGTTTGTCACCCTTGACCTTCTTGATCACACGAGTGCGGATCTTCTTCTTCTTTGGCTTGCCGTCTTCAGTAATGGATTCAACCACTCGAACCTCTTCTGGAAGCTCTTGAATCTCTTCTGGTTTTTCTTTTTCGAACGGAAGTTCTTCAACAGTTACAGTGGTTTCTGGTTGCTTGTCATCCTCCTCGACGGTTTCGATCTTTGTGACTTCTTGTTTGTCACCCTTGACCTTCTTGATCACACGAGTGCGGATCTTCTTCTTCTTTGGCTTGCCGTCTTCAGTAATGGTTTCAACCACGCGAACCTCTTCTGGAAGCTCTTGAATCTCTTCTGGTTTTTCTTTTTCGAACGGAAGTTCTTCAACAGTTACAGTGGTTTCTGGTTGCTTGTCATCCTCCTCGACGGTTTCGATGTTTGTGACTTCTTGTTTGTCACCCTTGACCTTCTTGATCACACGAGTGCGGATCTTCTTCTTCTTTGGCTTGCCGTCTTCAGTAATGGTTTCAACCACGCGAACCTCTTCTGGAAGCTCTTGAATCTCTTCTGGTTTTTCTTCTTCAAATGGAAGCTCTTCAACGGTAACTGTGGTTTCGGGTTGCTTGTCATCCTCCTCGACGGTTTCGATCTTTGTGACTTCTTGTTTGTCACCCTTGACCTTCTTGATCACACGAGTGCGGATCTTCTTCTTCTTTGGCTTGCCGTCTTCAGTAATGGTTTCAACCACGCGTACCTCTTCTGGAAGCTCTTGAATCTCTTCTGGTTTTTCTTCTTCGAACGGAAGTTCTTCAACAGTTACAGTGGTTTCTGGTTGCTTGTCATCCGCCTCGACGGTTTCGATCTTTGTGACTTCTTGTTTGTCACCCTTGACCTTCTTGATCACACGAGTGCGGATCTTCTTCTTCTTTGGCTTGCCATCTTCAGTAATCGATTCAACCACGCGAACCTCTTCTGGAAGCTCTTGAATCTCTTCAGGTACTTCTTGTTCAAACGGAAGTTCTTCAACGGTAACTGTGGTTTCTGGTTGCTTGTCATCCTCCTCGACGGTTTCGATCTTTGTGACTTCTTGTTTGTCACCCTTGACCTTCTTGATCACACGAGTGCGGATCTTCTTCTTCTTTGGCTTGCCGTCTTCAGTAATGGTTTCAACCACGCGTACCTCTTCTGGAAGCTCTTGAATCTCTTCTGGTTTTTCTTCTTCGAACGGAAGTTCTTCAACAGTTACAGTGGTTTCTGGTTGCTTGTCATCCTCCTCGACGGTTTCGATCTTTGTGACTTCTTGTTTGTCACCCTTGACCTTCTTGATCACACGAGTGCGGATCTTCTTCTTCTTTGGCTTGCCATCTTCAGTAATCGATTCAACCACGCGAACCTCTTCTGGAAGCTCTTGAATCTCTTCAGGTACTTCTTCTTCAAACGGAAGTTCTTCAACGGTAACTGTGGTTTCTGGTTGCTTGTCATCCTCCTCGACGGTTTCGATCTTTGTGACTTCTTGTTTGTCACCCTTGACCTTCTTGATCACACGAGTGCGGATCTTCTTCTTCTTTGGCTTGCCGTCTTCAGTAATGGTTTCAACCACGCGTACCTCTTCTGGAAGCTCTTGAATCCCTTCAGGTACTTCTTCTTCAAACGGAAGTTCTTCAACGGTAACTGTGGTTTCGGGTTGCTTGTCATCCTCCTCGACGGTTTTGATCTTTGTGACTTCTTGTTTGTCACCCTTGACCTTCTTGATCACACGAGTGCGGATCTTCTTCTTCTTTGGCTTGCCGTCTTCAGTAATGGTTTCAACCACGCAAACGTCTTCTGGAAGCTCTTGAATCTCTTCTGGTACTTCTGCTTCAAACGGAAGTTCTTCAACGGTAACTGTGGTTTCGGGTTGCTTGTCATCCTCCTCGACGGTTTCTATCTTTGTGACTTCTTGTTTGTCACCCTTGACCTTCTTGATCACACGAGTGCGGATCTTCTTCTTCTTTGGCTTGCCATCTTCAGTAATGGATTCAACCACGCGAACCTGTTCTGGAAGCTCTTGAATCTCTTCTGGTTTTTCTTCTTCAAACGGAAGCTCTTCAACGGTAACTGTGGTTTCGGGTTGCTTGTCATCCTCCTCGACGGTTTCGATCTTTGTGACTTCTTGTTTGTCACCCTTGACCTTCTTGATCACACGAGTGCGGATCTTCTTCTTCTTTGGCTTGCCGTCTTCAGTAATGGTTTCAACCACGCGAACCTCTTCTGGAAGCTCTTGAATCTCTTCTGGTTTTTCTTCTTCAAACGGAAGCTCTTCAACGGTAACTGTGGTTTCGGGTAGCTTGTTATCCTCCTCGACGGTTTCGATCTTTGTGACTTCTTGTTTGTCACCCTTGACCTTCTTGATCACACGAGTGCGGATCTTCTTCTTCTTTGGCTTGCCGTCTTCAGTAATGGTTTCAACCACGCGAACCTCTTCTGGAAGCTCTTGAATCTCTTCTGGTTTTTCTTCTTCAAACGGAAGTTCTTCAACGGTAACTGTGGTTTCTGGTAGCTTGTTATCCTCCTCGACGGTTTCGATCTTTGTGACTTCTTGTTTGTCACCCTTGACCTTCTTGATCACACGAGTGCGGATCTTCTTCTTCTTTGGCTTGCCGTCTTCAGTAATGGTTTCAACCACGCGAACCTGTTCTGGAAGCTCTTGAATCTCTTCTGGTTTTTCTTCTTCGATCGGAAGTTCTTCAACAGTTACAGTGGTTTCTGGTTGCTTGTCATCCTCCTCGACGGTTTCGATCTTTGTGACTTCTTGTTTGTCACCCTTGACCTTCTTGATCACACGAGTGCGGATCTTCTTCTTCTTTGGCTTGCCGTCTTCAGTAATGGATTCAACGGCGCGAACCTCTTCTGGAAGCTCTTGAATCTCTTCTGGTTTTTCTTCTTCAAACGGAAGTTCTTCAACAGTTACAGTGGTTTCTGGTTGCTTGTCATCCTCCTCGACGGTTTCGATTTTTGTGACTTCTTGTTTGTCACCCTTGACCTTCTTGATCACACGAGTGCGGATCTTCTTCTTCTTTGGCTTGCCATCTTCAGTAATCGATTCAACCACGCGAACCTCTTCTGGAAGCTCTTGAATCTCTTCAGGTACTTCTTCTTCAAACGGAAGTTCTTCAACGGTAACTGTGGTTTCTGGTTGCTTGTCATCCTCCTCGACGGTTTCGATCTTTGTGACTTCTTGTTTGTCACCCTTGACCTTCTTGATCACACGAGTGCGGATCTTCTTCTTCTTTGGCTTGCCGTCTTCAGTAATGGTTTCAACCACGCGTACCTCTTCTGGAAGCTCTTGAATCTCTTCTGGTTTTTCTTCTTCGAACGGAAGGTCTTCAACAGTTACAGTGGTTTCTGGTTGCTTGTCATCCTCCTCGACGGTTTCGATCTTTGTGACTTCTTGTTTGTCACCCTTGACCTTCTTGATCACACGAGTGCGGATCTTCTTCTTCTTTGGCTTGCCAACTTCAGTAATGGTTTCAACGACGCGAACCTCTTCTGGAAGCTCTTGAATCTCTTCTGGTTTTTCTTCTTCAAACGGAAGCTCTTCAACGGTAACTGTGGTTTCGGGTTGCTTGTCATCCTCCTCGACGGTTTCGATCTTTGTGAGTTCTTGTTTGTCACCCTTGACCTTCTTGATCACACGAGTGCGGATCTTCTTCTTCTTTGGCTTGCCGTCTTCAGTAATCGATTCAACCACGCGAACCTCTTCTGGAAGCTCTTGAATCTCTTCTAGTTTTTCTTCTTCAAACGGAAGTTCTTCAACGGTAACTGTGGTTTCTGGTTGCTTGTCATCCTCCTCGACGGTTTCGATCTTTGTGACTTCTTGTTTGTCACCCTTGACCTTCTTGATCACACGAGTGCGGATCTTCTTCTTCTTTGGCTTGCCGTCTTTAGTAATGGTTTCAACCACGCGAACCTCTTCTGGAAGCTCTTGAATCTCTTCTGGTTTTTCTTCTTCGAACGGAAGTTCTTCGACAGTTACAGTGGTTTCTGGTTGCTTGTCATCCTCCTCGACGGTTTCGATCTTTGTGACTTCTTGTTTGTCACCCTTGACCTTCTTGATCACACGAGTGCGGATCTTCCTCTTCTTTGGCTTGCCGTCTTCAGTAATGGTTTCAACCACGCGAACCTCTTCTGGAAGCTCTTGAATCTCTTCTGGTTTTTCTTCTTCAAACGGAAGCTCTTCAACGGTAACTGTGGTTTCTGGTTGCTTGTCATCCTCCTCGACGGTTTCGATCTTTGTGAGTTCTTGTTTGTCACCCTTGACCTTCTTGATCACACGAGTGCGGATCTTCTTCTTCTTTGGCTTGCCGTCTTCAGTAATGGTTTCAACCACGCGAACCTCTTCTGGAAGCTCTTGAATCTCTTCTGGTTTTTCTTCTTCGAACGGAAGTTCTTCAACAGTTACAGTGGTTTCTGGTTGCTTGTCATCCTCCTCGACGGTTTCGATCTTTGTGACTTCTTGTTTGTCACCCTTGACCTTCTTGATCACACGAGTGCGGATCTTCCTCTTCTTTGGCTTGCCGTCTTCAGTAATGGTTTCAACCACGCGAACCTCTTCTGGAAGCTCTTGAATCTCTTCTGGTTTTTCTTCTTCAAACGGAAGCTCTTCAACGGTAACTGTGGTTTCTGGTTGCTTGTCATCCTCCTCGACGGTTTCGATCTTTGTGAGTTCTTGTTTGTCACCCTTGACCTTCTTGATCACACGAGTGCGGATCTTCTTCTTCTTTGGCTTGCCGTCTTCAGTAATGGTTTCAACCACGCGAACCTCTTCTGGAAGCTCTTGAATCTCTTCTGGTTTTTCTTCTTCGAACGGAAGTTCTTCAACAGTTACAGTGGTTTCTGGTTGCTTGTCATCCTCCTCGACAGTTTCGATCTTTGTGACTTCTTGTTTGTCACCCTTGACCTTCTTGATCACACGAGTGCGGATCTTCTTCTTCTTTGGCTTGCCGTTTTCAGTAATGGTTTCAACCACGCGAACCTCTTCTGGAAGCTCTTGAATCTCTTCTGGTTTTTCTTCTTCGAACGGAAGTTCTTCGACAGTTACAGTGGTTTCTGGTTGCTTGTCATCCTCCTCGACGGTTTCGATCTTTGTGACTTCTTGTTTGTCACCCTTGACCTTCTTAATCACACGAGTGCGGATCTTTTTCTTCTTTGGCTTGCCGTCTTCAGTAATGGTTTCAACCACGCGAACCTCTTCTGGAAGCTCTTGAATCTCTTCTGGTTTTTCTTCTTCAAACGGAAGTTCTTCAACTGTAACTGTGGTTTCTGGTTGCTTGTCATCCTCCTCGACAGTTTCGATCTTTGTGACTTCTTGTTTGTCACCCTTGACCTTCTTGATCACACGAGTGCGGATCTTCTTCTTCTTTGGCTTGCCGTCTTTAGTAATGGTTTCAACCACGCGAACCTCTTCTGGAAGCTCTTGAATCTCTTCTGGTTTTTCTTCTTCAAACGGAAGTTCTTCAACTGTAACTGTGGTTTTTGGTTGCTTGTCATCCTCCTCGACAGTTTCGATCTTTGTGACTTCTTGTTTGTCACCCTTGACCTTCTTGATCACACGAGTGCGGATCTTCTTCTTCTTTGGCTTGCCGTCTTTAGTAATGGTTTCAACCACGCGAACCTCTTCTGGAAGCTCTTGAATCTCTTCTGGTTTTTCTTCTTCGAACGGAAGTTCTTCAACAGTTACAGTGGTTTCTGGTTGCTTGTCATCCTCCTCGACGGTTTCGATCTTTGTGACTTCTTGTTTGTCACCCTTGACCTTCTTGATCACACGAGTGCGGATCTTCTTCTTCTTTGGCTTGCCGTCTTCAGTAATGGTTTCAACCACGCGAACCTCTTCTGGAAGCTCTTGAATCTCTTCTGGTTTTCCTTCTTCGAACGGAAGTTCTTCAACAGTTACAGTGGTTTCTGGTTGCTTGTCATCCTCCTCGACGGTCTCGATCTTTGTGACTTCTTGTTTGTCACCCTTGACCTTCTTGATCACACGAGTGCGGATCTTCTTCTTCTTTGGCTTGCCATCTTCAGTAATGGATTCAACCACGCGAACCTCTTCTGGAAGCTCTTGAATCTCTTCAGGTACTTCTTCTTCAAACGGAAGTTCTTCAACGGTAACTGTGGTTTCTGGTTGCTTGTCATCCTCCTCGACGGTTTCGATCTTTGTGACTTCTTGTTTGTCACCCTTGACCTTCTTGATCACACGAGTGCGGATCTTCTTCTTCTTTGGCTTGCCGTCTTCAGTAATGGTTTCAACCACGCGAACCTCTTCTGGAAGCTCTTGAATCTCTTCTGGTTTTTCTTCTTCGAACGGAAGTTCTTCAACAGTTACAGTGGTTTCTGGTTGCTTGTCATCCTCCTCGACGGTTTCGATCTTTGTGACTTCTTGTTTGTCACCCTTGACCTTCTTGATCACACGAGTGCGGATCTTCTTCTTCTTTGGCTTGCCATCTTCAGTAATGGATTCAACCACGCGAACCTCTACTGGAAGCTCTTGAATCTCTTCAGGTACTTCTTCTTCAAACGGAAGTTCTTCAACGGTAACTGTGGTTTCGGGTTGCTTGTCATCCTCCTCGACGGTTTCGATCTTTGTGACTTCTTGTTTGTCACCCTTGACCTTCTTGATCACACGAGTGCGGATCTTCTTCTTCTTTGGCTTGCCGTCTTCAGTAATGGTTTCAACCACGCGAACCTCTTCTGGAAGCTCTTGAATCTCTTCTGGTTTTTCTTCTTCAAACGGAAGTTCTTCAACAGTTACAGTGGTTTCTGGTTGCTTGTCATCCTCCTCGACGGTCTCGATCTTTGTGACTTCTTGTTTGTCACCCTTGACCTTCTTGATCACACGAGTGCGGATCTTCTTCTTCTTTGGCTTGCCATCTTCAGTAATGGATTCAACCACGCGAACCTCTTCTGGAAGCTCTTGAATCTCTTCAGGTACTTCTTCTTCAAACGGAAGTTCTTCAACGGTAACTGTGGTTTCGGGTTGCTTTTCATCCTCCTCGACGGTTTCGATCTTTGTAACTTCTTGTTTGTCACCCTTGACCTTCTTGATCACACGAGTGCGGATCTTCTTCTTCTTTGGCTTGCCGTCTTCAGTAATGGTTTCAACCACGCGAACCTCTTCTGGAAGCTCTTGAATCTCTTCTGGTTTTTCTTCTTCGAACGGAAGTTCTTCAACAGTTACAGTGGTTTCTGGTTGCTTGTCATCCTCCTCGACGGTTTCGATCTTTGTGACTTCTTGTTTGTCACCCTTGACCTTCTTGATCACACGAGTGCGGATCTTCTTCTTCTTTGGCTTGCCGTCTTCAGTAATGGTTTCAACCACGCGAACCTCTTCTGGAAGCTCTTGAATCTCTTCTGGTTTTTCTTCTTCAAACGGAAGTTCTTCAACGGTAACTGTGGTTTCGGGTTGCTTGTCATCCTCCTCGACGGTTTCGATCTTTGTAACTTCTTGTTTGTCACCCTTGACCTTCTTGATCACACGAGTGCGGATCTTCTTCTTCTTTGGCTTGCCGTTTTCAGCAATGGTTTCAACCACGCAAACCTCTTCTGGAAGCTCTTGGATCTCTTCTGGTTTTTCTTCTTCAAACGGAATTTCTTCAACGGTAACTGTGGTTTCTGGTTGCTTGTCATCCTCCTCGACAGTTTCGATCTTTGTGACTTCTTGTTTGTCACCCTTGACCTTCTTGATCACACGAGTGCGGATCTTTTTCTTCTTTGGTTTGCCGTCTTCGGTAATAGTTTCAACGACGCGAACCTCTTCTGCTAGTTCCTTGATTACTTCTGGATGCTCCTCTACTACCGGAAGTTCCTCGACAGTGACAGTTGTCTCAGCTGGTTTGTCTTCTTCTTCAACGGTTTCGATCTTTGTGACTTCTTGTTTGTCTCCCTTGACCTTTTTGATTAAACGAGTTCGAATCTTCTTCTTTTTCGGTGTTCCGTCTTCAGATATTGTTTCAATAATTTTCACAGTTTCTGGCGTTTCTGTGATTTCTGTCTCTTGTGAATCAGGTTTTTGTGTTGGTGTCTTTTGTTTTGTGTGTGTTGTGTCTGTGCTTTGTTTTGTATCTGTGTAAAAAAGTGTGCATTTAGTATATGGTACTGTATGGATTTTGTGGCATTGCTTTGTTTTGTGTAATATGTGCTTTGGGCTTGGAGGGTCGAGTGGAAGTGAAAGTAATACGCCTTTATTGTTGAACTTCTTAATTTACACCTAATTGTATACTTACCCATATGTTTTTTTACCGTTTTATCTAAACTCTCTAACTTAATAACTTCCGGTGTCTTTTTCTTCTGAATACTATCAGTGTCGTCTCTTGATTCGTGTATTGGTGCTAGTGACTCAGTTGTCGTAGAATGTGCTTCTTCGTGTCTTGTTGTTTCAATGTGTGCAGTTTCAGACATCAGTTGTGGAATTTCAAGCATGGATTCTGAGACAAATTGTGTAGTTTGTAAAGCACTTTTTAAGCTACCTTCAACTACGGTTGGCTTTAACATATCCTCAGTATTCGGACTAACCCGAGCTGCTGTTGAGCTAAATATGTTTTGTTGTTCTGTTGTTACTGAAGTGTTTGTTTCAAAGTGTACTTTAGCAATTTCCTGAGTTTTGTGAGGCATCTCTTCCAATAAATTGGCCTGTTCATGTGATATTGTTTGTTGGGTAAGATACGTACTCTGCGTTGTGATTGATGGTAGCGCACGTTTCTCGTCAGCTTGAAACTCAATTATTTCCTGAACAGTTCCCTTCTCATTTTGCTCGCTTGTTAAAGGTGCAACTCTTACATCAGATAGTTGCGTTGTTGCATGCTCGAAAGGTTGCTTTTTGTCTCCCAATATTGGGCTTACACCTTCACAAGGAAGCTCCTCGCTGTAAACAATGTTTTTGTGTAAAACGGTTTCTGGCATTGCTTTCAACTCCTGCGGTACGTCCGTTGCAAGGCTGCCCAAGGATGTTATCGCAGTCACCACTTCTACTACAGAAACCTTCAGCTCCGAAACAGTAGTAGTGTCTGATAATAGGTTCGCAGTATTTGGCTTAAAATCACCATGGCCCTCAATGTTTTCGTAAACATTTACGGTTGATATTTCAGCTGGCTTAAGAACTGATTTCACAGAGCTTGTCGTTGTACTGTTCTTTTCGTCAGGCCTAACCACAATATTAGGACTTTGTTCATATGCCATCTGTTCAGAAACATTTGCAGCCCCGTGTGGAGCTTGCTGAGTTACGTTGGCTTTTCCTTCAGCTGGAACTTGAAGTTCATATGTTTCTTGAATAGAACTTGTGCTGACAACCTCTTCGATTAGCAAAGGTTGAAATTCAACATTAGACAGTTGAGCTGTGTCGTCCAGAACGTTAAGTTGGGGTAGAGTATCCTCCTTTAGGAATGTTGATTGAATTGTTGTCGAATGAGCCCTGTTAATATCTACATCTCTGGATATGTTAACAATATGGCCATGCTCTTTTTGATATTGAAGGTCTTGGCTTTTCTCGTAAGAAGTGACTTCAGATGTGGTTGTATGCAAGCTAACTTCATCTGATTTGATTTTAGCTTGAGCTACTTTGTCGTTAACAACTTGCACCTCACTTTCTAGTTCTAATGGCATCTGAGTTTCTACAATAGGGGACTGATTGATTCTATCGTTTGTTATCAGATTGGCTGGGAATACAGTTGGCTCTTTGGGTAGGTCCATACCACCCACATTTTCAATAGGTACTACTTCAGTTACAAGCGTTTCCCGCTGTGTTCCTTCAATAAATGGTTTTCCGAAATACTCCTTTTGAGTACTTTCCAAGACCTCTTCCTTTTGCATGATTATGTTATCCATTTGAACTTGAACTTTATTTGACTCTACAACAGCAACAAACTCTTGTTGGGCCTGCTGCGCAGAAACCTGAGTATCTTTAATTCGTTCAGATGATTCTAGGGGAACAGTATCGAGTACTGAGGTACTCTGAAGCAGATCCACAGATGATTTGGCTCTGGCTTCCGTAGGTAACTTGGACGGTATACTTGACTCCTTTTGGAAAACTCGTGGTTGATGGGATTCTGGTGTGGCCTTAAACATTGTATCCATAGACTCCACTGCAGAACCAGTAGGCAAACCTGTCTCTGGGAGATCTTCAGATTCCTCTATCGCACGGACTTCGCTAATATTAACTTCATGTTGTCTTCCTTCATAGGTTGTCTGAGCAAGCAATGTGTCTGCGGGCGAACTTAATAGATCATGAGTTCCTTCAATAGGTTGTGTCTTCGTAGTCGTCGCCAAAGCAAGCCGCGACGGTATACTATCAGTCGTTGCTACTGCATAAGATTGCTCATGGCTCCTAAGCTCTTTTTCAGCTTCAACAGTTTGCTGCAGATCCGTTGCATGAACTTGAGCGAGCTCGTGAGTGACTTCCGCTTGCTGTACATTGTACTTATCCACTTCATGGGCCTGTCCCATGGCTTCATAGGCGGTGGCTTCGCCCACCAGTTTAGCATGAAGATTTTTGACATCCTCCAGACGTTTGGCTTTCTGGCTCGGGGTAGTTTCAAGTCCAAGATTTTTCTCAGATTCCAATATACTCTGATCCTGTGAAATAATTGAAAGGCTTAAGTTATCCTGAACCTTGATTGCGGTTCGTTGGTCGGCAGATAAGCTTTCGAAGCTCTCAGTTGCATCAAATACAATGCTGCCAGTCACCATTGTATGCTCATGGGGTACCAGAGACTTTTTGGGCACTACATTATCTGGCATTGCAGACTCCTTTGATTGTGTAACAGAGTCGTACACAATGGTTTCAGATGACTTTGTTTCACTTAAAAGATCAATTCTGGGAGATGCAAACTTGTTTGATGTGTTGAAATCTTCCAAGTCACCGACGCTTTGGTTTTCTTGCATGCGTTCAGTTACAGGCAACTGAAGGAGCTCTGAAGAAACGGGTTTGGCCCTCTCTGACTGCACTGAGGGAACTGCAAGATGCTCCTCTTGCTCGAGGGTATCTTCTTGTCGAACCAGTGCTATGCCCGTCGTGGAATCCAATGCTACTTTAATAAGTTGTTCACTTGGCTGGGCAACACCTTCCAGGAGCTCCTCTTTCTCGAACACGTCAGATTCTCGTACGTTAACCTCGTATAAAGTATTCATTGAAGGTTGAATTGTTTCTGGGGTGGGGAAGACTTCCTTCAAGTCCGAAATTTGGTCTAGAACATTCGGCTGCTGTGAGAGTGGGATTTTCTGGGTAGATTCATTCAATTTCGGCTTAACATGAACTTGCTGGGTAATATTTTCGTCCTTCAACTCCGATGTACCTTCACTTACAATAGCAGTGGTCGTCTTCAAAGCTGTCGTACTTTCGATAAGCTGTACACTGCCAACAGATGATTTGCTATACTCTGGAGCACTGTAGTCGCTTAAGACCTCCAGAGGGATGGTTTCTTCAACATTCGGCAAAGTGATTTCCCCGATATTAACATGTGCCTGATGCTTGGGCTCCCTGTGTTCGTCCAGTCCTTCCAATGTCTCCATGTGTTGAGGTCTCAATGTATTGGCTACTTGCAAAGCGGACGAAGTTCCGATGGCAGCGCTCTGCAATGAATGGGGCTCTTCAGTCGATAGAATGGTCTCCCCCTCCAAGGTTACACATGTGCTGGTTTCTAGGGGTTGCAGCAAACCGAAGTGGCTTTCTGTTGTCTGTGTCTGGGGCTTCACTTCTTCCTCGCGTGGTTGAAGGCTTTCCAGGGGCGCCTGCTCTCTAACATCGGTTCCAAATTGTTGCGGCATGCTAATATCTGCTAAAACTGCCGTCGGTTTGGTGTCTTCGCGTTTGTCGATCGTGGACTCCATCGGAATCACCTCCAGGCCCTCGGTGTACTTGAAAGCTTCGGTGACAGTCTGGGCCTTGATAAGCTTCTGATTAACAAGACCATCAACGAAATCGGTGCTCGTTTCGGTTATCTGTACACTGGTAACATCCAAAGGCACTTGGTTCTCATCGAGAATTATGTTACCCGTTTTGGGTTCAGGCTTTTGAAGTTGTTCGATTTGACTGGTACTCTCTAACAAGTCAGGCTTACTAGCAACCCCAATCGTCATCGTTTCAAAGACCCGATTCGCAGATCCAGACTTGGTTTCCTCGGGAATAATGTCAGACGATGTCACGCCGGGTTGAACCTCGAATACGCTCGTTACCCTTAGCTCGGCAGGAATCATCTTTTCGGTAGCTAACTGGGATATCTGTTCTTTTTCGTCGGATAGGATCTCCTCCTTATCCACAGTTGTGTCTTGCTTAATCTCCAATGCCGTCTGCTCGATGAATTCTAGTTTGGCATCCATCATTTCGGGAACTGCGGAAATAAGCTCTTCTTCTCTGTCAATCACTGTTGACGTCTGAACTTCTGCAACGATTTCAGCCTCGGAAATAATAACTTTACCCTGCACGCTTTTGTGATCTTCAGCTGGTACCAAACCGAGTGAATCGAAGAGGGCCTCTTCTTTACTTTCCGCTGTTCCATAGGCCTTTGTTAAGGTGCCCTTTGCAGGTTTCGTTGATTCCACAATTGGTTCGATAAGCTCAACTGCCGTTTCCACTACGTTCGTCTCCTGTGTTTCGCCAACAGTCAAGGCGCTTGATTGCCCCAGCGTTCCCTCGGCAATTTTGGGAATATCTTTCACCTCCAAGTCCTTCGATGCCTGTTCGTTTGAAACTGTTTCGAGGGTTACCACATGGTGTTGTGTCTGCATATCTACAATGGCTTCCTTTACATCTGCCTTAAAGCTTGGCAAAGCCTCATCGATGGGACTCTGAGAATCTGCTGTGATATTTACTAAGCCCTCGGCTAACTCGAATAGTTCCAAAGCTTTAATTTCGCCAGTCCGTTTCTTGGCCACTTCGCCTCCTTTCAGACTCTCAAAGGTTTCAGTTTCCAGAACCTGAACTGGAATCTCCTCGGCCTTAATGGTGTAATCAGCCACACTCTTAGTCGGTTGGGTCTCAAATGGCATTCGATCCACACTCTCAAAAACTTCCGGTGCGTTTCCACTGACCGCCTTGTGTTGGACTACTGAATTCGTTGATGACTCCAGATGTCCCTTGACCGCAGGTTGAAGTTCGCCCACCGAGTCCTCTGGCTGGCACTCGCTAATGCCCAGACTTATGTTGGGTGTGACTTGTGGTGCGATATTTTCTCCAACTGGCTTGGTCTGAATGACCTCCTTTTCAACTGATTCGGTGCTCATCACTTCGGTGATGATCAGCTCCTGCTGGTTCAGTAGCTTCTGCTGAACGGTTTCCTCCGTTGCTTCGATTGGTTTCAGCTGATCGATGCTCTCCAGCGTAGGTTGTTGTTCCTCGGTTAGCTCATGAGACAACAATATGTCACCATGGGCCTGTTGAGTTATGGTCTTGAGTGGTTGCAGATCCTCGATAGCTTCTTCTATGCTTGGAGCTTCAACCAGCAAAGGACGTGACTCCTTCATCTTGCGCTGGGCCTTAACGGACTTGGGTATCTTAGAAGGCTTCAGTTCTCTTGAAGACTCGTCCGTTTTTGTTTCGGACACATTCACAGCATGCTTTTTCCTGATTTCCACCTGTTCGGTAAGCTTGCTTTCTACGGGTCTGGGGGTTTCCTTTTGCGGGCCAACCTCATCGAGTGGCAAACACTCCTCCCTCAAGGCCAATATCTTTTGGGGTAGTATTTCATCCTGAACCTGAGCCGGAATCGGTTTCGGAGTAGAAAGTTCTGTGGTGACTGCAACTGCAACGCTTTCGAGCGTGTCTGTTGGTAGATTTTGCGTGGTTAGTGTCTCGTATGTGGGCAGAAGCTCTTCGATTTGCTCAAGAGTTTCTGCCTGCGGTGATCCTGTGCTTGTTTCGTGGGCCAGTGTTTCTCTTTGTTCGTATTGTTCGATTGTTGTGGACTCGGTGACTTCCTGTTCTTGTTCTTGTATGTGTTTTTTATGCTTTTTGGTTTTCGTTTTCTTCTGCACAATTTGTTCAGCCTGAGCCTGTATTTGTAGCACTTGTTCTTGTTGTTCTTGTATTTGCACATGTTCTTGTTCTAGTTGCTGTATGAATTGTTTTTCCACCTTAGTGGTTGCTGTTTCTGTGAATGTAATGTAATTAAACAATGACAATGTCGACCTCTCTTGGTGTTTCTATTAAAAAAACAGTATACTAACAATGATGGCAACCGCTGTAGGCCGTGCAAGCAAATCATTCATTTAGTCGTTTTTGGTGAAATTCAAAGCGAGCGGTAAAGCAAAATGAGTTGCACAAAAAGGGATGGATAATCATAGTTTTTCGTTCTATTCACAGTAGGTAAATTGGAAAACAGACAGAAATTCGAGATAGACCTTACCTCATTTGACATCCGGAAGTCGTCCAGTTTGGCGTGCATAGGGAATAAAGCTCTTCTACTCTTGAAAGTGGAATGCGATTGGCAAAAGCATTAGAGTGTGCAAAAGTCAATAATAGTTAAGCTTATATGGTATATAGTAGCAGCAAGATATTGAACTTAAAATCAGGTAGATATATAGCTTTTAGTGGTGGTATTTAGCTGTTAATGGGAAATTTATTATTCGGTGGCGTCTTTTTAGAATATACACATGATTTGTTTGGTTTGACTTAACAAGATTTAATTGTTATATTTGTAGAGACAATATTTATTATTGTTTTTGTATTTGTATTCTTTTTAATAATATTAATTAGACTGTAGTTGAGTAGTTCGTGGGATGGTACATCGTTACTGGTGGGATATATATTACAGGACATCTGTGTTTATGTTCAAACCTTCTTGGACAATTATCGTTCGTTCCTCGACAAATGTTTCCTCTGTCGAAAGTGGTATATGGGATTTTATTGGCCGTGTTTTGGGGGTGGCACGAAAAGCGTAGGTAAGTTTTACAAAGCAGAGTTACATATTAAAAAAAAGAAATAAATATAAACTTTTTTCAGTATGCAAATTGCAAAAGATCTCCTTATTCTAATCAATTTGAAGTAAGGCTTGAATAAATCTCCTTTTACATCACCGACACTCACCTATTTTCACATGTGTGATGGCCTCGTGACTTTCAATTATCTGCGATGTCTCTACTATTCTCTAGATTTCCGTGAATCAAAGTAGATAGAAATTTTTGAAAAGTGTAAATATTCAACTGCCCATTAATATCTGCTTTTATCAAGCTTAACTTTAACTCTAGTTGAAATGCAAAAATTAACCCCAATTAAGAAAACGAAAATGAAATTTAAAATATTTTCTTTTAGCATTTCAACTGTCTGCACAAAGAATGTCAAAGAACGAACACAACAGAAAAACACATTGAACATGATTCAAACCTCCTTTCCACATATCTTCCAGTCCTGCGATATGAAGTCCTCCCTAACAAACTTTCGTATGACGATCTCAATGGTGATTTCATACGTCTGAATCATGCGTATGAAGGCCTTGAATCCTACGGTGGCTGCCAGGATGGTCTCGTCCTCGTTTGAGGACTCGCTCAGTATCTGGGAGATCAGCTCCTCGTGGCCCTCTCGCTCAACGAGCTGCACCAGGGCCGATTGGGACTCGGGTTTCTTCAGGGATATGAATATGTTTTGCTCGTACATATAGGTAATCTCGTAATGTTCACAGCCATAGCGCAACAGCAGTCCAATTGTGGCCAAATCTCTGAGGGCAGACTCGCCAATTTGTCCAAAGGACTCGGCCTCAATCGACTCGAGCAGCCATTGGACTTCTTCGTGGTGCGACAGCACTTGAACATCCTCAATGGTGATGATCTTCTGGCTGATCTTCGTGCGTATTAGCTCCACAGTTTTGGTTATCTCTATCTTTTTGCTAGATGTGTAAGTTTCCTTCTGCTCTACTTTCACTTCCTCTTCCTGGACTTTCTCCTCAATCTCTTCCACCTCTTCGATTTCTTCAATTTCTTCCACCTCTTCGATTATCTGACTGCTGCGCTTTTCGGCATCGGCAATTCTGCGATCTTTCACCTCTAGAACCTCGGATACTTCGCTCTTCTCCACGAGTATGGACACAGGTTGCTTCACCCTAATCACATTCATTGTGGTTTCTGCCGTGCTGGCTGGAATAATACGGATTTCTGTCTTTTGCACGGTCTGCGACTCTGAGGCCCCGGATCTCTTCACCATGGTCTTCTTGCCGGCCTTCTTCTTCACCGTAGTCTTGACTTTGACCTCCTCGACCTCGGTGCTGGTGGATGATATATCGAACTTGGCTCGCGTCATCGTCATGCCAATCTCGTTGATCAACTTGCAGTTGTAGTAACCGCAGTCTTCGTTCGTGATCTTCAGTATTTCTAGCGTTGCTTCCTGTTCCTGCACTACCATGCGATACTTTTCAGATGCCCTAAGCTGAACGTTGTTGAAATACCATTGAATATCTAAGGTTACATAAGTTTTACATAAGGCTTCTACCCAAAACTAAAGCTCTCTTCAAGATACAATACCTGGTATCGGGTTGCCTGCGAACTGTATCGAGAACTTGGCTGTTTCGCCTAAGGCAGCACGGCAGTCACGCATTTCGTTTAGTAGTGATGGCGAGCATTTAGCAGCTATAAGCACAAAGATGGCACAATATCTATGGATTAGAGACTACCAGGATAATCTAAAAGCGGGTTGGGTAGTTGCGTGTCTATCTTGTGTACTTACACCGATTGTTTTTGGTTTTTCTTGGAGTTTGGAGTATTTTTTGTCTGTTTGTTTTTGAAGTCGGGTGAGAAAAGAGCTATGAAGAGTAACACTTAAACGTTTTTTAGATACATGCAACATTGGGTTATTCGACACAATGTGAAGTGTAGAGCAAGCAGCGTTCTGGGAATGTTATACAATTTCTTTGGATTGGATTGAACACTTTTATAAAATGGTGGGTTAGTTTGTAAATTTAGAATAACTGCGAATTCAAAGAACCAATTACTTGCAGATGATATACAGATATTGATACTGTAAGAGATACATTTTATATACGAACGATAGATAATTTTCGATTCATACTAAAAGTTCTATATTGGCGTTTACTTTGGGATCATTTAATTCATGGGTTGGGGTGGGGGACAAGCCTTAGAGCTGTAGGGGACCGAGACAATCACAAAGCTACAATTTCTTGGGGGAGGGCACTTCACAGGATCACATATTTGTTGCTGTTGTACGATACAATGTATTATACATGGACAAATACAAAATAGAGACAGAGAGAGTAGATAGAGACAGGAGACAGAGGACAGACTTTGTGAATTTTGGTTGTTTTTTGTAGTTTTGTGGTTTAAGACAAAGGCACAGAAGACATTTGTGTGTTGGTAACACGAAATTAAAACACATATACACATAACAGTGGTAACAGAGCTGGCATTAGTGGGGGATACATACCTTTGAGAGCCACCTGCATCTCCTCCATCTGAGTCACCCACTCCGGCTTGCGGTAATCCTTCGATCCAACGATGCCTTTTTTGGTATAGTTGTGAACATAGTGGAAGTAATAAACAACAAACCATTATTATATTTGCTTTAAAGAGTCAACACAGAGATAGCTGTAAAGTTTGTCTGGTTAGCCTTAAACTAAAAAAGTATTTCCTTTTTGTGTACAGTTCTGCAAGTGTTTAACATATAAGTGTAGAGGGGATATTGGGTTTGGGATAGGGAGATTTTTTTATAATATGCAGCTCCAAAAATCTGAAAAAGAGTTTTACTAACAAAGCCAAGTTGATTCATATTACAGAATGCTCTACATGAGGGGTAAACCATTTTAGTACCTTCGACCGCAAAGAGCGCCGTGGTCACTGCCACACCCAGTGGATTGTATGCCTCGAAACTAATTGTGCCCAAATCATCGGGATAGACGTGGTTGATCACCAACACTGAGGTGCCGTCTTCGAAATTTTCGATTTGATATTCCTCGGAGGCGAATATCTGCTCGTCGTCGCGCAGCCACTTGACCTTCGGTTTTGGTTTTCCAACGACCTTAACCTCCAGCTTCGCTTGCTCGCCCTCTTTGGGCTCGATTTTCTCCGGTAGCTTTTTAATTATTTTCGGAGCTTGTTCGTCGATCGAGAGAGTCTAAAATAATTGGCGTTATAACATTGGGAGAATTAGCATGGATAGTCCTTCGGCTGGAATCGCAAGTACAACAATTACGCTTACTCTATCTAGTAGATCCTCCTCAGATCCTGTGAGTCCAGTGATTTCAGAATCGGGGATATATTCAAATGCTAAAAAATACACATTTGAAAGCATTATAAATAAAGGCGTGTCTCCACACGGAATTACGAGGCAACGAACTCAAAAAAAACGGAAAATTATTTACAAAAGGAGGAATTGTGGAAAAATAGGAGGAAAGGATTTTATGGACTTGATAGACAGTAAGACTTTCAAAACAGTAGAATCACATGCGCAGGCCCTCAAAGGCAGTTAGTAGAAAAGGGGGGACAATCAAAGAACTCAGTTTGTCTGGGGATAGTGTAGTTATTGGAAAACCTATTTAGGATGCATGTAGTGTGTAGAGTGGCACTACTTCCAGCTGGTTAACTAGTTAAACTACCGATAGATACCATCTCAAGTACCTTGAATCTTAACGTTTGTCTTGCTCACGCTCTTGCCAATCTTGTTTGTGGCCACGCACTCGTATTGGCCCTGGTTTTCGGGGAAAACTTCCGTAATCTGCAGCTGGCAAATGCCTTGCAAGTCTTGCGATATCGTAGTTTCCTTGTTCTCGGTGATCTTCTCGGCATTGTGATACCACTCCACCTTGGGAGTGGGCTTTCCGGTCACCTGACAGGTGAGCAGCAATGCCTCGCCATCCATAACCTCGACGGGTCGGATGAGTTCCTCAACGAATCGCGGTGATTCGAATTCCACTGCCTCCTCTTGGGGCAGAGATTCGATTAGGTTGACAGTAGCCGTCGATGTCACCGAACCACCCACATTCTCGGCTCGACAAGTGAAGGGTCCTACGAACTGCTTCTGGAAGTCCTCAATCAGCAGCGTCGACTTGTTGGCCTGGCTGACAATGCGCACTTCGTTCGAGCTCTTGATGGGTTCATTGTGCACAAACCACTGGAAGGAGGATAGTGGCTCGGAGTCCACCACCGCTTCGATAATGGCCACCTCGTGCTCGCCAAAGTACTTCGGTTCCAGGGGCTGAACAAATCTGGGCGGCCTAATTTGCTCATCGGGTTTCTGATCTGAAACCACCACCGATCCCGAGGACTTGGCCTCGCCCACCTTGTTCTTGGCCCAAACTTCGTATTTGCCAGTTCGTTTGCGCGTCATATTGACAACCTTGATGGTGGTCGTGGTTTCGGTTGTTTCTACGATGATCTCCTCGTTCTCGATGATCTCGCGGCCATTGCGCATCCATTTGATCTCTGGCCTGGGCAGACCATCGTACTTGGCCTCGAAGAAGAGAGTACCCCCGGTGGGTACAACAACGGCATTCAAAGGAGTGACAGTCGGGGCCTTGAGTATCTCCCTGGGCACTTCATCCACTCGACTCAGGATATTGGCATTGCCAATGGCACGTCCAAATTGATTCTGCGCCTGCACCGAGTAGACAATCGCTTCATTGGGCGTGGGATTGATAACCTCTAGCGCCACATCACCGGTTTTCTCATCGTAGAACATTTGCACGGTTTCGCTGGGAATAACTTCCTCTATACCTCTGTACCATTTGACCTGAGGGTTGGGCTTTCCCGTCACTTGACAGGTCACCGTCACCTTCAGCAGCTCGGGCTGCTTCTCCTCAGTAAACTCAATCTTAAGCGGTTTCGTAAACTGGGGTGCAACTCCTTGTTCTTTTTCTATATTCAATGTGAATAAGTGGTATTTAAATATTATGTGTGCTTTTGGTGTAATGTAAGGAATTATGTACATAAAGGATTGAGGTCAAGGTAAGTTAGGTTTAAAAGATCGGAATTGAAGATCGATTCAAAATAACTCACAAAAAAAGTCGTGAAGGTTACATTAGAATGAAGAAGGATTCCCGCTGAATGATACTATTGGTTCTCTAAATCGGGAATCCCCCTTAAAGATATTGCTATTTCTATAGAAAACTTACCTAAAATAATGTTGGTACGACTTGTGGCCACTCCAGCCTCGTTCTTGGCCTCACATGTATAGACGCCAACATCGCTGGGCGTGACCTTGGCTATCTTCAGCTTCGCCACCTGCTCGACGACAGTGATCTCGTACTTCTCCGAGGCAAACAGCAGGATGTCGTTGAAGTACCAGTTGATCTCGGGGAAGGGAACTCCCTCCACCTTGCACTCCAGCACGGTGGGTTCCTCGGGAACGCATTGACGGGGACGCAGCTTCTCGGTGATCCTCGGTGGCTTAATCTCCTTCTTCTTCTTCTTGACCAGCTTGCGCTCCTGACCAATCACCTCAGAGGTGGTCGTTTCCTGTTGGTTCTGGATGAGCTGCTGGTCCTCGATGAGCTCCTCATCGGCCACCCTGTCAATGCCCTCTTGAATGCGCTTCTGGGTGATCAGCTCGAGCTCCGGCAACGGTTGACTGTCGTCCAGCACCACGCGACGCTTCTCCTTCTTGATGATGTTCGATGTGACCTTCATCTCGAGGTCACGTCGCACGTCCTCCACATCCAGCTCGATGAGCTGTTCAGTCGTGATGAATTGAGGTCTTGTGTCTTCAGTCTTCTTGAGTAGGGTAATAGTCTTTTGTGAGATCTCCTGGGATATTTCGTCCACCTTTTCGATTTCAGCAATAGCGGCTTCCAGCAGCTGTGGTTGTCCTTCCACGGAGGCCTGCTTGAGTGGTTTCGTGCGCTTCTTGTGCGCCTTCTGCTTCGTCTGAGGCGTTTCCTCGGTGGGCACAACCTCCTCTTCGGGCAGTACGTCTTCGGAAACTGCCACGACCTTGACATCGTCCACCGGCAACTCTTCCACTTGATCTTCCTCTGCGATGGGCTCGTCGAAGGGCACCGCCTCCTCCTCGGACACCTCGTCCACTGAGGGTGTGGCCTTCTTCAGCTTGGGCTTCTTCTTCTTTTCCTTCTTGGCCTTGGGCTCCTTGGGCTGCTTGTCTTCGGGCAACTTAAGGGGTTCAAGCTCCAGTTCCTCCTCTTCGCTCTCTGGCTTTTCTTCTGGCACAAGCTTTGGACCGGGTATGGCCTTTTCGGGCTTTTGCGGCTCTTCAACTGGTTTTGAGGGAATTGGCTTTAATGTAACCTCTTCCGGCTGCTCTGCAGGAAGTGGACGGCGTTTACCCGTTGGCCATTGTTTCTCCTCCAGAACTTCCTCGACCGGCTTCTTCTTCTCTCCTCGCTTCCATGGCACCTGAGGTTGCTCTTCTTCGGGCTTGGGTTCCTTCTCAATGTCGATGTGCTCGGCCTCCTCCAGTTGTGTGGGCTCAGCATCGGCAATTTCGGGAAGGTCTTCGTGTTTCGGCTTCTTCACCTTCTTGGTCTTGCGCTTCTCCTCCTGAACGATTTCTTCCTCCTTTCTCTCGACATGCTGCAAGTCAACTTCCTCCAGCTTGACTTCTTCGGGCTTGATGGATGTTCGTTGTGTTGGCTTCAAGCGCACTTCCTCAATGGTCGCCTCTTGGGGAAGCTCTTTCTTTGGCCGAGTGACCCGCTTGAGGGCCACTTCTTCAACCTTCTCGACGATTTCTTCCTTTCTTGGCTTCGGTTTGGGTGCAATTTTCTGTTCGGGGGTAACATCCTCGAAGGTTTGTTCCTCCGGAACGTCTTCGACTGGTTGCACTTCTTCCGGCACGGGTTCCTCCTCCTCGAATTCTTCGATTTCTTCTGCCGGCTCTTCAGTGGATTCTTCAGTGGCAGTCTTCGTCTTGGGCTTCTTCTTCTTAACGCGCTTCTTCGTCACGTCAACTATTTGGTCCTCAGTGGTGACAACATATTCCTTCACCTCGAATTCGGTTTCAGGAGTCTCGGGTTGTGTGGTTTCCGAGACAATTGCAGTCTTTTTCAGCGGTTTTAACGTTACCTCCTCCAGTTGTTCTTTCTCGGGCAGAGGACGTTGCTTCCTTGGCGCAGGTTTCAGTGAAACCTTTTCAACTTGCTCAACATCTTGGGCTTTGGGCGCAGGCTTGGGCTTTTTGGGTTCTTCGGGAACAGATTCTTCAACCTCAACCTCCTCAACTTGAGGTTCTTCAACCTCTTCTGGCTGCTCTACGCTCTCCTCTCCGACCACCTTCTTCTTGGGTTTCTTGACCTTTTTCACCTTGCGTTGTTCTTCTACAATTTCTTCCTGCTCTTCGATTATTTCTTCTTCTTGGGGAGCTTCCTCTTCTGGTTGTTCTTCTTCCACCTCGGTCTTTTCCACAGTCTTCTTGGGCTTCTTTACCTTCTTCACCTTTCGCTTCTCTTCCAGGATTTCTTCTTGTTCTACAACCTCTTCTTGCTCTTCAATGGCCTCCTCCTCTGGAATTTCTTCCTCAGGCTGTTCTTCAACATCAGTCTTTTCAACGGTTGGTTTGGGCTTCCTTACCCTCTTGACCTTCTTCTTCTCTTCGACAACCTCTTCCTGGTCTTCCACGATCGTTTCTAGCTCCTCAACGATTTCTTCTTCTGGAACTTCCTCTTCGGGCTGCTCTTCCACTTCCTCAGTCTTCTCGACAACAGTCTTGGGCTTCTTGACCTTCTTGACCCGTCGTTTTTCTTCGACAACAACCGCTTCCTGCTCCTGAACAATATCTTCTTGCTCTTCGACAACCTCTTCCTCGGGTTGTTCCTCTTCGGTCACCTGTTGCGTAGGCTTGGGTTTCCTTGTCTTCTTCACCTTGCGTTTTTCTTCAACAATTTCCTCGAGTTCTTCGATAACTTCTTCCTGAGGTACCTCCTCCTCTGGAGCAATTTCCTCTACCGGCTGCTCTTCGAAGACCTCCTCGGTAGCTTCTTTCGTGGGCTTTGGCTTCTTGGTCTTCTTGACTCGTCGCTTTTCTTCGACAATAACCTGCTCTTCTTCAACCAGGGCCTCGATTTGGGCATCTACCTCATCGGGATGCACTTCCTCAACGGGTTCTGGCTTGGAAGCCTTCTTCTTGCCACGCTGCCACAAGACGGGCTCTGGTTTCTCTTCAACCTTGGGCTCATCGGGCAGAACATCGACTGCTTCTTCGTAGGTCTTAACAGGAGCTTCCTCAATCTTCTCTTCAACCACTTCTTGAGGTTGCGGTTTCTTCTTCTTGCCGCGTTCCCAAAGCACGGGTTGTGCTTCCGGTTGGACTGGTTTAGTCTCTTCTTCCAGAGTGTCCTCGGCAACCTCGAGAGTCTTCGGGATCTCGGGCACTGGCTCTTCCGGCTTTTGGGGCTTCTTCTTACCACGCTCCCACAAAACAGGTTGGGGCTGAGGTTCAGTGGGCTTAGGCACCTCCTCTTCCAGTGTGTCGACCGCAACTTCCAAAGTCTTTGGAATCTCAACCGCTTGCTCTTCGGGCTTTTGGGGCTTTTTCTTGCCGCGCTCCCACAAGACAGGCTGTGGTTGCTCCTGCACTTGAGGCAGTGTTTCTTCGGGCAACTCATCGGTGGCTTCTTCGTAGGCTTTTAGCGCTGGCTGATCCACTGTTTGTTGAACGGGTCTTGTGCTCTTAAACGGTTTCAGTTGGATCTCTTCAGTCTTCTGAGCCTCCTTGGGACGAGGACGTGGCGTTGGCTTCAAGGTAACCTGTTCCACTTTTTGCTCCGGCTCTCGTGGTGGAATCACCCTGCGAACAGCAGTCTTTTTGGTTTCCTCAACAATCTGTTGTTCGACCACTTGAGAGGTTTGCACCACTTCCTGGGATGTGATGGTTTCCTGCTGAGCTACCTTCTTCTTGCCACGTTCCCAGAGGACTGGCACAGGTTCTGGTTGCTGGACGGGAGTGGGTTCAACCAACTCGTCGTGCGCCTCCTCGAAGGTCTTCTCCTGGGGTTGGGGCTTCTTCTTGCCGCGCTCCCACAAAACAGGCACTGGTTGGGGTTGTTGAACAGGAGTGGGTTCAACAAGCTCGTCATGCATTTCCTCGTATGTCTTTGGCTTCTCCACATATTCCTCCTGAAGAGGAGCCGTTTGAGGTTGCACATACTGAGGTTGTTCCGGCTTCTTCCTGCCACGATCCCACATCACAGGCTGCTGTTGCAGCAACTGCTGCTCCTGCGTATCCTGACGCTCCTGGAGGTGAAGCAACGAGGAGTCCTCCACCTGGATGAACTTCTGGGGCTCGCGTGGCTGACGCCAGCTGAAGGCCTCCTGCTGGGTGCGTTGGTTTACGATCTTCTGGTGCTCGTACTGCTCCAGACTCATCATCTGCGAGTCCTCGATCTGCACGAACTGCTGGCGCTGAGCCTCCTCGATGAGGCTCTGCTGTTGCTCCAACTTTTGCCTGTCGGAAGTCTGGGAGATTTGGGGCTGTAATTGCGGGCGCTGCTGCTGTTGGCGCCAATTGACAGCCTGCTGTTCGCGGATCAACCTCTGGGCCTCCAGCTTCTCGCGCTCCGAAACATGCATAATGTTCACATCCTCGGTGGTGATAAACTGCTGCTTGTAGGTATTCGACTGATCCTCGTATTGCTGCAGTTCATCGCAACGCATCACCTTTGAGATCGAACCCTTGGAACTCTCATCGATCATGACGTAAGTCTCCTCGGCTGTACCAGTCTGATACTCCTCGGTGAGGGCCTGTTGAGCTTGGAGGTGACGCAGTTCGACTTCCTCAATCTTGAACTTGTCAATCTGCTTCGTGACCTTCTGCACACTCTTCAGTTGCTGTCGCATCTCCTTCCAGGGAATCAGATCCTTGGCGTTTTGCTGCTGCGTGATGAGCTTATCGATCTGATCGGTCATCTCCATAATCTCAACACTCTCCATGGTCTTCAACCGCTGGATATTCTTGGTGCGCTCCACCTGTTCCACCTGAGCCTGCTGTGGCAGCTGCTCGTCGGTTTCGATTTGACCCTCCAGAGGTCGCAGATAGACCTCATCCAGGTCGAATTTGTTCAGCTGTTCCTGAACACTCTCGACAGCCTTTAGCTTTTCACGCATGGTGATCCAAGGAACCGCTTCCTTCTCGGTCTTGCCAGCAATGATCTGCTCCAAAGTGGCGCCCAAACTCATGATACCCTGATCACGTTCGGTTTTAATGGACTTGAGCACAACCGTAGCTGCTTCCAGCTTGGGTGTGGGCTTTTTCTTCTCAATGGGAGTGGCCTTCAAGCTAATGGTTTCCTCGGTCCACGACTTGACTGGTTCGGGCTTGAAGCCCGGCAGGAAGACACCCTTGTCCAAGGAACGTCCTCGAGTGGGACGCGATGACTTGCGCCACGGTATCACCTTGGTTGCAGGTTGCAGGGACTTGCTGCGCACCTTCTGTTTCTTCTGGCGCGATCTTCCCTGATGCTGACCCTGCCCGTTGACGCCCAGGAATTGACCAAACTGCTGGCCGGGTTGCTGGCCAGGTTGGAAAGCGTGGGGCGACTCGGGGGCACTGTCCTCCCGGCCAGAGGAAGAGGACTCATCTTCGGCGGAATCAATCGTTCGCAATTGAAAGGCCGAGATGCGTCGTTCTAGAGAGGAACAAGGGGGATTGCATTTAGTATACCCAAAAGAGAAATTTAATAGAGTTTATCCAGAGTTCGAGAGGGGCGAGGAAACCTATTATCCTGGAACTACTTACCCAATACTTAGGAAATAATAATTTGTCATTGCAGAACATGAACGAAAGCAAGGAATTAAAAAAGACGGGCATTTAATAAAAGTTAATTTCAAAACTATTCAGTTCAAGGAAGTTTTGAGTGAGATTCCAATCTATTCAATCTGACAACTCAAGGCGCATATCTATTTAAGGCCATAATTTCAAGTGGACTCCTATATTCACCACATACCTGCTCTCCCCCATGTAAAATTAAATGATTCGCTTGAGTGGCACTCAGAAATAATTCATAATTCTCTGGCATATGCGAACAATGAACTTGAATATTTAAAATTAGTGTGCTGTATATCAGAGGAAACCCAAAACCCTCCATCTGAAAATGTGTAATGCGTGTGTGGACCACAAATCAAATTTGCCTGGCCGACAGCTCATCTGCGTTGACCGTGAATAAGCCGTAAAGGGGATTGGGCCCTAGGTCAATACATATTTTTGATAATTGGCATTGATAAAAATAGGTGCTGGTAGTCAGAGTTTATCTATGCTCCGTGATTCACCCGCTAATCGGGTGTGACGAATCCACTTGGGGATGATTAAAATTGCATTAGCCTGCACCCAAAACTGGCACATTGTCATGACGGCAATTGGGCAAGTGGTAACGAATAGTGACATTCGTTTGACTTGAACTCATCATCATTACAGGATGGGATGGGCTAGGAGGGGGGTCTTCAGATGGCCAGGCAAGTGTACAATTGAGAGCGAACAATTCAAATGCCTGTGTATACATTAAGGCCGAAAATAGATATCTGATTAGTGGCGGCTACGTCACCAGGTGGGGCTGCTCAGTTCGCCATCGGCAGAGCTACTACAGATTTATGGGCGGGGTGTGTCCGCTTCGATATTCTCGGGGCCCAAATAGACTGTATAGACTGTATAGCAGAGCGCAGTGCGGCGCACTCCAACGATCTCATTCGTTTGTAGACAACAATCGGCCGCAGAACAGAACAGATCATAAGGTAGACAGTTCGTGGACGGCGGTACATATACCCCATCTTGCATTTGACATTACCTACCTGTAGTTCCTGACTTTCGATTCCTGACGACCGGAAAGCAAGCAACAGCGGTGCATTAACAGCAATAGCAGCAACTTTGTGGCAAGGAGGTGGAACATTCAGCAGTTATCAAAAACAAGTTTCCAATCATTATGCATTTTGCTTGGATTTATTTATAGACGCGGTATTGGTTTTAAGTATTAAATACATGAGAGAGATACAATTAAACAACAAAAGAGTGTACGCGAGTGTTGGTCGTAGCCAAAATCATTTAAGTTTTTTATGTTTTAAATTGAAATGGAAAACAAATCAATCAAAGTTCAAAGTGATCGAGAACATGAAAACATATCGAGTAAACATAAACATGACAGATAATCGGGAGTCTAGATACAGTAGATAAGACTTAAAACGAAGGTCGCATGAGTTTTTATGATTAATTTTTTAGTAAAGCTTCTCTTCGCCACAAAGGAAAACATGTAACAAAAAAGTAGTCAACATATTGGCGGCACAAGCGGCAGATACTTTTGAGATTCGTTCGGTTCTTTTGTACACAATGGATGATTGATGGATTGATTGAACAAGAACGATAGAGAGTGTGTGACAAACAAAGTATGGTAACGAAACGAATTAGTAAAAAGCGGTAATAAAAAATGAATTATAAAATCTCATGCAACATCACTACAAAATAAATAAAGTTCAATTAAATTAAATTCAATTAAAGTAAACAATACAAGTTCATCTATTATCAACATCATCATCATCGAATATCGATCCTCATCGATGGACTGAATAAACTGGAGCGTACGACATTCGGTTCGGAGTGGTTGGTAAAAGTCAAGTATAGAATTGTATCTTAAAGCTTCTCCTATCGAACCCTTTCTAACATGGATCTTTCTTTCAGACAGGGGACTACAGAGGCTAGACCATTGCTTAGGGACCGTAATCTGTTTCAACCTGGCGGCTAAATATAAGACCAAGTGCAACCGTGAATCACTGAATGACTCGCGGCTCGATGACTGAACAGCCGTAACTGATTAATCTAATTAAATTCGTTTCTGCACCATAAACAGAATCATCAATTCATGTTATTCCCTAATGACCAAGTGTATGAGTCGTCCGACTAACATCGGTATATCTCTCATCTCTGCCTGATCCACCTTATAGACGGCATTAGCAAACAACAACAACAACAGCTACATCAGGTAATTTATCATTCTATTTTGCTCTCTCTAGAACCTAAGCAAACCCCAAATATATTTATTTCGGTTTCGGTGTTTTCGTTTTATTGAAAGAAAATTGAAATAAATTTCAAGATTTACTTGAGAAAATACATGAATGTTTTTCATTGTAGCCGAAAGTCTGAAAGCCAGAAAATCCAGACAGCAGCGCCCGACTAAAAATAGCGGAACGGATTTTTTAACGCTAATCTATTGGAAATTAGTTCTCGAAAGCCAAACATTCTCCAAAAAAGAAATTGAAAATAGAACTGGCCGCTGGGCGTACATATGTCTCTATATGTCTGAGTAGGGTGGCAGCTGAAAGGCTTTCGATATTTTCTGTTTTCAGAAGTCTTTGCTCGACTTGTGCTAGTTTTTGCGCACGTTCATATGGGGGGAAAAATTGGAAATGTGTATCTGGCAGATACAAGATACTCGCACCACTGGTGGTGCGCTAGATGTGTCATCCATAATATTTTATGCTAATATTCAAATGAAAAATAAAACTTTCACGCTCGAGCGGAGGCGGGACAAATGTGCGTTTTGCACACGGCCCCAAAACTATCCAACCTACTCATAGACGAGGCACATAATATCTATATATCTATGGGTATATTTACGGACGGCAACTGAAAAAATATTATTATGTATGCTCTTAAAGTGGCCTGCTCTAGAGTACATAGGCTGCCTTATATTTATAACTCAACTCAAGGGGCTAGAGAAATCTATATATTCTACATTTGGTTTTTGAGTCACTTCCACTTTCACTCAAAATCAAATTCAAATTTTCAATTTTCATTTAATGTCTGCTGCTGCTGTTGTTGCTTTTGCTTCTGCTGTCTTGGCCGTGCCAGAAAGAAAAATGGTCTATAAATATTTATGTTGCAAAATACTTGTAATTATTTTTATTATTTTTCAATTAAAATTGCTTCCTTTTTTTCGGTTACGTTTTCGTGTTAGACATCTTTAAATTAAATAGTTTTGCTTTCTTGCTTTTGACATTTTGCAATGGTTAGTAAAAATAACTCGTTCGTTTGATAGTTTAGAAAAAAATCCATGTTGAAAGTAGTTTCGACAGGTTCGCTTTAAAATATTCTTCACTCAAACTTTTACGACTAGTAGTTGATCATATATATAGGTAGGTTGAGGGGTAGTAGTAACTGTATGTAATACGTCAGTAACTCGGGGATTAATAGTAAAAGTTCTTCACGGTCGTTGTTTTTTGTTCTTTGCTTTTCTTTTCTTGTTTTTTTTTTTTCTTTTTGAGCATTCTTTGGAGTTGGTTTTGTTGATGTTGGTTGGTTGGTTTGTTTGTTTGTTTGAACACGGTTCGCTTACGTTTGGTTTTCGCTTGGTTTCGAACTCTGGTTTCGGTTTTGGCTTAGTTTTAGTTTAATCCTTACTTTTAACAGTCAGTTTGGCTGAGGATTCGACCTGGCCGGTGGACGAGGTGACGCGTACAGTAAAGATGCCCGAATCCTCCTCGTAGGTGGTGCCGATCAGGAGCACAGCGCTGTTGCCATCGAAGATCATCTGGAAGTGGAGAATAAGATTGATTAGATTTAAATCTGTACTGGAATTTAAAGGGGTAAGATTAAGTTGAGTGTAGGATGCAAAGCGTCAGCAGAGGCCGCTCTACCGATGCTCTAAGGCAGTGGATAAGTAATTCTCTGCCGCTGCGCTGCTAGCGTTTCGACGCACACGTACGCTGTAAAGCATGTACTTTAACCCACCTGGAAATCTGGTGTTTCGGGGATCAGCTGACCCTCCCTGAACCACTGGACGCTGGTGGCCTTCACTTTGCCGGTCACCGTTGTCTTAAACTGGGCAGGCATGCCCTCGGTGACAGAGACGTCCTTGAGGGCGGTAATGGTGGGCGGGGCGTCCAAGTTCTCAATAGGACGAACCTTCAGCTGGGCGCTGGTCTGAATGCTGCCCAGCTTGTTCTCGGCCACGCACTTGTAGGTGCCCTCGTCCTCGGGGAAGGCCTCCGAGATGACCAGCTGGTAGTATTCACCCTGTCGGCTCATCTGGAAGTAGCGCGATGGCTTCACAAAGTTCTCGCCACGCATCCAGCGGGCGGTGGGAGTGGGTTTGCCGTCCACGCGGCAACGGAAGACCACCTTGCTGCCCTCCTCCACGGACTGGCTCTTCAGCTGCTCCACAATATGGGGGGCCTTCTCGCTGCCGGGAGTGCTGGGCTTCTCCGGCTTGGTGGGCGACTGGACAATGCAGTCGCCATCGCAGCGAGCCTCTCCAGCGGCATTGACGGCCACACATTCGTAGCGACCGGAATCCTCGGCGAAGGGTTCGATGATGAGGAGAGTGTGAACATTGTCCTCCTCCAGCATTTTGAACTTAATGCTGGGCTGAATCTTCATGCCGTTCTTGAGCCAGTAAACATCCAAGGGTTTCGTTCCCGTGACCTTGGCATCGAAGCGAGCCAACTGTCCGGTGGCCACGGTGGTGCTCTGGATGGTGGTCACAAAGCTAGGGGGCTGAATGCCACCCTTTCCGGCACGACGACGTTCCTCGACCACCAAATTGGCACTGCACTTGGCGGTTCCTCCACGATTCTCAGCCACACAGGAGAACACGGCTGAATCCTCGACAAACACCTGGCGGATAATCAGTATGGACTTGCCACTGAAGGTGTGGATCTGCAGATCCGGCGAGTTCTGGATGGGGAAGCTCTCACGGAACCATTTAACCGTGGGATTGGGTTCGCCATCGAATTCCACCTCGAACTTGGCCTGCTCGTTTTCGAAGACGCGGCATGGCTGGATCTTCTTGGTGAAGACTGGAGCCTTGGCTGGCTTAACAGGTCCTTGAACCACACGCTCCTGAATGGTGCCCTTGTGCTCCACCTCGGTGGTTTCGGTGGCGGTGATCTTGCGGGTGATCTCAAGGTCACCCTGGATCTCCTTCTGCACCTGCTGCTGCTTGTTCATGTGAACCTCGCGTCCATGGACAGAAGATTCGGAGGGTTGAGCGGTGCCCTTGGGTGGGGCAGCCTGCACACTGGTGGTGCTGGTCTTCTCTTGACTGGGGGGTTGGAAAATTAGTTACTGATCAAGTTCCTGAGGGAGCATTTCCCAACTACTCACAGATTTTCCTCGTAGGACTGGGCCATTCCCTTGGCCTGAGAGCTGCTCACGACCTTCTCGCCGGGAATGGCGTACTGATGGTTGTCCCTACGCAGATTGGTTTCCTTCAGGAGCTGCTCAGTTTCCAGTGACTGCAGCTTGTTGTAGTATTCCTCGCTCTTCTTGGACTTGACATTGTTTTGCCACTCGGCGGTGGGTGGCTTGTATTGCTTGGGCTTCAGGTGCTCCACGCCCTTCAAGGTGTGCGAGCTCTGCTCGGAAAGAACCTGCTTACGCTCGTCGAACACCTTCTCCAGCTCGTTCTCCTGGCGCTCCTTCTGGTAGGCGGCTAGCTCGTAGTCATACCAGGCTAAACAAGGATTTAAAAAGGTTATTCACTGTTTCACAAATCCTAACTAAACAAAAATTCTTTATAACACATGCATGTTCCAGATGATCTTGAAGCGTTAGAAAATAAATTCAGCATGCAATAAGATCTTAAATATTATTTACAACTTTTTTCGACTTAGTAGAAATTGTGATTAAGGGGTTAAGATTTCAAAGGGCTTTCCACAGAGGTTCAATAGCTCTATTTTCGGTTTCTTTTTTTTCAGGGGGAACAGAAAATGAGTAGAGACAGAGAAAAGGGGTCAATGATCAGCTGGATGATAACCACAGTTTAGAACAGACGCAAACTACGTTATAACCATATTACCCCGGTTCCGGCAATACTTAGAAAGTCCCTTTCCTCGGCTTCCTCTGCGCGATTTCCTCTTCCGAAGTCTCTCGCTGACTGGAGTACTACAATCGGTATTCTTTTTGTGGGATTTTCGGGGTTTTGGGAAGCATTTTGGGGTTTTTTGGGTAAAATTGTGCTTGTTGTCTAAACTGTTTAAACTACTTGAAATTAACTTGGGTGCTACGGCTACGTAAACTTTTGTGGCATGTTGTATGTTGGTATGTATATATTTACAATGAGTTTCTTTTTGTGAGATATAGCATGTGGTGTCCATATTTAGTTTGGTCAGCTAAAGTCTACTGCATTTTGAAAATTGTTAACGTTCTAATAGCTGTTATATAAGTAGTAGTTTTCAGATTGTCTAGCCTGTATTGAATGTTAAACTTACGACGTGGCGAGTTCTTCAGCACATTACGATAATCATCCGAACGGGCAACCACCTTCAGTTCAGTGCTGGCAATCGATTCGCCCACAGAGTTGCGAGCAATCACCTCCACTTTGCCGGTATCGTACTGACGAGTCTTCGGGACATCCAGATGGAACATACCATCGTTGGTCAGCTTGTAGCGAGAGCCCTGAAGAATTCCACTTTTTAGCTTAAAGAGCTTTAAAGAGAAGTCACTAGTGAAACTTACATGTACAACAGTGTGTCCATTGATCAGCCACATAACCCTGGGACGTGGGTGTCCAGTGACACGGACACAGAACCTGGCTGAATCACCCTCCTCCACAGTCTGGGGTTCCAGTTTGCTCACAAAGACCGGCTTGGTTCTGGGCTTGGCATCGGGATCAACCTCATCGGGCACCCTACAAAAATAAGAAAATAAAAATGAAATTAATCCGAAAAGTAAAAAGGGAGCTTCTATGGGACAATTGATACTTACACTTGCCAAGAGGCTTCCATTTCCCGGATGCGGTCAATACTCTGCATGTGAGCGGGCAGCTGGGAATCGTAGACAATGCCCGGCTTGCCAGAAACCTTGATGAAGGCACGAGTCTCATCCTTGCCATACAAGTTGGTGGCTCGGCACACGTACTCTCCACTGTCTTCGGGATAAACCCAGCCAAAGTTCATGGCCACATAACCAAAATCGTAGATGGGCTGGAAGCGGTTCTCTGCAAGGGTAAATAAAATTATTTAGCATCCCTAAGAACCAAATCGAATTAAACAAAATACTTACTGTGCAGCAAGGGCTTGCCGTTGAAGAACCACTCGACCTTCATGTTGGGATCTCCCACGGGGGCCAACTGGCATTCGAACTTGGTCACAGCCATCTCGGTGAGAGTCAGTTGCTCCTTGATCTGGGTGACAAAGCGAGGAGGCTGCTTGCGATCGGGATCGAAGAGATCGTCCTCGGTCAAATGGACCTCAGAGGTGTACTTCTTGATGGTGGCCTCCATTTGGGTAAGAGCATCGGAACGCTTCATGCCGCGAGGCACCTGGTTCTGCAGCAAGATGGTGGGGAGTTCTAAAAAATAAAGAAGAAATCAAGGAACTATAAAGAATAAAGGTAAATTCAAACTCACTCTTGCAGGAAACTGTGGCCCTGGTGCGATCTTCGCCATGATTGTTGATGGCACGGCACACATACTCTCCGGAATCTTCTCCATAGACATACAGAATATCCAAAGAAACAAAGCCCATGTCGAAGATGTTCCTGTAACGGTGACCAGAGGGCAAGGGCTTGCCATTGCGGTACCATTCCACGCGCAGGCTGGGATCTGTCTTGGGTTCCACTTGGCACTCAAATCGCACCGCCTCTGCCTCGTCGGCAGTCACCGAAGCGATCTGGGTGGTGAACTTCGGTGGTCCGAACTCCTCCTCAACCACCTTCGGGGCCTCTGGAATGCGTCCACGCTCCAGTTCCTTCAACTTCTCAGAGGTCATGCCCTCGGGCAGCTGCGATTCGTAGACAATATTGTGCTTGCCCTTGCAGGTGACCTTGGCGGTGGTGGTGGCAGTGCCCCACTTGTTGGTAGCCCGACAGGTGTACTCTCCCGAATCCCTGGCATAGATGTAGTCCACATCCAGGGCGATGAAGCCAAAGTCATTCAGCTGGTGGACCCTGGAACCGGTGGCCATGGCATGACCGTTGTAGAACCACTCAATACGCATGGTTGGATCACCCACAGGCTCCACGCGGCAGTCAAAGTGGATGGGACCGCCCTCGGGCACGTCCAGGTTGTCCTTGATGTCCTCGGTGAACTTGGGCGGGTTGGGCTGCTCATCGTCGATCACCAGCTCCTCACGCTTGTGCATGCTCTCCTCCAGCTTCTGGAGGCTCTCGGTGCCAGTGCGGAAATTGGAGGGCAACTGGGGCTCCATGACGATGCCCTGGCGACCCTTGACCTGCAGCTTGCAAGAGGTCGTGGCCTCGCCGTGCTTGTTCGTCGCCTTGCAAGTGTACAATCCCGAGTCGCGCTGATAGCAGCCGGCAATCTCGAGGATCACAAAGCCGAAATCATTGATGGTCTTGATGCGGGAACCAGCCCACAAGGCCTTGCCGTTGTGGAACCAATCCACACGCATCGACGGGTCGTTGATCGGTTGCAGGCGGCACTCGAAGTGAGCGAGGGCATTCTCACCGATAACCATGTCGAAGGGTGAGGTGATGAACTCCGGCGGCTTGCCAGTGTCATCATCCGGCACGAATTCAGTGCTGCGGGAGCCCAGGCCCTCCAGTTCGGCGATGCGATCGATGGTTCCCTCCATGCCCTTGGGCAGCTGGGATTCCATGATGATGCTGCGCTTGCCCTGGATCTTCATCGAGGCCGTGGTCACGGCCTCACCGTACTCGTTGATGGCACGGCAAGAGTACTCTCCAGAATCCTCGGGATATACAGGGGAGATCTCCAGGATGACGAAGCCAAAGTCGCAGAAGGTACGGAAGCGAGAACCGGCCTTCAAGGGACGTCCGTTCCAGTACCACTCGACCTTCAGCTTGGGATCGTCGGCCGGGGTGATCCTGGCCTCAAAGTGGGCGTTCTCACCCTCGCGCAGATTGTCGATGTTCTCCAGCGGCACAGTGAAGACCGGGGCCTTGCCCTTGGTCTCCTCGGTGGTCTCCTCGCGAGTACGCACCATGCTGTACTCCAGATTGGCGATCTTCTCCAGACCTCCCTCCATTCCGCGTGGCAGTTGCGAGTCCAGAATGAGACTGGCCTTCGAGGCGCACTTCAGGGTGGCCCTAGTTACATCCTCACCATACTTATTGTGAGCCCTGGCCTCGTAAACGCCGGAGTTCTCCTCGTAGCAGTACAGGATGTCCAGGATGACGATGCCAAAGTCGTGGAAGGTGCGGAAACGGTGACCATGCGGCAGTTTCTTGCCATTGAAGTACCACTCCACCACCAAGTCGGGATCGGTGATGGGAGTCAAGCGGGCCTCAAAGTGAGCCGACTGTCCCTCCACCAACTTGGTGACATCCACGATCTGGGTGATGAACTTGGGCGGCTCAGCGACCAGAGGAGCGGAGGTATCGGCCTGCTGTCCCTGCGGGCACTCTAGCTCCCTGATCCTCTGCAGCGAGTCCGGCTGCAAGCTGTCGTAGAAGACTCCACCACGTCCACCGCAATTGAGGGTGGTGCGGGTAAAGTCCTCGCCGTACTTGTTCCAGGCCCGGCACACGTACTCTCCACTGTCGTGATCCTGGAGATACGAGATATCCAAGACAACGTAACCGAAATCGGAGACGGTCTTGATGCGATTGGAGTGACGCATCAGCTTGCCGTTGTGATACCACTCGACCTTCAGTTCCGGATCGTTGACCGGGATCAAAGTGCACTCGAAGTGGGCGGACTGACCGTCCTTTAGGCCCTGCAGCGGTTGGATGTGCGAGGTGAATCGCGGCTTCTGGCCCCTCGGTTTGTCCACGCACTCGAGGTTACAGCTGATTTCAGCAGTTCCATGCTTGTTGGTGGCACGGCAAGTGTAGGTGCCGGTGTCCTCAATCTTGGTGCCCAGCACCTCTAGAGCCACAGTGCCAAAAGCGTAGATGGTACGCACACGATGGCTGGCCTCCAGGACCTTGCCATTGTAGAACCACTCGATGACCATGCTCTGGTCGCCAACCGGAATGAGATTGGCCTCGAAGTGAGCCAACTCACCCTCGCCAATATCCGCGATATTAACGAATTCGGTGGTGAAGCGCGGTGGGATGCCCAGATCCGTTTGCTCCGGCTTAGAACCATCCTTGCGCAGGGAGTCCTCCAGATCCTGGATCTGCTCCAGGCCCTCGGCTCCCTTCGGGTGCTGGGTGGACTCGATGATGCTCTCTTTGCTCGAACAGAAGATGGTGGTCGAGGTGAAGGCCTCGCCGGCCTTATTATACGCCTTGCAGGTGTAGATGCCCTGATCGCGGGCATAGACCTCGATCATGTCCATGGTGACGAAGCCAAATTCGCTGGTCATCTTAAAGCGAGAGCCGTGCTGCAGCATCTTGCCGTTGAAGTACCACTCGATGAACAGGTTCGGGTCCTCCTTGGGCTCCACATTGGCCTCCAGATGGATGGGCTGGGCCTCCGACAGATGGAACTCGGCCTGCAGCGGCTTCGTCCAGACTGGTGGTGGATATTGGGTCTCCGGTTTGGCGGTCTTGCTGGCATAGCGATTGGCCAGCTCCTCCTCGGTTTCCTGAACCGCCTCGAGACCAGCCTCACCCTGCGGATGCTGGGTGTCGAGGAACATGGTCTTGCCACCGGTGCACTTGAGGGTGCCCGAGGTGGTGGCCGATCCCTTGCTGTTGGTGGCCTTGCAGGTGTAGACACCGCTGTTCTCAGCATACGAGTTTGTCAGATCCAGAGCGCAGTAGCCAAAATCGTAGATGGACTTGAATTTGGCCGCAGCCTGCAGGGGCTGTCCATTGTAGAACCACTCGATGGACATGGTGGGGTCACGGGCAGGCTCCACGTTGCATTCAAAGCGCACATTGTCGCTCTCCTTGCACTCGATGTTGTTCAGATGGGTGATGAACACAGGGGTTTCGTAAGTGGGCTCCGGAGCCTCGGGACGTCCCTCCTTGGGTGCCTCCAGTTCTCCGATGCGAGGCAGCGAATCCGGATGCAGCGACTCGGCCTGCAGCCAGTGACGATCCTCGATCTTAAGCGAGGAAGTCGACACAGCCTCGCCCACCTGGTTGGTGGCCTTGCAAGTGTAAATAGCCGAGTCATCGGCACGCAGTCCATTGATGGACAGGGTAACCAGTCCAAAGTCGAAGGTGCTGCGAATGCGGGAGCCAGTGGTCAGAGAAATACCATTCTTGAACCACTCGATGCGAAGGTTGGGATCCGCTCGTGGTTCCACCTGGGCTTCCAAGAGGACATGCTGACCCTCATGCAGTTTGTCGTAGCTCTGCAGGTGAGTAGTAAACACCGGAGCTTGCTGAGGAGTGGAATCCACAAACATCTCAGGCACACGGTTCATGGCAGCCTCCTTCAGGCGAATAGCCTCCCAGGACTCAGGGATCAGAGGTTGACCATCGATATTGGACTTGGTCTTGACCTTCATGGCGGTGGAGGACACAGCCTCACCGGCGGCGTTATAAGCACGGCACATGTAGACACCAGCATCCTCGGGAACCACAGCGGTAATGTCCAAAGTGACAAAGCCAAAGTCGTGGGTGGTGCGCAGGCGAGAGCCCATTTGCAGCTCCACACCATTGATGAACCACTCGAACTTCAATGAAGGATCTCCCACGGGCACAACACGTGCCTCGAAGTGGGCATGAGTTCCCTCCCACAGTTCCGAGGGTCCAGTGAGCAGTTGCGTGAAGATGGGCTTCTCGAACAGGCGCTCGGGTTCGCTGGGACGTGGAGCCACTGGTTTCTCAAGCTGGTGGATGCGACTGATGCTGTCCGGATGCTGGGTATCCATCTGGATACTGGCCTCGGAAACCACGCGCATGGAAGCGGTGGTCACAGCCTCACCCAGAGGATTAACAGCGCGGCACATGTACACGCCCTCATCCTCCTTGCGGATGTGCGAGATATCCAAAGACACAAAACCAAAGTCGTGCTGCTTGGTGATACGCGAACTATCCTCGATGATCTTCTCGTTGCGGTACCACTCCACCTTCAGGTTCGGATCTCCCACGGGAATCAGGCGAGCCTCGAAGTGAGCCGTCTGGTGCTCATTGATCCTATCGATGTTCTGCAGGGGTTGAGTGAACACCGGACGCTGGCGAGTGCCAGGTGTCTCGGGCTCCTGGCGTTGATGAGGCGCCATCGATTCCAGCTTACGGATCTTCTCCAGACCCTCGGGATGCTGGGTGTCCGAGATGATGGTTCCACGCGGAATCACGCGCAGATTAGTGGACGACACAGCTTGACCCAAAGCGTTGACAGCACGCACGGAATATTCTCCGGCATCTTCGGCCACAGCGTGAGTGATGTCCAAGGAGACGTATCCAAAATCAAAGGTGATGTGGAAACGAGAAGCCGAGGGCAAGGGCTTGCCATTGTGATAGAACTCAATGCGCAAGTTGGGATCGTGAACTGGAGCGACCTGGGCCTCGAAGTGAGCCGTCTGTCCCTCGTAGATTTCGGTTGAGCCACGAAGTTCGGCGGTGAAGTGAGGTGGACTGATGGGAGCATCTCCCACTTCGGTGCGGGAACTCGGCACCTTGGACTCCAGCTTCTGGATCTTCTCCAGAGCATCGGGATGCTGGGTGTCCAGAATCATGCTGCGGCGGTTCAACACGCGCACATTGCAGGTGTTGACAGCCTCACCCAACTGATTGGTGGCCTTGCAGATGTAGGTGCCGGTATCCTCGCCATAGACGTACAGGATGTCCAGAGCCACGTAGCCAAAGTCATGGGTGTTGCGGTAACGATGACCCGTGGGCAGTTGCTTGCCATTGCAGAACCACTCGATCTTCAGGTTGGGATCGTTGATCGGTTCCACTCGGCACTCCAAGTGGGCGTGTTCGCCCTCCTTCAGGTGTTCCAGGTTGCTCAGCGGAGTAAGGAAGATGGGCTTCTGGCCCTTCTCCTCCACCACGGGCTTAGTGGGTGGCGCATAGTTCTCCAGCTGGCGAATCTTCTCCAGGCGCTGAGCATCCAAAGTGTCCAGGTCGAGCGTCTTGTTTGCTGTGGGATATTGTCATGGGATTAGCTAACTATAAAAGAGCTTAAACTGACTATATTACCTGTTACGTTTACAGCACAAGTCGTGACAGCTTCTCCAATGGCGTTCTTGGCCTTGCACATGTAGGTGCCGGTGTCCTCGGCATGGGCATACAGAATATCCAACGCCACGAAGCCAAAATCGTAGGTGGTCTTGAAGCGGTGACCAGTCTGAATGGGTCTTCCATTGCAGTACCACTCCACCTTCATGGTGGGATCGTTTACCGGGATCAAAGTGGCCTCCAGATGGACGGGAGTTCCCTCGTTGACCTTGGCATTGCGCAGAGGACGTCCGAACTGAGGACGCTCGGCATGGAACTGCTCCTCATCCGTCTTCCGCTGGAAGCGGGAAGTATCCTCCAGATGCTGGATCTTCGTCAGAGCCTCCTCGTGCTGCGTCTCATGGATGATACCCGAACGCGAGGTCACGTTGAGAACAATCGAGTTGACTGCCTCGCCCAGTTTGTTGGTCACTCGGCAAGTGTACTCGCCACTATCCTCGGCGTAGACAGTCAGGATGTCCAGGGCGGCGAATCCAAAGTCGTAGGTGGTACGGAAGCGATGACCGGTGCTCAGGGGCTTTCCGTTGTGGAACCACTCCACCTTGAGATTGGGATCCGGATAGGGTTCAATGCGGCACTCGTAGTGGGCACTCTGACCCTCCACCAGGTTGCTGGGTCCAATTAGCTTGGTAACAAACACCGGGGCGGTGGTCACCGTGTACTCCTCCTCCTCCCTGCGCTGGTACCTGCTGTGATCCTCCAGCTGGTGGATCTTGTGCATGGCCGCCTCGTGCTGGGTCTCCAGCTGAATGGACGTCTTCGATTGCACAATCAGCGAGGCGGAGGTCACCGCCTGACCCAGTTCGTTGACGGCGCGGCAGGTGTAGGTGCCGGAGTCCTCGGGATTCACATACTTCATGTTAAGGGCCACGTAGCCAAAGTCATGCATGGTGGTGGTGCGGTTGGAGGCTTCGATGGGTTGACCATTGCGCAGCCACTCCACCTTCAGGTTGGGATCTCCCACTGGAATCAGGCGAGCCTCAAAGTGCACCGCCTGGTTCTCGGCCACACGGACATCCCTCACCGGCATGGTGAACACAGGAGCCTGGGACACAAACTCATCCTGGACGCTGATGCGCTGACGCTTGGAGCCATCCTCCAAGTGCTGCAGACGTGGCAGAGCAGTCTCGTGCTGCGACTCCAGGTAGATGGACTTCTTGGTGTGCACGACGGCCACAGCGGAGGTGATGGCCTCACCCACGGCATTGAAAGCACGGCAGGTGTAGGTACCGGCATCCTCTGGCAGAGTGGACATAATATCCAGAGCCACAAAGCCAAAGTTGTTGGTCTCGGTGAAACGAGAACCAGACTTCAGGGGCAGATTGTTGTGGTACCACTCCACGCGCATCGAAGGATCCGAAACGGGAATCAGGCGGCACTCGAAGTGAGCCCTCTGGTTCTCCTTGATCTCGACGTTCTTCAGGGAAGTGGTGAACACTGGAGCCTGCTTGGTGCTCTCGTCGATCTCCTCGCGACGGGTATACCTCGAGCGATCCTCCAGGTAGTGGATCTGCTCCAATCCCGCTTCGTTCTGGGTGACGGTGACAATCTGCTCACCGCTGCGGCACTGCAGCTCCACCTGGGTTTCATCGGAGCCAATCAGGTTGACAGCCCTGCAGGTGTAGACACCCGAATCCTCGGCGATCAAATGGACAATGTCCAGAGCCACATAACCGAAATCGTGGATGGGACGGAAGCGGTGACCCACGGTGATGGGACGACCGTTCTTGAACCACTCCACCTTCAGGTTGGGATCGGTCACGGGCTCAATCTTGCACTCGAAGTGGGCGTGACCACCCTCGCGGGTGTTGGTCAAGCTCTTCGGGTGAGTGAGGAAACGTGGACGAATGTTGACCACCTCGTCGACGAACTCGCTGCGGCGATGACGGGTCGAGTCCTCCAAGTACTGGATCTTCTGCAACCCAGACTCATTCTGAGTCTCCAGAATCAGATCGTTCTTGGCGATGATGCGCACGGAACAGGAGGTGACTGCCTCGCCCAGTTGGTTCCGCGCCTGGCAGGTGTAGACACCCGAATCGATGGCATAGCAGCCAAGCAGATCCAAGGCCACGTAGTCGAATTCGTAGGCGGGACGGAAGCGATGACCCGTCTTCACAGGCTTTCCATTCACGAACCACTCGATGCGCATGCTAGGATCTCCCACGGGCTGCAGGCGGCACTCCAAGTGCACATTGGTGCCCTCGATGGTTTCGATGTTGTGCAGACCCCTGGTGAACTGGGGTGCCTGCATGATGGTGATATCCTCCTCCTGGCGATGGTGACCCCTTGAGCTCTCGAGCAACTGGATCTGCTCCAGTGATTGTTCGTTCTGGGTTTCAGTCACAACATCCGTGTGATCGATCACACGCACGCAGGCTGAGGTGTGGGCGGTGCCCAAGTGGTTGGTGGCCCTCACAGTGTATTCTCCGGAATCGGCGGCCGTGGCCTTGATGATGTCCAAAGCTACGAAGCCAAAATCGTAATAGGTACGGAAACGGGAACCCACGGTAACGGGGCGACCATTGTGGAACCACTCCACCCGCATGGTGGGATCACCCATGGGCTCCAAACGGCACTCCAGATGGATGTTCTTGCCATCGTGAATGGGCTTGGGATCGCTCAAGGGGGTGACAAACACCGGCTTGGACTTGGAGATCTCCTCGATGTCGTACTGAGGCTCAACGAAAGGTTTGTTCTCCAAATTCTGGGTCTTCTCGTACAGGCCGCGGTGCATGCTAGATGTGTCGATACTGGAACGAGCTGGGAAAGGGGTAATGTGATTATTTAGATAATTATTTAAAAAAAAATATAAAAAAAATAAAAAAAAATTTTTTTTTATATAATTGATATACTTACTCTCCACTATCATCGTTGCTTGCTGCTGAGCTTCACCTAGCTTGTTCCTGGCCACCACGAGATAGACGCCAGCATCTTCGGCGCGCACCTGGGAAATATCCAGGGCGACGTAGCCAAAGTCGTAGTAGGTCTGAATGCGATTGGCGGCGGTGATGGAGCGACCATTGTGGTACCACTCAATCACCAGACCCAAATCGCTCTGGGGTTCCACGCGGGCCTCGAAGTGAGCTCGCTGACCTTCCAGGATCTTGGTGGTACCCTTCAGAGGTCCAAGGAAACGGGGAGCCGTGGTCACGTAGGTCTCCTCCTCCTCGCGACGTCCGTAGCGCGATGAGTCCTCGAGATGTTGGATCTTCTGCAGACCACCTGGGTGCTGCGACTCCGAGAGGATTTCGTTCTTGGAGATCACGGTCAACTGGGCGACGGTGGTGTCCTGACCCATGGCATTGTAGGCACGGCAGGTGTAGGTGCCGGCATCATAGATGGTCAGCTGCTTGATGGTCAAGGCCACGTAGCCAAAGTTGTGGTAAGTGGTAGTCCTGGAACTGGCTTCCAAAGGCTGTCCATCCTTCAGCCACTCCACTCGCATGGTCGAATCCCCAATGGGTTCGAGGCGCGCCTCAAAGTGCGCATGCGCGTGCTCGCGCAGATCCAACTGGTTTTGGATCTGGGTCTTGAACTGCGGCGGGGCAATTGCCTCGGCAGCCTCCTGGACATGACGACGCTGCTGGGACTTGCGGTAGTCCTCCAGTTCCTCCACCTTCTCGATGTAACGCTGCTGCTCGGGAATACCCAGATCGGCGGTGACTTGGGACCGCGAATGCACCCGAATCGAGGACTGACTGATGGCCTCGCCAATGCGATTCACAGCACGCACCGTGTAAGTGCCGGCATCTTCGGCCCGCAGGTGCAAGATGTTCAGGGAGACGTAGCCAAAGTTGAAGATGGCGGTGATCCTGGAGCTGGCCGTGATGGGCAGACCGTCCTTGTACCACTCCACTCGCATCGAGGGATCATTGACCGGGGTCACCTGAGCCTCGAAATGCACGTTCTTGCCCTCCTCGAACTCGCCGAGATCGCGCAGTGGTCGGATGAACTGTGGCGCCTGGTTGAGCTGCTCATCGATGCTCTCCGTGCGCTGGTAGCGCGAGTAGTCCTCCAGCTGGCTGATGTACTGCAGACTGTTGGGGTTCTGCGACGACTGCTCGATGGAGGGGCGCTGCACCACGGACAGAATGGCCCTCGATTCGGCCACTCCGCTGGCGTTGCTCACGCGGCACATGTACTCGCCGGAGTCGTGACCCATGATGCTCAGCAGATCCAGAGCAATGAAGCCGAACTTGAAGACGGATGTAGCACGGGCACCTTTAAATAGAAACCCATTAGCTATCTTTCTTAATTATCTTAGTAATCTTCAACTTACTGGCTGCCAGCGGACGTCCGTTGAGGTACCACTCGACCACCATGGTGGGATCACCCACCGGTTCGATGCGGGCCTCCATGTGGACGCGGCCACCTTCGGTCTGCTGCACATTCTGCAGCGGGATGATGAACTGCGGTGGTGGATAGACGCGATCCTCCTCTCCGGGTCGCAGATGGGGCTTGGCGCGCTCCACATGGCGCAGGTAGATAATTTCAGGGCCAGGAATGGGTCTGTTATAAAGGAGATATTTATTAGTATCATAAATAGATAAAGACTACCCCATAAGAAAACACTTATTGAAGACATTTCTTTGATATTAAAATGAAGTCTAGTAATAACAAACCCTGAAAATCATTATGAAGTATTCCTAATGTGGATAACTCTATTTCAAATTTCCTCATCTCAAAAAGTAAATCCGGGAGTATTTGCTTCTTAGTTTCAAGAACATTTTTTCTCAAAAAAGCGAAATTATATTGTAAATTTAAATAATTGGATCTTGGTTTTTTTCCGTTCTAAAAGTCATTCTAACAAAATCAAGAACACTCCAACTCCATTTTAAGATATCTTAGATCAAACTCAAGAGTACTTGTACTTTAAAATATCTTCATCTTATAAAGTAAGTCCGAGAGTATTTGCTTCTTAGTTTCAAGAACATTTTTTCTCAAATAAGCAAGGATAAAAATTTGATAATTTAAATAATTTGATCTTGGTTTTTTCCATTCTAAAAATCATTCTAACAAAATCAAGACCATTTCATCTCCATTTAAAGATATATTAAATGAAACTCAAGTGTACTTTTTTCTTAATTTCAAGAACATTTTATCTCGAATAGGCGATAAAAAAATCTTTTAAATTCAAATAATTTGATCTTGGTTTTTTTAAGACCGCTTTATCTCCATTTTAAAATAACAAGAGAACTTGTTTCTTAATTTCTCTTTTAGCCAAGTTACAACTAAAAACTCACTCTGGCTCGATGACTTTCGTTGGTCTCGGGAGATTGAGACGACGCTGCTCGTAATTCGGTTGTTCCCTGGGAACCTCGACATACAGCCTGGCCCGATTGGCCGTGGAGCCGGCGATGTTCTGGGCGGTGCACTGATACCAGCCGGCATCGTTGGCGGTGACGCGCGGAATCTCCAGGCAGGTGGCCCCGCCATCGATGCCCACGAAGCGCTCGGCGGTGGACGAGATCTGGACGCCGTCCTTCTGCCAGGTGATCCTCGGCTGCGGCGTTCCAATGGCATTGGCACTCATGGTGATCGGCTCACCCTCGCGCACAGTCATGGTGCTGAATCTTTGAACAAATTGTGGTGCGACAACCTGTTCCTTCTCCAGCACACTCAACTGCGCCTCGATGGCCACCTCGCCGGCCTTGTTCCTGGCCAGGCACTGCACGGCTCCGGCATCCAGACGGGTCACATTGGTGATCATCAGCGAGTGGCTGCCCGACTCGTTGACCAGAATCTTGTGCGAGGCATCGTCGCGCACCTGGCGGCCATTGATGAGCCAGAAGACCTCCGGGTAAGGATTGCCGGTGACACGGCAATCGAACCGGGTCATGCGACCCTCGGTGACCTCGCGATCGCCGAAAGCCTTCACGAACGAAGGGGGCAAAGCCTTTCCGGCCTCCAGCTGCTCAGCCATCACATCGACGGGCTTGGGCTCGTAAGCGGTCTCCGCAGCTGGTTCCACGGCCAACACGGCGGATGAAACCACACAGCCCTGCAGATTCTCGGCCAGCAGGGTGTAGTGACCACCATCGCGGGCCGTGGCATTCTTCACGCGCAGTGTGGCCACGCCACTCGAGTAGGAGATCTCGTACTTCTGCGAGGCCACCAAGCGCTGGCCATTGTGGAACCAGGTAAGCCGGGGCTTCGGGTTGGAACCCACGCGTGCGGTGAACACGGCATCGGATCCCTCGATCAGCTTGGAGCTGCGCGGCTTCTGCGAGATCTGCGGCGCCTGGGCGGGACCCTGGTTGCGATCCAGCTCCTGGGAGAGCTGGGAGTCCTGCTCGTAGCCCGATCGCCGGGTGATGGCCTCGCGGAAGGAGACCTCGCGCAGCAACCGATACTCGAAGGTGTCCACGCGGAACTCCTCCTCGATGGAGGTGTAGGAGTAGCCGTTCGAGTAGATGTTCTTCTCCAGATTCTGGATGGGCTGGAGAGCGGGCATGGGAGCTCCCTCCGGCTGGATGTAGACGCTACAGATGGCCTCGCCATATTGATTGCGAGCCGTGCAGGTGTACTCGCCCTCATCGCCGGGGCCAATCTGATTGATCAGCAGGGACACGTCGCCGGTGGCCTCGTTGTAGCTCATCCGGAACTTCTGCGACTCGAGAAGGGGTGCGCCTTTCCGGGTCCAGGTCACGAATGGCTTCGGGTTGCCACGCAGGCGTCCCTCGAACAGGGCGTTGCCGCCCTGGGCGAAGCGAGCGTTCTTGAAGATCTGCTCGAAGACAGGGGGCGAGATGTCGCCCTGCGCGTACACGTGCGTCAGCGCAGGGGGCACGTAGGCGCCTCCGACGCTGCCACCATGATGTTGTTGCACTGTAAGATTTATAGGTGGAAAGGAATTCTTATTAAGATCATTTAGGTTTAATGGGAAGGTGCGGAAAATGATTGCGAATGTGGCATTATATTAAATTAAATTGAATCCTTAATAAATTATTAATTTTTGTGATTTTACCTTCAATTCTATCATAATCAAAACAAAAATCAGCGAGTAAAGAACCAAAACGACTCCTAATAGTCAAAGTAATAATCATTTCTAGTAACTTAAATTTTATTGTATTAAAATATAAAATTGTAAAATACTATTTTATTCGGATAAGTAAATTTTGTAAACTAATATAAGGATATCTGTAATTAATTTTCTGTTTAATGCAACTAACTGACTTTACCAAAATATTTAAGTGACAAGTTTCTACAGGCTAACTGAATTATTCTTAGCAATGCTCTGATTTGTTTGAAAGAAAATTGAAATAGAAAATTGGAAGTTCCGAAAAATTCTTACATCCTAGATGCTTAAAAATAAAAATCCGGGAACTTTGAAAACAACACATTGAAAACCGCAAAAAAATTTAAAAATTTTCTTAATTTGTTTAAAGATGCTCTCCAGAAATTAAGTCTGAGTAAGTTTACCTTAAACTATTATCTAAATCTTATTAAAATGTTGATCTCAAACTTGTTATCTTAAAGTCATTTACAATCTTCATGATCTATTCTTAAACTATAACTAAAAGTTTATTCACTTTCGATGCGTATATTTAGTTGGCACACGTACCAAACTATTTATAGTTGTAATCACCCAAAAGTAAACACCTCTAAATAAATATCTATATTCGTTTCTGCACCTGTACATATATATTATATATATATGCATTTGTTTATCAATTGAATCTCCTGAAGTGTGTCATTAACGTTAAGTGGATATAGGTTGACGACTTTCAAGACAGCTGATCGGAAAAATTGCAAGAGGTAAACAAATGTGCAGATCAGCTGGCGGCTCTCTTTCTCTTATCCTCTTTCACCTCTCTTTCTCGATTCTCTCACTAGCTTCGGGTTTTCATCTTCGGGAAATCATCTTCGGGTTTTCTGTATAAGAGAATCCCAAACCCTTATACTCAACTCTCTCTGACACCTTGCACTCTGCATATTCGAGAAACGTAAACAATTGCTGGGTATACGAACTCTTATACGGTTTATATATAGTATAGGTATATGTATGTCAGTGCAGTCGTGGGAGATGAATAGATAATCTTATAAATAGACCCACATTTCGGCTGTGTTCATCAATTAAGATTTAAATGATGAAACATAAGTTGACACATGAATATATATCGGGAAATATATATCAGAAACATTTTTTTGAGGGCGGAATTTATTTTTGATTTTTGAACATTTTAATGGTGACACATGCGCGTATATATCAGAAAGAAAATAATAAAATCTAATGTGTTTAATCCCCTTTTGATTTTCTAATTTGCCTGTTTATATCTATATCTGCTGGCTCAAGGTAAATTAATCAAGAGAAATAAAACAGATTTTCTGAATTATGACCCAAGTGCAATAAACAAATGTCGGCTATATTTCATTCTCTAGAATACATTTTGTATATTTGAATTGGTCATTTTCTGAAGATCTTTTCCTGTTTATGTTCAAATTTTATAATACAGATTTGTGTAGCAATTCCGGTGTAGTATAATTATTTGGTGTATTGTTAATTTCACGGAAGATTTGGAAGGTTGAACATGTGTAATTGTAATGGATAATATCGATGTGGACCCTATAAACAGTAAAAATCAATATCAACATTTGAAATGCTCAATTTAGAAAATAAGTTAGGTTTATTTACTCTTACAACTTTTACAAACAGGCAGCTCAATTGACCGATTTAAACCTAATTAAATGAGTTAGCTTACAATTTCTGTAAAAAACATAGATTTCATATCAAGTGAAATATTCGCGGTAGGAGTACATTCTATACTGCCTTAAAAAAATCTGAGTTTATACAGGTGCAATAGAACTATCTCGTTTTATACTCAAGGTACTCTAGTTTAATTATTCCAAATCGGTATAGTTTCTATGGCAAAATAAATTGTACGACCAACAAAATTCATAACTTCTGTTACAAGAATTTTTACAAATTACGTCCGATTAGTTATAATTATTTTGGTCAATTTTAAATGGAATAATGGGTAGAAAGTAGAGATACAATCAATAGCTCAACATCGCGCAGACATCAAGTTATAGAATACATATTATGAGCATGTAGACTCTCTTTTACCAATAAAACTACTTTATTTTATGGAGTCTGTGAGCTAGGGGAATTTAACAGTATTTCCAAATCATTTGGTTTATTGATTCACTTATCAGATTAAAGTAAAACTTTCAAAAGCACCACTATATAATTTTCGATAATGAGGTAAAGAGCTTTTATTATAAAAAGCTTTATTGAAACATTTGATTTCAAAAGATATTACTTTGTCCACTCTTCTCAAACAATATTTTAATTGTTTTAAAAGACAATATAATTTTCCAAGGATTTTTTCAAATAACCAATGAAGAATATTTAAGGAAGGAAAGGAAAATTGAGTATTACCAATTTTAAAACAGTCATCACGACAAATCACACTTTTTTTATTTCAGTGTAGGGGTCTAATTTATTTGATGATTTAATTATATGTGTGTATTTTTATTTCAAGCAAGCATTTAATGACTTCAAGGCGATTTCGGTGAAGCAACAAGCAAGATGATGGAAAGCTTTGTCCTTTTTGTCCTGGATCCTTCGGCCAATCAGCGGAAATTGCTTGGGGACAGTGGGGATTCTAAATCCACGGTGTGAATCCCACCGAGCCGCGCAACTTTCCCCTGGGATTGACCGCCCTCGAGACAGAGGGTCATCCAAGGACACAGGTGACAAGGACGTGGACGAGATGGAGGACTTTACGACTGACCTTGCCGCTGGGTGGTAAATTGGCTCCGCTGGACATGCTGCTCGGTGCGGCTAATCCTTTGCTGCTGGTGCTGCTCCTGGCTGGAGTGGGAGTACTCCTGGGTGGAGTACTGCTGCACCTGCTGCTGACTTTGCTGCTGCTGAGATTGCTGCAGACTTTGCTGCTGCTGCTGGTACGGGTTCGGATTTTGTCGTTGCATTTTGCTGCGTTATATATCACTATATATCATTTAAAATGACAACCAAATCGCTGCAGAATGAACTGCACTGTAGAATTGAACACCTCGCGATCACTCTTTCTTTGATTTGCTTCTTCACTTGATATACTTTCTATATATATTTATCTCTCTCTTTGGTCGCTTCTTTAAAATGCTGAAATTAAATAATAATCATTTTCAAGGACTTTCACTTTCGGGTTATTTATCACTGAGATGTTTGGTCAACATTTATTTTCTTTCTGTGGTTTTCTGGTTTTTATATCTTTGATTTACTTTCATGTTTGCCTGTCACACTTTTTGTTTAATGGCTCTGTTTTTTTCTTTATACGTTTAAGCGAATAGATATAAATCAGGCGAGATCGGAGATCTTAGCATGACGTTCATATCATCCTTCTTCATATTCATTTTCATATTCTTTGCCTGTGAGGCATTTCCAACTATTTTTAGCCTCGAGAATATTTCACTGCGACACACAGATACGCACTCACACACACACACTCCCTCTCACACACACAACACACGCACACACTCATAAAAACACAGTCGGTGGTATCTTCTTATTTTTCACGGGGCTATTAATAAACTTTTTTCTGGTTTCTCCTATAGGAAAACCTTGCATTGGCCCAATGATCTTTGTTAAATAATATTCTTTTCACAATTTTCCTGCTATTTTCTTGGCTTTTCCAGCGGGTAATCCTTGCCAGGATCAGCCAGGATAATGCACATTCACACACATGGCACTGGCGCACATATATATGTGATATTTTTCGATATATGCAGGTTCGAATATATATATAGATCGCTTGATATCTGTTTGCACACGATTTCACAGTCCATTCGTTCAATTGGGTGCGGACCCATGAAAAACCGAAGATCCGATACGATACGATCCGAATCCGAATCCGAAACGAAGCACCCGATCGGGTGATATTTTTAGATATTTAGCGCACTGAAAAATTCTTTCGGCATTTTTCTCAAAGTGGTTTCGTAACCAGAGAAAATTTTCATGAACACTTTTCTTTTGATTTCCACTATTCCTTCAGGATTTCCTTTGATTTTCACACTTTAACCAGATCCTTACTCGAAATTGCGATATCCTTTCGACGTTCTATATATATTTGCGTGTGTGCGGGACTCTAGGCGAACGAAATGGCTGCGAACGTATACATATATCTGTACCGTGTGGTGCGTTTAGATATAGATATATGTATGTTCTTTTAAAAAATATCTATTTTCAAACTGTTTCAAGTCATAATCCCCGAGACTGAAACCAAGACGTCGATCGTTTGTGAGGTGCGAGCGAAGAATGACAAAATCTCGCGGAGAATGCGATCAAGTAGCTGTGCCTGCCCAGCCGAATTTCCACCCGAGTCCACACGATCGCAAACGATCTCCCGCCGAGAGAGAGGTGGAGAGCTCGACGCCTGAAGATCTTGCTCCACATGAGATATTTTTGCATTTTCCTCGGGACACTTCATGTGGTTGGTGTTGTTTTTGTTGTTGGGGGAAAATACTCTGAGAGTGTTGAATGCACTACACGTCACTGTGGGGCATATAGGTTTTTGGGGGTTAAGGTATAGCAAGCTTTGAAATATCACTAAAAAGAAGGTGTTCATTTTGAGTCTCAAGAATTCGCGTTTTAAGTAAAAGATTAAATATCAACACCTAAAAAATATTTAAAAATTCATGATTTTCTGTATATAATTTAGAGCTCAAGAATTCGCGGTTTAAGTTTACGAAAAAGTATTATAAATATAAAAACGTAAATATATAAATCTTGATTAATTAATCTTTTCTATTGTATACATTTATTGTTTTCTATAATTTTTCTGTTAAAGAGTATTGATTTGTCATTTATAGCTCATAAAAAACTCCTGCAACTTTTCTGATTGACATCAGAAATCCAACTCAAATTGCTGGTAGTTTCTTGGTCTGTCCATTTGATAGTTTGATGAACATTTGCCCCAGGAGACTCGACAATTTGCCTTGGATCGCCAAAAAGAGAGAGAGATATCTCCGGGGAGTCTCTACAGTCTCCCGCTGCTTCTCTTTTACTCTCGAAATCTCGTTGGGGATTTCGAAAAGTGTTCGGGTTTTTTGAGTAAGTTGGCTAAAAATATATGGCGATTTATTTTTGACACGTATTTTTCAACATTGTGTGCACGAAAACGAAAAAGAACAGAACGAAGACATCCTACAGAAATTCTAGATACTGTAAGATCTCTAAATGCATACACACGGCACAGATCCGTATCTATTGATTCCAGTCAGAGATGACGATTCGTTCCTTATGTTGCCCTCTATTCTATTTCAAAAACCACAAGGAAATATCCATCAGAATAGAAGCTGAACAAATAAATAGGAGTCACCACCAGTTGCAATCGAATCTTGGAATTACACTTTGCACAATATAATTAAAGGCTTAGGGGGATTTAACTCGTGTTCGTGGTTTTTTCACATTTTCCACATAATTTATTTTGTTTGTCTAAAATTAAAACCACATAGATGTAGAAAGATATGTATAAAATTTGGCTCGTCTGCCCGTTTGATACATATAACTTGATTATTCATTTTGTCTCTTAATCATCAGCATAGAGATAGATGTGTGTTTTAGTTCGGCCAATTGGCGAAAAAATGTCGCAACTTTCTATTTCTTTTTTTTAGCCATTTCAGAAAATCTCAAATACAAATTGCACCTAAAACGACGAGTTGCCATTTGGCCATTTATGGCGAGGAGTTGCCCCAAGGCAGCCGCTAAATCGCTTTGTACGGCAACCTGGTTTGCAATGGTCATGCAATATTGTTTTTTATTGTGCACAAATTAATTGTTAACATGGCCAGTAGTAGTAGTAGTAGTAATAGTAACACAGCCACTCGGTGAGAGAATCATTAAATTACAAACTAGGCCGAGTTAATTCTAGGCAGCCAGGCGCAGCGACGGCAAAGTTTCGACTGTCACCGACAAGGTACAAATGTTCAAATGTATCTACGACCATTAGAGAGATAAGCCAAGAAACAGGCAACACGCAGCACGGCTGGCTTTCTTCTTCTGGCCAAGAGATCCACTAAAACAACAACAGGAGTAACAGTTAGCCGGTTCTGCAAGGCAGATTGCAGAGACAGTTTGCGCTTGCTGTTAGCGATGCGCTACGAAAATGAATAGTATGCAGTGAGAACAATTTCAGGAACTTTCAAGGTCATTTAAATATCATGAATTAAAATTAATTCAAAATGGCAATAGAAATAATAAATATATGCAAGTTTAAATATGGTATTACTTAATTAAATAATAAAAACCACTTTATTGATTTCTTTTAAGAATTATTTTGGTACTACAGGCTTATAATTCCCAACCAGTTCAAGCGTTTAATAAATATTCGCTTGGTAAAAATGGAAACTAGCATTAAGATTTTCTTGATAAATAGCTTCAAAAGTAAATATTATAGTTTTCTGAAATAAAAGTGCATTGCTTGTATTCAAAGTAGGTAAATATTTATTTCGGTTCTGATAGCGTGTATAGATCATGTCGCCTTTGATCCTTGACCTTTTTTCTCCCAGTGCACTGCTTTTTCCAAGCAACCATCCGGCTGACAGCTGTCCGTAAGATTAACAGCACTTATCTATCTGAGGCTGTATCTGTATCTTATCCGTATCTCAAATGCTTTGTGCAAAAATATTCGCCCAATTATGTCACGGCCCGAGAATGTGCCAACAAACACAACACAACACGAGTACAGGAAAACATTTCACTTGTCTTTTAATTAGTATTATTAATGGTTTAGTATAGTACACATAAGGCAACTCTGTAGGTAGGTGCTTAGTTCATTTTAGTTTTTTTGCTCAAAAATTAGTTTGGCTTCTCCCAGCTCTCGTCTCGAACTCGGGCGATGCATTCAATTTACTGCAAACAAGAAACAAGAAGAATTCGAGTTCAATTAACAACGATCGGGTTGAGGCGACAAGATCGACAGGATGGAACGAACAGATGAAGCTGGGATGAGTTGACACTTGAGTGTGTGTTTGGAAGCGGGCAAAAGAACATGCAACATGCAACAGGCAGCGAGAATGATGGATATATATAGTATCTTTGGATTATGGAGATCGACCCCAAGCCAAGCCCATCTTGGAGTTATAAATACACTGCAGTTTTTTCTTATTTTCCACCCAGATGTAATGAGTCGCGTAAGCAGATCTGCATTGCCAGCGTCTCGTTTTGGCATCTAATTTCACGACCATTCCAGCCTGTCTCAATCTCAATCCGAGTCCCAATCCCAAGTCCCAGTCTTGGGCCCCTCCATTCAGCAAAACCATAAAACCGAAACGAAACGTCGACAACTGCGATGTTGCGGCGACTGCGCCCCAAGAGCACTGCATGCCAAGCGGCAATTTAGGTATAAAATGTCCAAATGTGGTCGACTTAACCCGAAGAAAAGGGTAGCACAGCTTTGTAGTATTTAAAATTTTAAAATAAGAAAATCAGAAAAAGTAATAAAAATTATATTCAATGCTTAGAATATCTATCACCTAAAATATTTTTTAAAATTTCTAATATTAATAAATTTTAATACACTAGTGCTTTAACTATTTTAAGATATACAGAAAAATATTCTTTCTTGTTTTTCAGAACCATATTAATATTTTCAAAAATAAATAAATATTTTAAATTTTTTTAATATTTTATTGGCTTTATTATATTACTTTTTTTATAACAAAATATTTATTCAACATATTTAAAAATTCTTAAAACCGGGAAAAGAAAACTATGAACGGATATTTTGGACCTAGATGATTTTCTTAGTAGATTAAATTAATATTTAAATTAGGATTACAAATATTTAGTAAAAATATTTTAAAGCTTTTAAAAAGAAACATAATAATTTGAAATATTTATAACATTTTTTTTAGTGTTCTTAGAACAGAATCCAATCTTTTGCCCAAGCATTTTTTATAGGTCGCTTTAAAAGTATATTTATAATCCCTCATTTAAATAAACGAAAGAGCATTCCCCAATCGACTCTCCATATTGATTTTCTAATTTTTCTTCAGTCTTTTCATATCAATTGTTTATACAATTAGACACACGAGTCGCAGTCAAAGTCTCCACCTCCGCCTCCCAGCGAACCTCCCTTTCTGGTAAATGAAAGTTGCAATGTGGTGCAGAGGAGCAGCGGTGGCTGTAATCTATATTTAGTGATTTTACATGCGGTACCTCAAAGATATTCGAAATATGTGTGTATGGATTGCGTGACATGAGAGATTGAGAGATCGCGAATGCCCATTTTGTAGTTAGCAATTTTCCAGATCGCTTGAGGATTTAGCCGATGATTAATTATGGTTTTGTTTTTATGGCAACAACATTCAATGTAAAGCAATAAAATTGAGGAATTTGTTTACCTGTTTGCTCACGTAGCTGCGGCTCCTGGCTGAAGTCCGAAATGGACACGGTCTTTGTGCTCACATAGCTGATGGACTCGATGGTGGTCTCCCACTTCTGGAACGTGTTGATGGTGTCGCTCCTGAGAGCTCGACTCGACTGGGAATGATGGTGATTACTACTGCTGTGGTTCCTCAGCGGCGTCGAGGAGCGCAGCGACATGGTCGATGTGGCCGAACCCAAGGAGGAACTCGCCGGCGAACTGGTCGATGTGGAGGAGAAGGAGGCCGATTTGCGCAAAGGCGTTTTATTGACGCCATTATCCAGGGGCTGTTCCATAGCCTCCGGCGCCGCTGGTTCCTCTTCGGTTATTAGCAGGCTATCCGTTTGAGTGCCTTGATCTGCAGAAATGTACACAGGGAGAAATTATTTGAATTAGTAGGTTTAATTTCATTGTTTCACATAGCAACTCTTACCACCCATACCTTAATTATGTTCTAAACAAAATTTATACTACTGTTTTTAAAATCTCTATTAATTTATTTAAACTTAACATTTAATGTCTGTAAAACTATATTAAATATTTCGTTTTTAATGTATTGTTTAATGAATCTTTAAAATTATAGATTGTTAAAGTAAACCCAATAAAAATTAATTATTAAAAATTATAAAAAAGTATGGTAATAAAAAATTTTGGTATTCATATATTTACATTCCGAAATATTTTTTCAGATTTTGATTATTTATTTTTAAAGGTATTTTGTTAAATATAACGTTACAATTGAAGACTTTTAGTAATACTTTATTTTTTCCTGTGCACCGAGGACAGAGAGTTTTGGCGAATTAGAAACGCGGAAATGATTGGAATCTTCGGCTTTTATGGCTGCACTGCTGCGTTTTTATATTCCTGCTCAATTAGCTGAAAACAATTAAATT